AATCTGGCAACACAAGATTGAAAAACCTACGGGAGTCGTTACAATACACCTTTATCATCCGAAAAGATCAATATAGATATAAAAAACAGTAAAGAGTTGGCTCCTTTTATTGTCACTCCGCTTAAATTCACTCTAAAGGTGTACAGTCAGACCAATATTGATCCAAATATGCAAAACTATTGAATCAAATGTAGACCCCAATTGCCCCGTTCACAGTGACACATTCGGTTAAAAGGGGCAAGTTCTCAAGCAACATTTGATATTGCTATAACAGAAATGTACTGTGGTATTTTTTCTGACACACCCCAGGGGAGTAACTTATACCATGCTTATACGGGGAGGTCCATCTACAAATCAAAATTAGCCCAAAAGTATCAAAAAATGTATTTTATACAGACCCAAAAGTATCCGCTAAAAAGTGTTGTTCAAATCCAAAAATATCACTTTAGAAATTCGTGTTTTTGAGCACATAGGAGACCACTAGACACTAATTTAGATTGTTCCCTTTAACAATCAGTTTAAACTCATCTGTTTTTTATTCATGTGTTTGATATTGCTAAAATTTTCAAAATCTGCACCAGTTTTTAACCTAAAGTATTCAAAAACTTAAATGTTTTATTTCAAGAATCATAATTTACTTTCGGAGAGTTGTTCCCTTTAGCGTTCAAAATTCCATGGATTCACCAGACGTGAAAGCATGTCAAGAACCGCTTTAAAAAACGGGAAGTTCTGAAGTTTATTGTCCGCACTTTTCGCGTATCACGTCGATAACTGACATTTTTTAACACGGTCACCAAGTTCAGGGCGGTAGAGGGAAACTTCAAAACATAAATTGAAGAGAACACTTTCCGTATTTGCGAACATCTGCTTAGATCTGAAGATTTCATTCCATGTAAGTTGAGGGTGTAGAAGTGGGATACTTCTAGTCATTAGTCAGACGTGACGATAAAGATCCCGACAATGGAGTCAGGTCCTGATAGGGGTAGCGTCAACTTCAACCATTAGAGTGAAGTTTCGATTCTTGCATGAGACGTACACGGGGCCACCACCGCCAGAAACCAAGTGTCGACCTTGAACATTCTGTGTGATTCATCTAACTCTTAGAACCCTAATATTTCGGGATAACATTCCACAGAATTCGTTGCCATAGATGTAAAACCACTTTACACAAACGCCAATCTGGCAACACAAGATTGAAAAACCTACAGGAATCGTTACAATACACCTTTATCATCCGAAAAGATCAATATAGATATAAAAAACAGTAAAGAGTTGGCTCCTTTTATTGTCACTCCGCTTAAATTCACTCTAAAGGTGTACAGTCAGACCAATATTGATCCAAATATGCAAAACTATTAAATCAAATGTAGACCCCAATTGCCCCGTTCACAGTGACACATTCGGTTAAAAGGGGCAAGTTCTCAAGCAACATTTAGTATTGCTATAACAGGAATGTACTGTGGTATTTTTTCTGACACACCCCAGGGGAGTAACTTATACCATGCTTATACGGGGAGGTCCATCTACAAATCAAAATTAGCCCAAAAGTATAAAAAAATGTATTTTATACAGACCCAAAAGTATCCGCTAAAAAGTGTTGTTCAAATCCAAAAATATCACTTTAGAAATTCGTGTTTTTGAGCACATAGGAGACCACTAGAAACTAATTTAGATTGTTCCCTTTAACAATCAGTTTAAAGTCATCTGTTTTTTATTCATGTGTTTGATATTGCTAAAATTTTCAAAATCCCCACCAGTTTTTAACCTAAAAGTATTCAAAAACTTAATTGTTTATTTCAAGAATCATAATTTACTTTCGGAGAGTTGTTCCCTTTAGCGTTCAAAATTCCATGGATTCACCAGACGTGCAAGCATGTCAAGAGCCGCTTTAAAAAGCGGGAAGTTCTGAAGTTTATTGTCCGCACTTTTCGCGTATCACATCGATAACTGAAATTCTGAATAGGGTCACCAAGTTCAGGGCGGTAGAGGGAAACTTCAAAACATAAATTGAAGAGAATACTTTCCGTATTTGCGAACTTCTACTTAGATCTGAAGATTTCATTCCATGTAAGTTGAGGGTGTAGAAGTGGGATACTTCTAGTCATTAATCAGACGTGACGATAAAGGTCCCGACAATGGAGTCAGGTCCTGATAGGGGTAGCGTCAACTTCAACCATTAGAGTGAAGTTTCGATTCTTGCATGAGACGTACACGGGGCCACCACCGCCAGAAACCAAGTGTCGACCTTGAACATTCTGTGTGATTCATCTAACTCTTAGAACCCTAAAATTTCTGGATAACATTTACAGAATTCGTTGCCATAGATGTAAAACCACTTTACACAAACGTCAATCTGGCAACACAACATTGAAAAACCTACAGGAATCGTTACAATACACCTTTATCATCCGAAAAGATCAATATAGATATCAAAAACAGTAAAGAGTTGGCTCCTTTTATTGTCACTCCGCTTAAATTCACTCTAAAGGTGTACAGTCAGACAAATATTGATCCAAATATGCAAAACTATTAAATCAAATGTAGACCCCAATTGCCCCGTTCACAGTGACACATTCGGTTAAAAGGGGCAAGTTCTCAAGCAACATTTAGTATTGCTATAACAGGAATGTACTGTGGTATTTTTTCTGACACACCCCAGGGGAGTAACTTATACCATGCTTATACGGGGAGGTCCATCTACAAATCAAAATTAGCCCAAAAGTATAAAAAAATGTACTTCATGCAGACCCCAAAGTATCCGCTAAAAAGTGTCGATCAAACCAAAAATAAACACTTTAGAAATTCGTGTTTTTGAGCACATAGGAGACCACTAGAAACTAATTTAGATTGTTCCCTTTAACAATCATGTTAAACTCATCGGTTTTTTATTCATGTGTTTGATATTGCTAAAATTTTCAAAATCCCCCCCAGTTTTTAACCTAAAAGTATTCAAAAACTTAATTGTTTTATTTCAAGAATCATAATTTACATTCGGAGAGTTGTTCCCTTTAGCGTTCAAAATTCCATGGATTCACCAGACGTGAAAACATGTCAAGAGCCGCTTTAAAAATCGGGAGGTTCTGAAGTTTATTGTCCGATCTTTAGGCGTATCACGTCGATAACTGAAATTTTGAAAGGGTCACCAAGTTCAAGGCGGTAGACGCAAAAATCAAAACATAAATTGAAGAGAACACTTTCCGTATTTGCGAACTTCTACTTCGATCTGAAGATTTCATTCCATGTAAGTTGAGGGTGTAGAAGTGGGATACTTCTAGTCATTAATCAGACGTGACGATAAAGGTCCCGACAATGGAGTCAGGTCCTGATAGGGGTAGCGTCAACTTCACCCGTTAGAGTGAAGTTTCGATTCTTGCATGAGACGTACACGGGGCCACCACTGCCAGAAACCAAGTGTCGACCTTGATCATTCTGTGTGATTCATCTAACTCTTAGAACCCTAAAATTTCTGGATAACATTCCACAGAATTCGTTGCCATAGATGTAAAACCACTTTACACAAACGTCAATCTGGCAACACAACATTGAAAAACCTACAGGAATCGTTACAATACACCTTTATCATCCGAAAAGATCAATATAGATATAAAAAACAGTAAAGAGTTGGCTCCTTTTATTGTCACTCCGCTTAAATTCACTCTAAAGGTGTACAGTCAGACCAATATTGATCCAAATATGCAAAACTATTAAATCAAATGTAGACCCCAATTGCCCCGTTCACAGTGACACATTCGGTTAAAAGGGGCAAGTTCTCAAGCAACATTTGACATTGCTATAACAGGAATGTACTGTGGTATTTTTTCTGACACACCCCAGGGGAGTAACTTATACCATGCTTATACGGGGAGGTCCATCTACAAATCAAAATTAGCCCAAAAGTATAAAAAAATGTACTTCATGCAGACCCCAAAGTATCCGCTAAAAAGTGTCGATCAAACCAAAAATAAACACTTTAGAAATTCGTGTTTTTGAGCACATAGGAGACCACTAGAAACTAATTTAGATTGTTCCCTTTAACAATCATGTTAAACTCATCGGTTTTTTTATTCATGTGTTTGATATTGCTAAAATTTTCAAAATCTGCACCAGTGTTCAACCTAAAAGTATTCAAAAACTTAAATGTTTTATTTCAAGAATCATAATTTACTTTCGGAGAGTTGTTCCCTTTAGCGTTCAAAATTCCATGGATTCACCAGACGTGCAAGCATGTCAAGAGCCGCTTTAAAATCGGGAAGTTCTGAAGTTTATTGTCCGCACTTTTCGCGTATCACATCGATAATTGAAATTCTGAATAGGGTCACCAAGTTCAGGGCGGTAGAGGGAAACTTCAAAACATAAATTGGAGAGAATACTTTCCGTATTTGCGAACTTCTCCTTAGATCTGAAGATTTCATTCCATGTAAGTTGAGGGTGTAGAAGTGGGATACTTCTAGTCATTAGTCAGACGTGACGATAAAGGTCCCGACAATGGAGTCAGGTCCTGATAGGGGTAGCGTCAACTTCACCCGTTAGAGTGAAGTTTCGATTTTTGCATGAGACGTACACGGGGCCACCACTGCCAGAAACCAAGTGTCGACCTTGAACATTCTGTGTGATTCATCTAACTCTTAGAACCCTAATCTTTCTGGATAACATTCCACAGAATTCGTTGCCATAGATGTAAAATCACTTTACACAAACGCCAATCTGGCAACACAAGATTGAAAAAACCTACAGGATTCGTTACAATAAACCTTTATCATCCGAAAAGATCAATATAGATTTCAAAAACAGTAAAGAGTTGGCTCCTTTTATTGTCACTCCGCTTAAATTCACTCTAAAGGTGTACAGTCAGACCAATATTGATCCAAATATGCAAAACTATTCAATCAAATGTAGACCCCAATTGCCCCGTTCACAGTGACACATTCGGTTAAAAGGGGCAAGTTCTCAAGCAAATATAACCTTATTTGCAGCCTTAAAGGTTTTAGCATTATCCGTGTTTATGAGTCTCGGTGTCCCTCTTCTAGAACAAAATCTTCGAAAACAATTCATGAATGTTAATGTATTCAAATCATCAATCAATTCTAAATGAATAGCTCTAGTTACGCAGCATGTGAACAGAGCTATATACGCTTTCCGCATGTCTCCCTGGCCTGTTTTTACAAACAAGGGTCCTGCAAAGTCTATCCCTGTGTTGCTAAAGGGTAAAGATTTAGTAACTCTAAAATCTGGCAGTGGCGCTGTATTAGGTGCAGGAAGCGCCTTTGCATCAAACCATTTACATGTTAAGCATCTATTTAATACTCTCTTAACTTGTTGTCTACCTCTTGGTACCCAAAACCTAGATCTGAGTTCTGCAAGGGTTGAACGAAGTTTGTTATGAAATACCCTTTTGTGGCAATCTTCAATCACAAGATCAGTAAATCTATGATCCCTAGGTAAGATTATAGGATACGTACTACCTATATCTAAATCTGCATTTTCTAACCGACCTTTGCATACTAAAACACCAGATTGATCAACTATGCCAAGTTGCACTGACAATGCTTGAAAATCTTGCCTATTTCTCAATGCCTTCTGCACATCCTTAATCCATACATGCTCTGCAGCTTCTATCTCCTCTGTACTCAAATTTCCAATGTTTAGGACTTTATTCATACTCCTTCCCCTTAAGTTATTTATAAACCTCAACACATATGCGGTCACTCTTAAAAGTTTACCAAGAGTTCCATGTCGTTCTACATCTACTATACTACCCACTCCAACTCTATCTGTGTTAGTTGTAAACAATGATGTAGCATTCTTCCTTCTTTCTACTTCAATATCCGCAGAGTCTACTGATGGTGAAAACTTAGGCCACTTACTTTCATCCTCACAAAGCCAAGTGGGGCCCTCCAACCATAATCTGGAATTCTTAAGGAGCGTAGCGGAGACTCCCCGGGAACCCAAATCTGCAGGGTTGTCTGTGCCAGCAACATGAGCCCAATCTTCTTTGCTAGTTAATGAGAGAATCTCGTTAACTCGGTGCTGGACAAACTGTTTCCATTCCCCATTATTGTATATCCAAAACAGGGCTGTCTTACTGTCTAACCAATATTTTACCTTATCAAACTGAATCTGTGGGCTTAATGCATTCTTAACTGTATCCATTAATGTGGCTAATACTCGAGCAGACATTAATTCTAGACGGGGTATGGACAATGCTTTTAAAGGCGCAACCCTGGTCTTGGCACTTAACAATTTAGTATATGTCCCTTGTTCAGTCACACAAACGAGATAAACCATGGCACAATAGGCTTTCTGACTGGCATCTGCAAACCCATGTAGCTGATAACTTAAAACATCCCCCTTCCTGTCCTCTAAAACACATCTAGGAAAGGAAATTGTCCTAGTTTCCCTAAGATCTTCAAGCCATATTTGCCAAACCAAAACCTTTTCTTGTGGAAGAGTATCATCCCATCCCAATTTTTCTAAGCACAGCTCTTGGAAAAGAATTTTTGCCGTGACAACCACTGGACTTATCAACCCAAGTGGATCATAGAGTGATGCTAAAGTACTAAGAATACCTCTCTTAGTTGCACAAACACTATCGTCTGCTTCCTTGCCTACCTTATAGAGATCAAGGTCTAGTCTGTCCTTCTCTATTTCCCAACTGATACCTAAAACTTTTGTTTTTCCTTCTAAAGTATCTAACCCTAGTGTTTCCTTAGCATAAGACTCTTCTGATGATACACTGACATCCTTTACTTGCATTTCATTGCCTTCTGTATCTGCTATTTTCTTAGCTACCTCACTACTGTTAGTCTTCCACTTTCTTAATGTAAATCCTCCATCTTTCATTCTACTCTTGGCCTTCCTATAGAGATCTACTGCCTCAGAACTATCCTCACACCCAGTCACTAAATCATCAACAAAGAAACCTCCTATCAACTTGCTAACAAACTCCGGATCTTCTTCCTTATACTTCTCTATATGATTCCTAAGTACACAATTAAGCAAAAATGGAGAAGAATTACATCCAAAAACAACTCGATTAAATCTATATACTATAACTTCTGAATCAGCATCATTTATGTCCTTATACCACAAAAATCTAAGACAATCTCTATCTTCCTTATGTATCTCTATATTGAGAAATGCCTTTTCTATGTCCCCTACAAGAGCAACAGGATTAATTCTGAATCTGAGAAGGACATCAAGGAACATTGGGGTAAGTGATGGGCCAACTTGCAAACAATCATTGAGGGATACTCCCAACTTCCTATCCTTACAAGAAGCATCATATACTATCCGCACTTTGGTTGTTTCAGCATTTTCCCTTATCACAGCTCTATGTGGGAGATAATGCACTTTCCCCTCAGGTTCAAGTTCTGCTACTTGTTCTATTATGCCCTCCTCTACTTGCTGGGAAATTATTTCATCATACTTCTTGAGAATTATTGGGGTTTGCCTTAACTTCCTAACCTGGCTCTTCATTCTTAGCATACTGATATTGTAATTGGTTGGTAAAGGCTTATGACCAAGCTTCCATGGAAGACCAACTGAGTATCTATGACCTGTAAACTTAATATTATCGAGAACACCTTCATGTACCTTATTGGCCTCTCTAATGCCTATACTATCAAGATCCCATAATCTATTAAGCTTATAATCAAGGTCTAAGTTCCCTACACTGGAAAATTTAGAAGTTTCATCAATGCAAAAATTAACCTGGCAATCTGAAGAGTAAATATGATCAAGTTTCTTACCTTTGAGAGGTCTAGATAGCACCCATCCAAGACTAGTCTCTACAGCTACTGGTTCTTGTTGCCCCCCTCGTATTGTTCTACCCTCTTGGAAAGACCAAATCCAATCTGAGCCGATGAGACAATCAATTTCCAACCTATCTTGTTTCCTGCAATAGTCTGACAACCATACATGCTTTAAATGCTCATAATCATGCTTAACCGATTCAACATGAATGTTAGGAATTGAAGAAATGTCTTTAACTACAAAAGCCTCAATTAATTCCATCGCGGGGGCCCCTTAGTTATGATAAACAACACCCTAATCTCAGGAAAAACATTTTGGGCTTTTGGTGCATCAGCCCTTGTCTTGCCTGAGCAATGACGCAATTTTATGGTCGGTGTTTGATTCCAGGGAAAAAACTGCCTCAGTTTTTTACCCCGCCACAAGAAACATGATAATGTTTACACCCATCAAACACTGACTTAGAAAACCTGTAACTGGGGGAGACTCTTGCCCTAACCTTACTAAGGGAGGAAGTTATTGGTGAAGAGAAGCGGGGAGAGAAAGCAAGAGAAAAGTTTTTTTTTTTATATATGTTTGCCCACGACAGCAAACGCTTTTCGTTGTATGTTTGCCAACAACAGCAAACGCTTTTTTTTGTATGTTTGCCCACGACAGCAAACGCTTTTCGTTGTATATTTGCCAACAACAGCAAACGCTTTTTTTTATATGTTTGCCCACGACAGCAAACGCTTTTCGTTGTATGTTTGCCAACATCAGCAAACGCATTTTTTTTTATATGTTTGCCCACGACAGCAAACGCTTTTCGTTGTATGTTTGCCAACAACAGCAAACGCTTTTTTTTCCCTATGTTTGCCCACGACAGCAAATGCTTTTAGTTGTTTGTTTGCCAACAACAGCAAACGCTTTTCTTTGCATGTTTGCCAACAACAGCAAACCCTTTTCTTCTGCATATTTGTCAACAACAGCAAACGCTTTTTTTTGCGTGTTTGCCAACAACAACAAACCCTTTTCTCCTGCATGTTTGCCAACAACAACAAACCCTTTTCTCCTGCATGTTTGCAAACAACAGCAAACGCTTTTTATTTCTCATGTTTGCCAACAGCAGCAAACGCTTTTTATTTTTCATGCTTGCCAACGACAGCAAACGTTTTGTTTTTTATTTTTTTTTTTATTTTGCATCTATGCCAACAACTGCAAACGCTTAATATTTTTTGTTTGTTTGTTTGAACTTATAAATTTGCATTCTGCCAACAACGGCGAATGTTTTGTTTTACTTACATGCTTCCCAACAGCTGAAAACGCTCAATGGTTTTTAATTTTTTTTTTTTTTTTTTTTTTTTTTTTCAACAGCAAACCCTTTTCTTCCGCATGTTTGCCAACAACAGCACAACGCTTTTCTTTGCCTGTTTGCCAACGACAGCAAAACGTTCTGTTTTATTTTTCATGCTTGCCAATGACAGCAAACGTTCTGTTTTATTTTTCATGCTTGCCAACGACAGCAAACGTTTTGTTTTTATTTTACATGTTTGCCATCAACTGCAAACACTAAGTATTTGTTTGTTTGTTTGAACCTATAAATTTGCATTCTGCCAACAACAGCAAATGTTTTCTTTTATTTACATGCTTCCCAACAACTGAAAACGCTTAATGGTTTTTCTTTTCTTTTATATATATATTCGCATGTTTGCCAAACAACAGCAAACGTTTTGTTTTGTTTTGCATGCTTGCCAACAACAGTAAACATTTGGTTTGTTTGTTTTTTGTTCACCTTGCCTGTTTGCCACCAAGAGTAAAGGCATAACTAGACGTGTTATGGCGACAACAGCAGACGCTTTTTTATGTATGTATACGTATGTATAGCCCTGGAAAACTATCTCCATATTTTATTTGAATATATAAACCATAACAAGAAAACATTTCGTATTTACTATGTGAATTTCCATAAACGCAGCACACTATCTCCATATTTCATGTGAATTTATGAACCATGGCAAGGAAGATTTTGCATTTGCCATTTGAGTTTGCATAAACACAGCAAACTGCCACTATATTTGCCATTGCAGTTTGCATGACAGAACAATTGACATATTTGCATTTATTAAGAAACATCACCACAGTAAGCTATCTAGGTATTTACCGATTTATATTGCAAACATTGGTTCTGCAGATTCAGCTTATATGTTTTAGATTCTGCAGATTTGTTGCAAAGCCACAGTAAACTATTCTACATTTACCAAGCAAAGTGTGCCTAATGTTAGTAAATTCATTGTAAAATGTAAAATAGATTTGCATAACTACAGCAAATCAATTCTATATATATATATATATATATATATATATTGAGCAAGTTTAGTATTAACAATATAGCACGTTTTACATTGTTGAACCAAGAAGTTCGCTCTCGACAAAAAGGCTTGCCTAAAGTAGCAAAATACAGCTTGCTCAAACCAATCAAATTTGCACCAGAACAAAAGTGGGCACACAATGCATTCATAAATTGGCAATAACAACAAACATTTGATGCATTTGCCGATCATGATTGATGAAAACAGAGAGCAAAGTTGCCAGCGCATTTTTTCTAAATTGTTTAGCTCTGCTGCTATACAAATTACATCAAAATACCTGTATTACAATCAGTTTTTTTTGTTTGGTTGAAAATATAGCGTGTAGTTAGTTGGAAGTTTGTTGCCATGGTGACTAGTGACACTTATAATAATGTAATAAGATATCTTCAAAATGCAACAAAAGCTACTATTTCAGCATACGGAAAGTATACGGATTGAAAAGCAAAGTGCAGAGAAATGTCCACGTGTCTCAGATCCACTTTAAGTGTTCATGCACATTCTTGCAAAAATCCCTAACAAATCTTTTTAATTAGTGTAACCAAAAAGGACGTTCACCGAAACCGAAACCGAAGGGCATGGCCGCAGGAATTTTCTGAACGGGGTCTTGTTTTGTCAATAACCACTGGGCACAAGCCGGCTAAAGACGGCCCTGCTTTTTGGTATCATCTTGCTGTAGGCAATATTTCCATTTTGTTAGGAAGAGTAAAAACAGTAAACTGGCAATCAAAATGTTTCAGGGGGCATTGCCGAGACCACAGTGTTAAAAATGTTATTATGTAACTCGAGCGAAGTTTTGGTGCCAGACTGAGGTGAACACTACCGTGAGGGCCCACTAAACCACAGCCTAGCAAGCAATGTGACATTACCAAAACAATGAAAACAATCCTTAGTCAATTTATTGATTCATTTGATTATTGATTTTTGTTGAAACAAGATCAAACTGATATTCGAACTTTACAGGTGTGTTTGCGAAACTAAAGTATGAAGGTTAGAACACTGGGAGCAATATTGGGATTCCATAAACGTTTTCTATGACCATACTGGCAGGTTTGTTAAACCACAGTATGACTGCTTTGAACGGAGGGCGGCAGTGTGATGCAGCCAAAGCAAGGACCTGTCCTGCTGAATTGTGTGCAATGCGGATGGGTGTCACTTAATTGGATCTTGATACTTTTAAAGCCTAAAACAACTGATCCTAGATGGACTATGTAACGTGTCCAGAAACTTTTGCTGGCATGACTGTATAATTTTATGCTAGTGTTAATTTCCTCCACGTAAATATAAAATAACGGGGCAGTTTGCCACACACCCCTTACGCCAACAATGACACCACAAAGATACTATTCGCTATTGAGGGGATTTTAGAGACGGCGTTTGTTGAATCCCAGATGAATGGAACCAAGGACGCCTGCGCCAGGAGAGCAGCTAGGGCAGTTGCCCCTGACCTCGCGAAATTGAGCATTTTTCTTCGTTTGACTATTGTACGGGCCATTGTTTTGCCCTTTTTTCTCTACGCTTTGCCCCCGTTGCTATCTCTGAGTACAGGCATCCCTCCCTTGGACAAAAACATGACAGGGTAAATTATTTGAAAGAATAAGAACAAATAACAACAAGCAGGTATTCGTGGTGGATGCGTTTGATTGGGCGGCCTGGCATGTGGCTTTACCGAGAGGCAGCACTGTGGTCTTTGAATACTGCCCCCTTATTTAGTTGTATCTATGATGGAGATATGAAGCTCCAGGGTTGGTATGATGAAAAGCGGCAGGAAATAGTGGATCGAAAATTAAAAACAAATAACCTACAGACCATGCTACAGCCAATGTAGAAAAAAAATGCTGGTACAACCTTTTCTCTGGAGCACGTGATAGAATCGAGATGCAGGGTAACTGAAACTGTAATAGCAGTAGACAGCAGCCACTGAGCGCTTGACCTGAACTGCTATAACTTTCGATAACTCTGCCAAGGCCTAGCAACCAGTACCTGCAACTGTCAAGCCATGCTATGACAACAGTAAGCAACAGTCGAAATCATGACCATGATCAGCGTCCGGCCATTTGACGGTAGGACTATGTCCTTTATTAGCGGGTTTAAAATAAGTTACACTTTCGCAGAATAGTTCACTTCTCTACAGAGAAAACGCGTGCAAACAACGCGTGAGTCTTGCTGCAAAATATGACATGACCCTAGCTGCATCACTGTACTTAAAGAAATATGCCAGGAAAAGACCACCTAGAAAATACCACAAGGTGATTAGCAAATAGCTTAGGTAACATGATATCCACAGCCTACTAAGGATATACGTGTGGGACCACCCGATTCTAGAAAAGGGGAATCTGCGCACTTTCCCCGCGGGTATTAACTCGAATTAAACGATTAATTCCCATAAAAAGACTAAAAGACCTCAAAAAGTATCTGAAAGCATGAAGCTAATCTCCTTTTCAGTACGAGACGCTCGACTACTTCCGCGTGAGGACAACTAAACAACAACGATGGCGGGTTTATTGAAAACATCTGTGATAATATTAATAGCTGCCATAGCGATGTATTTCGCCGATCAGTACTTCAGTGGTGGTGTATGCAAGAGTGAGGCGCGACTCGATGGCAAAACTGTCATAGTGACTGGAGGCAATACAGGAATAGGCAAAGAAACTGCAATTGACTTGGCAGCAAGAGGTGCAAAGGTCATCATTGCCTGTCGTAGCAGGGAGAGGGGCGAGAAGGCTGTTTTAGAGATTAAAAGAGAAAGTGGAAGTGAAGAGGTGTATCTGCAAATGCTAGATTTAGCATCTTTCAAGTCAGTACGTGCATTTGCTAAACGAATCCTTGAAACAGAATCAAGATTGGATGTCTTGATAAACAATGCTGGCATTTATTTTGCTGGTTCTGGTGGACTACAAAGGACTGAAGATGGTTACGAAAGGCACTTCCAAGTTAATCATCTTGGGCATTTCCTACTGACAGAACTACTTCTGGACTTGCTGAAAAAGTCTGCACCTAGCAGAATAATAAATGTATCCTCCCTGGTCTACATGTGGGCATCTCCCAAGGATTTAGACAATCTTCACAATGAAACGTCATATATTCGTAGTACTGCATATGAGATATCAAAGCTTGCTAACATTGTGCATGCTAAAGAACTCAGCAGGCGTTACTCTGCCAAAAATGTCACTGCATATTCACTTCATCCTGGGGTTATTGCAACAGAAATAACTCGTTACTTTTTTTATGATCATCCTTATCTTAAAAAACTTTGGGAGATAATCAAGCCTTTGAGAATGATATTCTTTAAAACCTCTAAAGAAGGTGCACAGACAACCATATGCTTGGCTGTTTCAGAGGGTATAGAGAAGTATTCTGGTAGCTACTTTGCAGATTGTGAAATCACACCCTTGTCTCCAATTGCAGATGACAAGAAATTCACAGACAAACTATGGAAATACAGCATGGAAGCTACAAAATTAGAATGAGCCACAACTATTCACCTTTTCTTTGGTAAACATGATATGTGGTTGACTTGGAAAGACCAGTATTCAATTAGAAACTCTTATAAATGAATGCATTTTTGATTAAATCCACTTTCTATTGCTAGCAATCAGTGTTTTGGGGGTGAGTCAGAAGCACTTTTAAGGCCAATATGATCCATGAAAATTTCAGATTTATGACTAACAGATATTTTCTGCTTTTAGGAGAAAAATGTTTGTACTCTGTTCATCATCATTGCAATATTAATTTTTTTTCTTGCTGTTTGAAATCTTTGAACAAAAATGGTGGTCCCATCTGACCAATAATAATTGCATTTAACAAATAATTTTATGTGGATGTCATTGTAATTGATAAATTTTACATCCAGCTTTTGTGATTGTTCATAGTTTTCTGTATAATCTCAACTGTATAAAGAAATAGCAAAGTTATTGACTATAAGAAAAAAATTTTTACTGCAATATTTTCAAGACAGGGGTTTGATTTCCCTTTAGCAGGCAAGCAGTTTGTTTGCCTTCTTAGAATTAGCATGCAATTCTTAAAATTGATGATATTAGGTAAAAAAGGCCAAGCTAAAAAAGGTTATAAAGTTTACATTTAATGTGGTATCAATATAAACTACCTTGACAATTTCTGTAGTGTTTCAATTTCTGTAGCCTGCCTTGAAATCATCTGAATTCATCTCTTAAAGGTGTCCTTTTCTGAAGTGGAAGCATTGTTAGAAAGAGATTGAAAGGACATTCATAAATAACATAATTCTAGTTGATAAATTTAAATTAATAAAACTGATGAACTAGAATAAGATGCAAGGATGTCTTAAAATTTTTTTAAATAAGTAGACGAGGGATGTGTTTATTTCTGACCTCTGAGTAAGTGAGTAGATTAGGTTTGTTTCTTAGCACAAGCCCCCCATTTCCCAATCATTACACCACTTTTTACCGATATGATTTTTCGCTTGGACACTCACCCAAAAAGTCAAAATAGAGGGGATAATTCACTGCGATTGCGGGGCATAAAAGGTGTTTGCTGCGAAGGCACGTTGGTATTTGGCGGGAAAATTAAGAGACAACAACATACGACACGTGAGAAGATTGGTTGTTCATGGTGGCAGTATTTTAATAGGAACAAACGATTTTAACTTCACTAGCAAGTTATCTTTTCAAGAATTTGCTAGCAAATAATAAGTTCGCAATTGTACGTTTGCGGAATATAAAAGCTGGAAATAAAATCGCAAAAGGATCTCGTCTTTGGCCTTTGGAAACCAAATGAGTTTAATTCTTGTGCAGAATTCATGAGAAAAATCGATAAAAGTCCACTATTACATAACTTGAATATGGAAGTACAGGAAAATATCTTAAAGTGTCCACTCTTTGAAAAAAATAGTGGTGAAATGGGACAAAACATGTTTAACCGAGGCAACAACTGTCGCAAACGGCAACGGATTACAGATGAAAACGACCATGATAGTTTTGCAATAGCAAGCATAAATGAAAATAAAAGACGATTTCTTCATTTTGTAAGAGACAGCGGTGTATACCAAACTGATGTCTTCAAACAATCAAAAGAGGGGGACACGATCTATTTGCCTCTAACTGGCGACTTGTTTGTTAATTTAGATCGTGCTGATGAAATATCTTTTACAGAAGGGTTGTTTTTCACGGGCGATGAAAATGGAAGATACTGCAACTCTGTCAGAGGTAATTAACAAAACCTTGACGTTTTCATCTCATTTTTTTCAAAGCAAATAAATTAATAACTAAAATGATTTAGCTCACCTTATGAAAATAAATCTAATCATTGGTATAAAGAGACAATCATAAAGTGACAAACGTCTGTATTTATTTTTCTGCAATAATCTTTGATTTCTAAGTAGGTATAGTAATTATAAAAGAATTGGTACTATTGAATATTCATTAGGTATGTTATTTCAATCTTCTGCACAAGATCTGTTGATGCAGAAATGCAAGTAGAAATGCAAGAGAGTAGAAGAAATTGGTTCAGCCCAATTAAAAAATAACCACTTTTGCAGGCACAGCAATGCATATTTGGAGGTACAGTGACAATAAAGAGCAGATGGTAATCACAAAGTCTTTTCTGATAACTGAGCAATTGGTAAGGATGAAACAGTAGCCTTTATACAAAATACATAAAGATGCTTAATTATAAAAAGGACTCAGTTTAAAAAGAGAATGAAGTAACAAAGCAGGGTTGCTAGCTCTCTAGAGTTTACAACTCCTGAATGCCAATCTTGGTAGTTGCCGATCAAAAGGTTGAAACCTTGTGACTTTGCAAGTCTCTGTAAATTGATGTTGAAAAAGTGGGCAAAATGATAACAAAGGGGGAGGCCCTATCTCTTCAGAAAACAGTTCTTGATAAATTTGGGCAGATAGAAGAGGTGTTATTGGGTTGAATCAAATAAATAAACCCAAGAATTCAATGGAATCTCACATGGTAGTTAATACACACCCAATGTGACTGAAGAAACACAGGGATCTGAAAAAAAGAAATCTTTCTTTAAAGTGGGAGGATATATCCCTTCAATTCCCACTTGCTGCAACAATGGAAAAAACCAAAAAGATATTGTCTAAACTTTTATCCGAATAAGCTTTTCATACAGCAATCAATTAAATGAAAAAAATAACCTTATTTTATTGGCTATTATCATTTAAATGATTCAATCATGCTACCCAAACAGTTTTATTTACATGAAATGCAATAGCACTTTGGAAGATGCAATGCTTTATTTGACTAGACACATGCTGCTTTTGCACTGAGCATTGAAAATTCATGCTTGTGCTGAAAATCATGAGGAATTTTAAGGCATTATAACAAAAGTTAACATTCCAACTGATTTCCTAGGTATTTAACAAAATGAAAGACCTGTTGCTGAAAATGTGAACAAGACTGGTCAGACCTTTTCAAAGGCCAGATGTTGTGCTGACATAACAAATACAGGATAGATGTTGGACTGACATAAACTCATTGCCTTCCAGAGAATGTTTCTGAGTTGTAACTTGCCTGTATATTGCATTTTACATAGTAATAATTATAAAACACTGTTTTTGTAAATTTCAATGTTGTATATTTAGAGTAAGAATATAAAATAGAAAATATTTTGTTCTTGGTTCACTTACAAATAACTCGCTGTAACTTGGCTTAGACCACTGCCATTGACAATCATATAAAATTTAAACACAAAGAAGCAAAACTGCTCAATTAGGTCCCATTTAAAATACAATTTTGCTTACAGTCACAACATTTTGAGCAATATTTGGTGTTACCTTAGGCATGGGTCTATATTCCAAGCAAAATTATTTCAAAGGCAAGAAAAAGAAAAATGGCAATCAACTTCTTCCTACACAAACCTATTTTAATATACAGACAGATGTCTTAAAAATCATGTCAACTTCATAGCACTACAAATATTTATATTACATATTTCATTCTGAATATTTTTTCCCTACTCCCTATGAATGAAGTCATATAAAAGTTTGGCATTTTGTGAATTTCCTAGAATTGCAGCTAATGTTTCCTCCTCTAGGCTAACAAGTTCTGTAATGTCTTTCACTTTATTGAGTATCAACCTAGCAAAATATACAATCATATTAAAATCTAAGATAAGCTTCATTTTAGTCAATCACAAACTGTACAGTCCACAAAAGGGTCTAAAGATTTGTATAAAAATTTAGAAATACCTGTATACATGGTTGGTTGTAATACAATAAAAATAACTGCCAGGCTTGCTATTATTTCTCTCTGATGAGAGTATCACACAATCAGGGCTTTGGAAACAAAACACAAGGAGAGAAAGAAAAACCCAGAAATTGACTGTTTTTTTTAAGAATGTTTCTAAGTAATATTTTTTACCATAAAATCAAGCTATATGTCTACATAATATATAACACTTACCTCAGGCCTTGCCCGGAAAGGCGCTCGATCGAGCGCGCGCGCCTAAAGCGCACCCAAAAAAAGCCTTGGAGAGCGATTTATAGAGCCCCTCAAAACGTTAAAACAGTATTAACGCGGAGCAAAATAAATTTTTGGAATTTGTTAAATCAACTTGATCAAGCATAAACAATCTTCCCAACAGACCACAATATTATGATTTGCGTAAGATTACCACTTGGGAAAAAATTCAGCAAATTCGACGTTGGGTTTTCGATATCATTTTTAATCTGAAAACCCTCTAATAACCATCAAGGACACAGGCCATCAAGCCTAAGCGTATTCTCCGGCAGATTTATTTGATTTTCGAAAAAGCATAAATTTCTATTAAAGTATATATTATTTTCTGTTTTTTTAATAACTTAAAATCGCCTGTGCAAATCAGCGATCACGTTTCCGTCCAAATTATCGCGTTGCTTTTCATTTTTCATTTGCTTTTGCGAGTAGTAGATGTTTTAGCGTTTCTTATAGAATGGATAACATGAAAAAAGGAAACAAAATTAAATGTTCGATTTAAAGCCATGCGTTTTGATGAAGCAATATGTGAAGCTGAGCATAACAGTAGTGAAACTGACACTGATAAAAGCTCATCGAATGATGGCAACTTACATATCTAGAAAAATCTGAACAATTTTGTGACTTTGTTTTATTATATTTCTATATTTATATTAACATAGTGTTTGTTGTATGTTTTGTTATATCATATTATGGTGCTTTTTGGGTATCACTGCTTTCTGGTACATTCTTCCGAAGCTTTCGATTTGAAGCTCTCAATCTCCTAAAGCTCTCGAAGGATGCTCTCAAAGACATTTACTTAGAGGTGCGAAATAGAGCGCCTAGAGTTTCTAAGGGGCTCTTCTTATGGAGCACCTTCATTTTACTTAGAGCAAGGCCTGACTTACCTGTAGTTCTTGGAATTTATACCTGCCATTTTGCAAAGAAAATCCTAGGATACAAATTATATAAACAGGGTTGTATATAATACCAACAAACATTTTATGCCAACATTGCAATGTATTCACAGTTATTGCTAAGTGACATTAAAAGCCAATTTGATTGCAATATTGTATTGAGACATAAATGAAAAACAAAATTAAGACTCTTAACTCCAAGAAAGAGATGCTGTGTTTAAGTGTAATCCAGTGCTTCAAGAGAATAAAGCAGAGGAAAAAGCAACTTATATTTCCAAAAAAAAACTGGAAAGCCATGTATCTGTATGCTTACCTGAGACCTAATATTGTATTTCAAATTTGAAGCAACCTCATCTGAATCCAAACCAAGAGCCATTGCTGTTTCACTATCAGGATCAGGATAATTTGACTAGAAAACAATGAATTTAAAATGCTTATAAGCATTAAAGCTTTGTGAAATTAGATATAAATCAATGTTATTTCTTTTCAATATTTCAAATTTGATCTTCCACATGCATCTTACAATCTATTTGCATTTTCCAGTCAATTTTGTTTGGCAGGACAGATCATGGAATTCAATTACTGTTATAGAAAGCTCTCTGGAATTAATTTTGTATTTTAATGATTTCTGAATAACGCTAAATGACTGACAGACAATCTTTCTATAAATTAAGAAATAGTCAATTGAAAATCAACATGCATTGATATCAGTAAATGAAAGCTACCTTTAAGTCTTCAAATATCTCTGCTGTTGCATACGGGCTTTGTGTCCAAATAATTCTAAGCTGAATCAGTAAAAAATACGAATTTCTATTAAAATCTTAGTGGATTTGCTTATGATGAATTATATCTGAATTGTCTAAAAAATATATTCAAAGCTAGAACATGCATGAATAGGCATCCTTTCTTGAAAATCATAACAGCATTCAGTTTCCATAATATGAACATAATTATAACGTCATGTAGCATATACATATGACAGTTAATTATTTTTTATTAGAACTCACAAAATATTTTTGAATATATTCAATTTCCCTCAGTAGAGTATTTTAAGGTCATATGAATGAAAGTAAAAAATTTTATAAATGCACTTCATTATGCCTTTGACAAAAAACATAAAGAATAATTATTGGCAGCAGTGATTGGCAATGAATCAAAATGGAAATAAAATATTTGAAATTTTAAAGTGTAAGATTCTTTTGTCTGGAAATTTTTTATTGCATTTCATTCCTCCATATTTTTGTCATAAGGCTGGCCAAGGAATACATTCTCCTTCTCATGTTGTAAGCCACTTGAATACTCTCAGAAGAGGAAAAATGAATAACCTGCCACAAAGTAGTCTGCTATAGGAGATCGCCAACAGTCTCCTTCGGCACTTTGGCTACATTTCACTTTTCATCTTATATTTTAAAAACGAGTTTCTGTCAAGCAACAAGTAGACCTTGGTATCTTGACAACTCTTACTTGTAGAATACAGAAAGGAACATTATTCTAGATAACTTTTATTTCTTTAAGAAATATTCATGATACACTAACCTTTGGGAAATGCAGAGTGAGTAACGCGAGTTTTGATGTCACATTTTGTATTGATAATTCGTTTCCCAACGATGATTTTGACTGAGAAAGTAATTTAATGGTCATGGGTACATGGTAAGAACGGCCTACGTTTTCAAATGTTATCAATTCTGCTAAGATTTAAAAAATTGCTTGGTTCACAATGCATAAGGCATTATAAAATAAAAACGTTTTAACATAACATGTAATGGTTTGGGAAAGTAGGCATTTATTAATACCCTATGCGTACTGTTTAATTCTTCAAAGGACTGCGTATATTTTGCAACTATGACAACGATTTAAGTTGATACTTCAATGTGATCTTCAGTCAACATAACAGTTATAGGCACGAGCTATGTTGCCTTTAAAGATGTCTTTTATAAACAATTTTCTTCACACTATGAAGGTGGACGTGCGGATCTGAATGCAAGAGTCGTTTTCTTGCAGTTCAGTTGCTTTTGCTGAAAGACTCATTTCTTCAATAATGTAAGTTAAGGTGTTTAATGTACAATAAAAGCAGTTTTAGCAAAGATGTGGACATTAAACGGTACAGAATCAGTGGAACAAGCGGGTAGCGTTCTATTACTTTCGTTAGCGGAACCCTGCCTTTAAAGGACAAAAGGAGAAGCATTCCAAATCTACCAATAAATAAATTACAGCTACGACGGTCAGAATCGATAATGCATGCTAATAGAAGCTCTCGAATGGGGAAAATACCAAAGATTAGCAAAAGAAGGGATTAGCAATATCTTTGGTTTAAAAAACGTCACAGATTCTAATTTTCTACGATTCACTTTTCCTGACAAGACTCCAGTATATATTACCAAGACAACTAGTTTTGTCTACATTTTCCTTAAAGAGCTAGGCAGTGTGATCAACCTTTCAGAATAATATGAGAGAATCATAACATTTTTTCTGGTTACATATTTATACCGTAAGTTTTGCATGTAAAGAAAAACATCGAAGCTCATAATCACGATTTCAAAGAGAGCAAGAGTCAACAAAAACATTTTTAAATGCCTCACCTGTAAGGAAAATGACTTGTTTTGATCAAATTCAATAAGCAATATAGGTCGGTTGTAAAAACGAGTCATTGCTAATGCTTGATTATATCTGTAAAAAAAAGTTTTTTGTTCAGCTCAGTTAATGAGATAAGATGTCTGACTTGAAAATAAAGGCGATGAAAAATATCTACAAGTGTTTATAACACAGAAATAGATTTGCAACCATTTGAGATAAGTACTACTAAAATGTTGATGTTTTTGATAGACCTACGTCAAAACATATAAGATATGGTTGTTTCTCAAGATATATTCAATACAAATGATATCTATAGCTTTAAATCAACGTGCATTAATAAAGGATGTCTTCCTTAGCATGAACTACCAGGTCGTGAATATCTTTTGAAGAGTTTAATGTCAAAATAGCAAAAAAAGTTTTTGGAGACTAAAAAATGGAGCAGGATCTCTGGCATTTCGGGAGGAAAATGCTTTCCAGGGTATTTTCTAGCTCCAGCAAAAGTTTTCTGACATGCGACAACACGAAAAATGTCATTGTGGCCGATGAGATGGTAAAACGGTGCCTTGAAAGAAAAATTTTGCCATTCCCGTCCTCTTCTCATAACAATTCAGATATCGCTAAGTTATTGCTATTCTGTTGCAGAGTTTGACACATACAGATGAGAGCGAGTGGAACTTTGTGAGAGGGAATTAAGTGTTCAGGGAGACTACGAATCCATTATCAAGTACCTATGAGCAGAGTCAATGAAATCGTGAATCCATTCAATAATACGAGATAAAGATAAATAATACGATGTTATATTTGTAAAGCTTACAGTCTTCCACTGTTCAAGGAGCCAATTAGATCAGAAAGACTTTTCCTTTCAACGCACATGTCTGGTGACAGTATATAGTCACCAACCTAAGTATGACAAGAGAACAATTCTGATTAATCGAGCAGTGAATCAAATGGATTCAAACTGATTAAACCAATCAATGGCATGATTAATTAAAACCTTTTTCTATTTCAATAGTCTGTCTAAAAATGTCTGTTTTTTACCTGACATAGTGGCAAAATGACATTACAATAAGCTAGAAACAGAATTTTTATGTGACAAGGTAGTTATAATATACAAAAGAATTATTGTCAGCTATTTGCAAAAAACTATGAATTTACACATATCGAGGTATTTCGAATCATACAAAGACTTTTTGTGAACTTACATTTTTAGAGTCGTCATCGTCGCAGATTATGAATCAGAGCAAGGAATATAAACAAATATTAAAAAGATTCTTATGAAAATGAAGTGTCACCTCAAGAGTTACTGGTTCTATGTCAATCCCTCGCTTATGAATCAAAGAGGGAAGTTCGCTTCGAAATTCGCGCATATCGACAATTATCTATAAGCAAGAACAAAGATTGATGATGATGTAAAATATGATACTGAGAAAAAGTTTTACCAAATACTGTTACAATTCTACAATTCTTAAAACACTTGAAGATAGGATGGATAAAAGGAGACATAGCACACTAAAGCATTTTTCGTTCACACTCTCCAGATGCGGATCGAAAATCACGTGAGAGAAAAATCGGCTTGTTTGATTTGTTCCTTGCTCTTGACCATTCGGTGACCCTTAACCTATTACCTAGATGAAGGGTCCAAGAGAGATAACAAGATCTTTCTGTCAACACATAACATACTGAAATACTTATTTTTATAAATGCCACGATGAAAAGGATAGGAGGTTATAATAATAGAAAGGTGATACTTCGTAGATTGGCCCAAAGAAATACAGTAAAATGCAAAACTATAAATCCAGAAATACTAAAAACCCACTTTTCTTTGCAGTGGTTTGTCATCCTTTCTTCCGCCTGCTTTCCTGGAACTGACTGCATCAGCAGCTTTAGAGGAATCTCGAAGAAGTTCACTGGCGATATCAGATTTTCCGTCCCGCTCTTCCGGAACAACCATAGCCTGTAAAATACATCGTGAAAAGAGCATAGCAGTGGCGTGGTGGGAAACAGATAGGGGGAGGGGGCCTGCAAACCTTATCCAGCATCTTTCTGATAAAAAATCTTGCACAATATAGAAGAAGTTATGATATTATAAAGAAGCTAGGGTTTTGCTACGTTCTTCTCAATTGTTTTTATGGTGTATGGCTGCCCTTTAAAAATGATTAAAAATTTCATTTTCAAACTTCAATGAATCAAACTGATATGAGCACAGCTTTTTATCAGACTTACAGTCAGGTTAACAGAACCTGACACCTCTTCGGCATACGCCTTCATCATTCATTCACACGAAGAGAAAGATTTCTTCGAAGTAGCAAGACACTTGTTCAAAGCAGTATATTAATTTATGTGAAAGTAGAAAATGTTCATACAGAAAAACCATTGCAAATTTGTCTTCGAAGACGAACAGCTTTGGAGCTGAGTGTTCAGCTTAAACTGAAGTATATACACATTTATAAAAAAATCGTAAACCTTAAATCCACCGAAAGAGTTTTTCAGATACAATGAATAGAAAAGAGCAGAAATTTTACCTAAAATGTAGGAACAACCATCAAAATTAGTTGCACTGACACACAGAGAGAGAGAGAGAGAGAGAGAGAGAGAGGGGGGGGGGGGGGGGGGGAGGGAGAGAAAGAGAGAGAGAGAGAGAGATCCTTTATTAACACGACTGTATCTTCAAAAAGAAAATCTTAAGATGATTTTTGCAAGGTATTTCATTCTATCAGAGAAAGTGAGGGGTTTCGTAGCATTTAATGTCTTACATTACTTCTACGTCTAATTTTATCTCCACTAAATCAAAATATCTCATTGCAAATTCAAAAAATAAATTTTGCTTCAGTAGAAATGAATATGACAGATAAAGGGAAGTTTAAAAAAATTGAATTAGGCTTGATATTCATCTCAACCGCTCTTGTTATTTCTGATCAGAACATCTATGCACCTTAGTAGTACAGCTTCGTTAATACCAGTTAAAAACCTTCGAGTACAGCTCAAAAGCAGGTCTTTGTATCCCTAATTTTGCTAAATCTCATCTTCTGAAGGAAACTTCCGAACCTTGTTTTGGTGTGCAATAACACCTCTCAAACAGGTAACACACAGCTATAATTACGAGCTTAAAAAGAGCGACGATTTGAAGCGGCTGTGCGGTTGAGCTTAGCAATAGCGTACTGCTGTTGCTTCCCACTCTACTTGCCAGCTTTTTGCCAGTTGTGAATGTTTTGCATTTGACATCACAGATCACTACGGGCATGTTTAGAAGAAGCAAGGGTCACCCTGCTGCAAGAACTTTCCCGTGTATATTACAAAAGCTAGCACGGTTACCAAAGCTGTGATCTATTGGTTGTAAAAGCTAATGATTGCTGACTCGGGTGATAGGGTAAGCCTAGCAGTACAATTGTCTACATGGTTGTGAACAAGTCATAATTTGCAGCTGCCAAATCAGAGCAATATTCTTATCATTTTAAAAGGGTATGGATTGAAAAAAGAACAGAGAGAGAACAACGAGACACTAGATTTAAATATACTCTTGCAGGCAAACTTTCAAAGCCTGGGGTATAGACGTACTTTTGTAGCAGCAGCTCGTTCATAAGCAACACACTATTCAAAACCGTTCATAAAATTTGGAGACACGAGTTCTGAAAACACATTACTGCCTGCATTTAAACCTTTAAACTATGTTACTTGATACCCTTTAAACTTTGTTACTTGATAATACTAATACTAAGATGTATTACCACAAAAAACGACAACAGAAAATATTAAGTGAACGTTTACATTATGTTTAAAATATCAAGCGATTGAAAAATGCTAGAAACAAATCAACTTACAGCTTTTTGTCTAATCAGCATTTCGAAAGCCTCTTTTTCTTCTCGTAGAGTTGTAAGGTAACGCTATGATTAAAATGTACATAAAAATCTGTGCAGTATATCCAGCTTTAAAGCCTCGAAGCTCTTAATCATTACTTGTAGCACTGAACTGAGGGGACAAAGGGGATTTCAGAGTGATTCTGTTGGCTCTTGAAACACAATAACATACGACAAACTGCTTTTTGGACGACCTTCTTTACGTAATATTACAATATATGACAGTTTTAACTGACAATAAGACAAGAAGAAGGCGGTGTTTGGCATAACACTACTCGACAAGCATAGGCTGATGGGTTTAAGAATATTAAAGAAGAATACTGATAAGAAGAAGGCAACTGGATGACGTACCTGCTCCTCCACAGAGTCAGAGTAAATAATGAAATAGACTCGCAGCTGAACTCCAGGCCTTGATGCCGCGTAAACCTAAGATGGAAATATTTCTCTGTAAATCAAGCATACTAAAAAAAGTTGCAAGTGGAATGAATTGGCAATATCATTTAACTACAGCTTACCACACAATTAGAGAAGAACAGAAGCATTACAAAAGCAGTATAGTGCATTCTTGCAAAGAAAATTCTGAGAATTTAAGCAAATATAGGCCAACATTTTTTGGTTACGCACCTAGTATTTCAGCCCCTATTTCAGCTTGACAAATTACAAGTCCTTTATCAGGACATTGTCCCTTGAACACTAAATTTTATAACAAGAAACCACCACAGTTGCCAAGCAACGATGACTAAGATAATCGATGGAAATTCAGCAATTTCCATATACACCCTTGAAAACATTCAAAGATCTTAAAAAGCCTGAATTCGGAGAAAGTAGGCTCTTTTTTGTAGGAATCACTGTAATCGAGCCCATGTCAACTTTGACCAAGTATATAAAGTGGGATACATCTAAAATGCTGGGTACTTCATCTAAGAGAAATTGTATCCAGAGTATAGTCGTATTTTATGGAGAGACTGGGCAGAAATGAATTTCAGACCGCACTAAAAGGAAGCAAGATGGGGATTTTGACTACTAAGACCAACATGACAACGAAAATTACGATGGTCAAGAAGGAACAGATTCAATCTGTATCCTTGGTAATGAGCAATGGTTTCCCAATCAAATTTTATTTACGGTTGGTTTACATGTGTGTATATGTCTCTGCGCCATTGTAGTGGCAGCTGTTACCAAGATGACTGAGGGTATATCATATAACCACTTGCGCTGTTTTTATAAAAAACCATTTTCCCAACTACTAACAAAACTGATTGATACAAAGATAGAATAAAATTACGTGAACGTTTTGTGACAGCTCCCTGGATAGTAGATAACTCCTTCGCATCTTCAAAAACTTGATAAATGATAGTTGCTATATGCAATAGGCCTGAGGCAAGGGCACAATCACTTTTGGATAAGAACTATATTTTTTATGTGTGGGTTATTGCCATTTCAATTGTTGTGAATCCGATTATCAAGAATGAGCAAATATTTGATCATTGCCTGCGGCAAATCTCTCTATCATATATGAAGAAAATTAATTGTAGTCTACGCTATGCAATTGATACCTGGCAAAGATTTGGTACAGATACCTTAAAAACTGAGAACTGAGAACAGGTGTAACAAGATCGTTCAAATATAAAACAGCCCAAGCATAATTACTGCTGCTTTTGTGCAGCCTTCAGACTGTCCTGTTATCATTCAAGAGGTCATGCGAGGATTAAAAACAAAAAGATAACCTCTATTCAACTTGTCAGCTACTGAATCTGCGGCCAATTAATTGCTGGTCAACAAAAAAACGGGTAAAATCTATTCTTTTCATTGACACAATTCAAGTTTTTTTCCATTGCTCATTCAGATTTAAATCGGTTAATAATCCCAGCCTTCTCAAAAAAAGGTCAAATAGGCCACTGTTTGACAAACAGATGCACTGGTGACGTAAAACATTGAATTCGGAAATATATCAAAAGAAAATCTGGTATCTCAACTCAAGGGAAAGCACAAGAACTAAAAATAGAGGAGAAAAACGTATTTGAATGGAAGTGTTCAAAATTAACAAGGATGGAGAAAAGAAGGAAAATTAGTTCAGAGAAAATTAAATCTAAAATGGAAGTCTAGTACAAGAATAGGATAGAAACAATGGGGTCAGCAAAATAAATTTGTAGTGAAGTTTCTTTGAATACCATCCTACTTCTTAAGCTTAGCCCCTGAATAATGTCTACAAAAACAGCACACAGAGCGTACTGACAAAAAGAGAAAACACGTCATTGACAAAAAATTTAGTGTGCTCCATTTAAAACAATGATCATATATAATTATGAAGAGAGTAGCACCATATTTTTTGTAAAAATTCAACTTTTGTAAAAGAACTAAAAAAGAGGTGTCCATATTCTTGGCTATACTTGCGAGAAACATGTTTAATGATACCATGAAAAAAGAAAAGAAAATGATAAAACCTAATCTTCAATCAAACTTCCAATGTTATGAGGCTCAGGTTCTTCTATCCGATACATCGTTTTCAGTTCTAACAAGCATCTGTCTTATGCTATGTGAGCCGCATTACATTGCTTAGAAAAATAGCTCCAGGGTTCCAAGCCAGGCTAGCATACTGTACAAAACTATGTTCTTTTATCGTGTGTTCTTCTCACTAACTAAGTTTAATGTTAAAACTAATACCAGGCTTTAAAAACGCTCAATTACTGGTACAATCACGGCCAAAAAAAACTTGGAGCACCCAACACTGCTGTGCTTTTCCATTTTTCATTTGTTTTCCCGAATACTGCTACTCCACCCCCTCCCCCCTTCCCCGAAACAATGTTGAAAGTATAGAAAAATTTCAAACAAACCACAATACAAAGCGTACTACATAACCCTTTCTCTTTTTACTCTTTACTACATAACTCTTTTTTCTATAGTAGATCAACATTGTTCTTAGGGGGAGAGAAGGGGGTGACTGAATTTGCTTTTGAAAACTCACATTAGTGTTCCAAGACTTTTGGCGACGATTGTAAGAAGCTCATTTTACCTCGTCAACTTACATTCTAAAATTATTGCTGTTCGCTCTAAAATTATTGTGTTTTTACAGCAACTATGAAAATATCAATGTTGAAAGTGATGTTTATGGTTCTAATCGAGGGGCAACTCACTCTTTAGAAATTTCGTTCACATTCGGCAAAAATCCTATTGTTTTATTTGCAAATCTCTTTAGAAATTTCGTTCACATTCGGCAAAACTCCTGTTGTTTTATCTGCAAATCTCTAAAAGCGTTCTGCTTTTGAGGACATCTAGTGAGCAAGAGTTTGCAAGAGTGAATTGCCCCTCGGTTCTAATGATACTGATTGTGACATCACTGATACTGTTGATTGACTAGGGTGATCATCTTGATTATGATTACTATGATCTTGACATCCAAATTGATGAATATAATAATATTGATGATTATGATGATAAAAATGTCCATGTTGATGTTTTTGATTGATTATGTTTGATTATGATGGTGCTGTTGGCATTGATATTGTTAAACTGATATTGACATTAATATCATGATAATGTCGATTCATGATGAATATGTTATTGATTTTAATGATTAGGTTGATTAAGATGATCATAATTTTGATATTGATATTGGCGATTATGATGTTGATTATTGATTATTATGATGATAGTGTTGATATTGAGATTGATAATAATGATTGATTGAGATGATTCTGATATCGATTATGATCACTGATCATGATAATAATGGGCTTCATCTTGACACTGAAATTGATGATAATCATTGATAATAATAATGATAATATTGATATTGATGAAAATAACGGTGCTGCTGGTGGTAGTGACTATAATTATAATCGGTTATACTGATGGTCGTGCTTTGCTCAGAGCTATTTAATTCCATCAATGGGATATGTGGTTATATTTCTGTATTAAAAATGATGATAAGGTGACAGATTTCTACGGCATTTACATTGCTTTGCCCAATTACTTGTGGTTGAATTGAAGAAAAATCGGCAGAATCCCCGTCCTTGGCAATGCTCATTAATAATTAAACAATAATTAAAATGCAACTACGTTCAGCGCTAAAGAAGAATTTACGCCGAAGTACATAACACAGGACCTGCTAGCAATATTTGCCGTACATGTATGGTTGAAATTAGGCTTGAGAAGATAAACAACACGGGTCGTTACGGAAATTTACGCTGAACTGGCTCCTGCTTGAACATTGATCAAGATGAAAGCAGCGTATGGCAAGGTTCTGTGATAAAACAGACAGTAAAAGGCAGCGAAATTCAATATGGTTCATTCACCAGCAAGGATGAAGAGACACCCACAGGAAAAAAAGCCACCAGAGATAGTAGTTCAAGATTTCGGAGAAGATATGTTCGATCTCGGAACACCTAAAGACGTTGAGCATATGTACAAATTCGTTTTGTCGCCTCGCCAGTCTCCGGCTTCTACAAAATGGAGTAACGGGCTGGAGAGTTTTTCCGACAGCGGAAAGTTAAAGATTCCTTATGGAACAAATTCCTGCATACTTTTTAATGCAAGTCCTATTTCAAAAAATTATTCCGAGTTGGAAAGTTTAGACATGATATTTCAAGCCAATGGCGCGGAGGATTTACTGACCGGACCTGAAAAAGGCTTGTCGGATTCCTTTTTAATGGAGCTAGGTCTCAAATCACCGCACAGCAAAGTGACATTATTTTCGCCTAAATGCCCTACGAGTTTATTCTCTGAAAATTTCCTCAAAGAAGTAGGGCTGGCGAATAGAGGAGAGGTTACACTTCTCAGTCCAAAGGCTCCGAATCTGATCTCTACTAAAACGCCCGTTGTTGTAAAGTGTCAGAATGAAGACAAGTGTGAGCTCGGGATCTACCTTCCGCCGTGTTACACGCCAGCTCTTGTTGATTCGATTCAGAGCACGATTCACCAAGAAGAGCTGACCATGTTTCCCTTCCCGCCAGTAAGTGACGGCTCAGTGTCTGATTGTAGCCATAATGACGAAACAGAGAGTAACAACTTTTTCAGTTGCATGCAGCAGGACAACATGATTATCAAAGCGGGTGGTAGTAGTAATCTATTTGAGCCTAATAATAATAATAATAATAACAATAATAACAATATTGGTATAATTAAGAATGGCACTACGTCAGACAATCTTACTGATTTAAACTTGCTACATAATCACAATGGTATTGATGTTCTGACTAGCGGTGTTGATAGTAGACATCTTAATAGTCAGATGTTTACTCAGCCTGGCCTCTGCCCCGTAATTCAAGGAGAGAGTGCAGTAGCAGGTGGCTTTGGCTACCAGTTGGCTGCTGGTAGTTCATCAAATCGTAATGCCGCTTCAATAAGTCATGGTAGACGGGAGGCGAGGGCTAGTAAGAGGCAACAGGCGACCAAAGACGCCAAGAAGGCCTTAAAAGATGGACGCGTTCTTCACAATGACGTAGAACGAAAGAGAAGAGGAGAGATGCACTCACGTTTTCAGAAGCTTCGAGAGAGCATCCCCGAACTGGAAAACGACAAAAAAGCGGCTAAGATAACTATTCTGAAAGTCGCGAAACGATACATCAGAGACCTCGAAGAAGAAGGGAGAAAAATGGAACAAATCAAAGAATATGAGAAACGAAGGAATCGAGAACTTCTGAATAGGTTATGTGGATTGACAGGAACGTCTGGGGTTTCCGCTTGAAATAAATTCAGTTTAGTCACAACTTTTTTAATAGTTCATAGACACACAAGTGATTTTTTTAACGTGTAGCACAGGGGATAGAATTTTGATAAAGTAGTTGTAACATGCGGGCAAAAAATTGGCACCGTTCGTACTGCAAACACAACAGATATTGGTTAAATCTCAAAGATTAACCATCAAGAGCAAAATGATTAAAGAAGAATTCACTTGCGCTTCGATTAGTATCAACATTTTGGTTCATATTTGTATTTCCTTCCACTTTAGGCGGGGTTCACACAAGCATTCAACGTTAAACAACTCACTCAAACGTTGTTTTAGATATTAATTAAGTATTAAACACATTAAAAGGGTTGCTAAAAGTATATCAACAGCATTGAAGTATAACATCTATTCCACCGAGATCTTTTAGCTTGGACACCAATCAATGTTTTCCAATATAAAAATTTATGAAGTATCTTTTTTGATATAATACGAATCAATATGGAAATAAGTTTGAAATACAGAGCTTTAGGTGCATACAAACTAAAGGTGCATGGATTTGAAAATTGACGTTTATCTACCAATCACTGCACAACTTTTAACGGATTGGACTTTTGCTAGTTCAACCACTAGATTGTAACTGTGGCCTAAAAGTACGGATTGCTATGACTAACGGGCCGTCGCTAACTGTTGTGCTCAAGCGGGCTGTCGGCTCCCTTTTGACAAGAAAGCTACAGAAAATCCTTATTTCCCAACAAAGTTGAAGATTTGTCAACGATGTTCTCCATAATGACGGGCCAAATAGCGACGGCCCCAGTGGTCACGGTCCCAATAGCCATGGCCCTTTTAGCCACAACCCTGATGATCAACAGTGACGAAAACCATTGAGAGGGTTACCATAGCCCGGAAACCCAGAAAATACATATTGAGCAATGTGCACTTGTCCTTAGTAGCATTCGCATTTGAAAGGGGTTAACATAGCCCCCCATCCTCAAATTTTTGATGAACTGGAAAAATTTATCGGACATTTTAATGTAAAAAAGTTAAGAGAAAACCCGGAAAATACAAATTGAGCAATGTGCACTTCTTCTTAGTAGCATTTGCTTTTTACGGATTTTATGAATTGTAACTGCTTGTGCATAGTGGATTCATAAAACATCTAGAAAAGTTGATAATAACTAGAATAAACTTTTGCGTTTTTAGCGTTTATGTATAAAAAAACTTAATATGTGTATAAATAACAAATTTATAAGTACATAACTGGCAAATCTCTTTAAACAAATGTGTAACCTTTTGAATAGCTTGCTCAAGCAATGGTTGTATAAATGGCCTTGCACCCTTGTGTATGAAAAGAAGCACGTGGTTATAACCTATGCATAAAGAACAAATTGCCGTTAATTTTAAGGTAACAGCATGTTTGGCATCTTTGAACTGCATTGTTATTTACAAAGCAATTCTTGTCTTGCCTGTCGTGGGATTTTACATCAAAACACAATCGTAACACTTGATTAGAAGCATCATTTGATAAAAAAAAGAAAATGGCTGGAAAATAGCATTTGGAGCTCGCCATAAAAAGGCATTTTTGCAGCCCCTTCCAAGTCTATTACGGTCCCCATCTGGTATTCTTTCAAAATTGCCGAGGGATAATTGGTCCGGCACAATAAAAATACTGCAAACTAAACAAGGCATCAGATAAAAACGAAAACCAGACACCTTACTATTGGTTGTAGACACTAGACAGGCAAAGTTATCATCATGAAAAGAAACTCTAAAACAACAGAAAAATATCGTTGTTGATAGGAATGTTTCGAGGGACTTATATTGGGATACATTAACAGTTGTTTTGTAATGACATGTGCTGTTAAGATATATCTATGGAGGGGCTACAGCAGTGGCGGAGCCACGGGGGGTAATGAGGGGAATAGCCCCCCCCCCACTTTTTCAGAAAGTCGGTCCTTGAGATTCTTTCAAACCTGATGAGAAAACTTCGGGGGGGGGGGGATTTGTACGTTATCTAGATCGTCACATTTAAATGACATTTCTTCAGAGATTTGTATCCTCCGGAAAAGAATGTTTCAATCAAGGTAAAAAAGGACGTGGTCCAAAAGGGCCTGGTGCCTAACACACCTTTTGTCCCCCTCCCCCACATTTTTCCCAGGCTGGAGCCGCCACTGGGCTACAGCAAGACTGATATGATAAAGAGTAATTGTGTCATTGCATTTGAAATATTTTCAAACATGGCTTTTACAAAAACCATAATATATCTATAATATGAATCGTTTAATGCAAACTGAATTGTGTAACATGCTCAGATGCCGTTCTTCCAAAATTTCGTTGTTGAAAGCAACGACTTGGAGCTTGAATTTGATCAATGAACAGGTATTTGATTTGCATCTTGATAATTCACAATGAAAGCATTATTTGCTTTAGCAAACCGATCGTTTCTTCGCTAAAAATTCCCAATTAAATAATAAAAAAAATCAATCAAATTCGATACTCCAAAATCAATTCGACCTAATTGCTTTAAAATCAATCCAACTCGATAGTAAAATTCTAATTCAATTGAAAAATCTAAAAAACAGTCCAATTCAACATTCTAAAAACAATCCAATTCAATAATATCAATCTCAACAATCAGAAAATCAATCCAACTCAATGATCCAAATAATCTAATCGATAATCCAAATAATCCAATTGTGATCATGGCTTGAAACCTAAGAAGGGTTTATCATATAAATCGCTTGGTGTTATTCTTATAAAAATGGCATAAAAAATAATAGAAAAGTTGAAATACTCCTGAAAGACTTTAATTTGAAGGCAGGTCTTCCTGTACTTACAGCAAATACGAAAATAATTTGAAATGTTCCTAAATCAAGAAAGATGATTAATTTGCACTTGCGCTAGGAGATTTTGTTGTTAAAAACTTACTACTCTATCAGCTTAAAATCAACAGAAAAATTCATACGACCATTTTGGCAAGTTATGAGAGTTTTGGAAAAATGTTGATTTAAATACTGTAGTGATGAAAAGTTATAAATTGAAAGACCAACTGAAAAATTACCTTGAAAAATTGTCAAGTAACTCAACCTGCATGCATTAAATTCCGGTTATTTCTCCTAATACAAAATTAGCCTCAAACAGCAGAACAAGAGCCTGTTTCTACACATTTCCATGGGTTTTGGAAGGCACAGGAAATGATAAAAATATTGTAGACATAGAGAATTTGATTAAAGCGGTAACGATATGCAAATTTCAAGTTCAGAATTTGATCAATTTGATAAAGTTAAGAATTTGATCAAACCGTTACAAACATCTCACAACTCTAATAATTTTGTTTATATTTATGTGGCACAAAAAACCAAAATTGATTACCACAACAAAGTGATTAATGGTTCAGCACTGAATTTTAGCATTTTAAAAGCGATTTTAAGATACAAAGCATAAACAAGTTGCTACTCAAGAAACCCTTTTAAATGATACCCTATTCAATCCATACGGTACCATACGCGACCACATTGGCCTTTCGTTTAAACGGACACAATAGTGAATACAGTCTAAATTGATTATTCTGGCTAATTTGGCACGAAGTGAAGAGAGTATCGTGTAAACGAATAAATCAAACATGATTGAATCCGACAAAATCTTTTAAATCCTTTTAGACTTTTGTCTTTAACAGGGTCAAGACTGAATTTATTGATAAAACTGTACGCCTATTGCGATTTTTCGAATCTCGAACTTCACACTTCATCCAGAAATTTGCATTTTATTTGCGAAATACGATATCAGTTCAAAGACAAAACTCTATCGATCTGTATCTAATAAGGAAGTACATACAAATTAATAAGGAACAAAAATTCATGCAAAATTCGGATATATTTTCAAAGAATCACAATGCTTGACAAACGAGTTTTGGAACAGCCAACAACTTCGTAATCTTTTCGTACTATTTTCCCCAATACTTCCGCCTCCTCTCCATTTCCTCCTAAAACGATGTTGCTATTGAGGTGAATCTCAAGAAAATATATACTTCCTATCATCGTAGATCTTGGGGAGAGGAAATTTCTGGATATGACATTGAGTATTAGCGCCAGTGTCCCTAGTAGTTGAAAAGGTCAACTCATTTCCTAGAAACTATTTGTACGCAATGCAGCGTTACGCCCACTCGAAAACATAGTAAGCCTATATTCTTTGATCATTCGTATTTGAGTAGCAATGCTTTCAGGATGAGAATCACACAAACTGATTACGGCTGTAACCTGCTAATGACAACAGGTACTCTGAAGCAGCTAGTTAGCATCATTACGCACTCAAACAAAATGGTTCTAAACGCTAGATAAAATTTTCATAAATAATTTTATTAAATTTGTTGACATTTGCAAATTAAACAGAAAGGGCGTCAGATAATAGGCGTGTTTCAAAGCATTTTGCTGGAAGTGCACATCGCTTCCTATAATGGCTCAAATCCAGTCAGGTTTATATCTAGTTTCCAAACATTTTACTTAATCGTTTCGAAGAAGCTAATCTAATACAATAGATGATGAATGAATAAATTATAGCACCCGAAATTTAGAGAAAGTGTTTCCGAAAGGAAACGAAATTGATAAAAACGTCATTTCCTAATAAATATGAAAAAATTAAGTTAATATGAGGGATATAGGCATCATAAAACACAGTGTAAAGACAGAAACAATAGCAGACTTCGAACTAGAAAGAAACCAAGGTTTTCTGGAAGTAAAACTAGACAAATACGACATGAATTCATTGAAAGGAAGGCTGAAATAGCTCAACAATCGGCCTACAAATCGACGTTCATCTCATCCACAAAATGCAATGTAACAAAATGTTATGGGAGTTGGCTTTTAAGCAACACTCAATTTTCTAAAAAAACTAAGCTCGGGATTAGCATTCAGGTTTTCTTAATCTTTTTTGTTAATCAAGTTCTAAAAGCTTCTGCTTCTACCACAGAGCTACTTTTAAGCAACACAAACACGAAACTTATTAACAAATGCAATAGAACTTCGAGTTTCTTTCTGTTTACCTACATCAGTTAAACAGAAGATAGATGCCAAATTGTGGAAAGGAATCATTTTCATTCAATCTTTCTCTAAAAGAAAGATTATTGAGCATTTTTTGGTGGGTGATCAGTGCAATTATTTCTTAAATTTTTTGGACATCTAAATGCGCCATTTCTAATAGACGATTATTATGTGTGAAATTCAAACTATGAGTGACATTCACAAAGCTCAAGAATCATGTTTGGAATGACAAACTGAGAACGTTACAGGGAAACAGATGTGGATCGAAAGGGTATTGATCCATTTGTTTACCAGTGCATAAAGATCGTGAGCCTGGTTACTCTATAACTTAAGAAAATAACGTTATAGAGAAACGTTACAGAGAAACAGATATGAATCGAAAGGGTGTTGATCCATTTGTTTACCAGTGCATAAAGATACTGAGCCTGGTTACTCTATAACTCCAGAAGATAACGTTATAGAGAAACGTTACAGGGAAACAGATGTGAATCGAAAGGGTGTTGACCCATTTGTTTACCAGTGCATAAAGATACTGAGCCTGGTTACTCTATAACTTCACAAGATAACGTTTTAGAGAAACGTTACATGGAAACAGATGTGAATCGAAAGGGTGTTGATCCGTTTGTTTACCAGTGCATAAAGATACTAAGCCTGGTTACTCTATAACTTCACAAGATAACGTTATAGAGAAACGTTACAGGGAAACAGATGTGAATCGAAAGGGTGTCGATCCATTTCTTTACCAGTGCATAAAGATACTGAGCCTGGTTACTCTATAACTTCACAAGATAACGTTATAGAGAAACGTTACAGGGAAACAGATGTGAATCGAAAGGGTGTTGATCCGTTTGTTTACCAGTGCATAAAGATACTAAGCCTGGTTACTCTATAACTTCACAAGATAACGTTTTAGAGAAACGTTACACGGAAACAGATCTGAAACGAAAGGGTGTTGATCCATTTGTTTACCAGTGCATAAAGATACTGAGCCTGGTTACTCTATAACTCCAGAAGATAACGTTATAGAGAAACGTTACAGGGAAACAGATGTGAATCGAAAGGGTGTTGACCCATTTGTTTACCAGTGCATAAAGATACTGAGCCTGGTTACTCTATAACTTCACAAGATAATGTTAAAGGGAAACGTTACAGGGAAACAGATGTGAATCGAAAGGGTGTTGACCCATTTGTTTACCAGTGCATAAAGATACTAAGCCTGGTTACTCTATAACTTCACAAGATAACGTTATAGAGAAACGTTACAGGGAAACAGATGTGAATCGAAAGGGTGTCGATCCATTTCTTTACCAGTGCATAAAGATACTGAGCCTGGTTACTCTATAACTTCACAAGATAACGTTATAGAGAAACGTTACAGGGAAACAGATGTGAATCGAAAGGGTGTTGATCCGTTTGTTTACCAGTGCATAAAGATACTAAGCCTGGTTACTCTATAACTTCACAAGATAACGTTTTAGAGAAACGTTACACGGAAACAGATCTGAAACGAAAGGGTGTTGATCCATTTGTTTACCAGTGCATAAAGATACTGAGCCTGGTTACTCTATAACTCCAGAAGATAACGTTATAGAGAAACGTTACAGGGAAACAGATGTGAATCGAAAGGGTGTTGACCCATTTGTTTACCAGTGCATAAAGATACTGAGCCTGGTTACTCTATAACTTCACAAGATAATGTTAAAGGGAAACGTTACAGGGAAACAGATGTGAATCGAAAGGGTGTTGACCCATTTGTTTACCAGTGCATAAAGATACTAAGCCTGGTTACTCTATAACTTCACAAGATAACGTTAAAGGGAAACGTTACAGGGAAACAGATCTGAATCGAAAGGGTGTTGATCCATTTGTTTACCAGTACATAAAGATACTGAGCCTGGTTACTCTAGAACTTCACAAGATAATGTTATATAGAAACGTTACAGGGAAACAGATGTGAATCGAAAGGGTGTTGATCCATTTGTTTACCAGTGCATAAAGATACTGAGCCTGGTTACTCTATAACTTCACAAGATAACGTTTTAGAGAAACGTTACATGGAAACAGATGTGAATCGAAAGGGTGTTGATCCGTTTGTTTACCAGTGCATAAAGATACTAAGCCTGGTTACTCTATAACTTCACAAGATAACGTTATAGAGAAACGTTACAGGGAAACAGATGTGAATCGAAAGGGTGTTGATCCGTTTGTTTACCAGTGCATAAAGTTCGTGAGCCTGGTTACTCTATAACTTCACAAGATAACGTTTTAGAGAAACGTTACAAGGAAACAGATCTGAAACGAAAGGGTGTTGATCCGTTTGTTTACCAGTGCATAAAGATACTGAGCCTGGTTACTCTATAACTTCACAAGATAACGTTATAGAGAAACGTTACAGGGAAACAGATGTGAATCGAAAGGGTGTTGATCCATTTGTTTACCAGTGCATAAAGATCGTGAGCCTGGTTACTCTATAACTTCACAAGATAACGTTATAGAGAAACGTTACAGGGAAACAGATGTGAATCGAAAGGGTGTTGATCCATTTGTTTACCAGTGCATAAAGATCGTGAGCCTGGTTACTCTATAACTTCACAAGATAACGTTATAAAGAAACGTTACAGGGAAACAGATGTGAATCGAAAGGGTGTTGATTCATTTGTTTACCAGTGCATAAAGATACTGAGCCTGGTTACTCTATAACTCCAGAAGATAACGTTATAGAGAAACGTTACAGAGAAACAGATGTGAATCGAAAGGGTGTTGATCCATTTGTTTACCAGTGCATAAAGTTCGTGAGCCTGGTTACTCTATAACTTCACAAGATAACGTTATAGAGAAACGTTACATGGAAACAGATGTGAATCGAAAGGGTGTTGATCCGTTTGTTTACCAGTGCATAAAGATACTGAGCCTGGTTACTCTATAACTTCACAAGATAACGTTATAGAGAAACGTTACATGGAAACAGATGTGAATCGAAAGGGTGTTGATCCGTTTGTTTACCAGTGCATAAAGATACTGAGCCTGGTTACTCTATAACTTCACAAGATAACGTTATAGAGAAACGTTACATGGAAACAGATGTGAATCGAAAGGGTGTTGATCCATTTGTTTACCAGTGCATAAAGATACTGAACCTGGTTACTCTATAACTTCACAAGATAACGTTCTAGAGAAACGTTACAGAGAAACAGATATGAATCGAAAGGGTGTTGATCCATTTGTTTAACAGTGTATAAAGATACTGAACCTGGTTACTCTATAACTTCACAAGATAACGTTACAGGAAAACGTTACAGGGAAACAGATGTGAATCGAAAGGGTGTTGATCCATTTGTTTACCAGTGCATAAAGATCGTGAGCCTGGTTACTCTATAACTTAAGAATATAACGTTATAGAGAAACGTTACAGAGAAACAGATATGAATCGAAAGGGTGTTGATCCGTTTGTTTACCAGTGCAAAAAGATACTGAGCCTGGTTACTCTATAACTCCAGAAGATAACGTTATAGAGAAACGTTACAGAGAAACAGATATGAATCGAAAATGTGTTGATCCATTTGTTTACCAGTGCAAAAAGATACTGAGCCTGGTTATTCTATAACTTCACAATATAACCTTATAGAGAAACGTTACAGAGAAACAGATATGAATCGAAAGGGTGTTGATCCATTTGTTTAACAGTGCATAAAGATACTGAACCTGGTTACTCTATAACTTCACAAGATAACGTTATAGAGAAACGTTACAGGGAAACAGATGTGAATCGAAAGGGTGTTGATCCATTTGTTTAACAGTGCATAAAGATACTGAGCCTGGTTACTCTATAACTTCACAAGATAACGTTATAGAGAAACGTTACAGGGAAACAGATGTGAATCGAAAGGGTGTTGATCCATTTGTTTAACAGTGCATAAAGATACTGAACCTGGTTACTCTATAACTTCACAAGATAACGTTATAGAGAAACGTTACAGGGAAACAGATGTGAATCGAAAGGGTGTTGATCCATTTGTTTACCAGTGCATAAAGATACTGAGCCTGGTTACTCTATAACTTCACAAGATAACGTTACAGGAAAACGTTACAGGGAAACAGATGTGAATCGAAAGGGTGTTGATCCATTTGTTTACCAGTGCATAAAGATCGTGAGCCTGGTTACTCTATAACTTAAGAAGATAACGTTATAGAGAAACGTTACAGAGAAACAGATATGAATCGAAAGGGTGTTGATCCGTTTGTTTACCAGTGCAAAAAGATACTGAGCCTGGTTATTCTGTAACTTCACAAGATAACGTTATAGAGAAACGCTACAGGGAAACAGATGTGAATCGAAAGGGTGTTGATCCGTTTGTTTACCAGTGCATAAAGATCGTGAGCCTGGTTACTCTATAACTTAAGAAGATAACGTTATAGAGAAACGTTACAGAGAAACAGATATGAATCGAAAGGGTGTTGATCCGTTTGTTTACCAGTGCAAAAAGATACTGAGCCTGGTTATTCTGTAACTTCACAAGATAACGTTATAGAGAAACGCTACAGGGAAACAGATGTGAATCGAAAGGGTGTTGATCCGTTTGTTTACCAGTGCATAAAGATCGTGAGCCTGGTTACTCTATAACTTAAGAAGATAACGTTATAGAGAAACGTTACAGGGAAACAGATGTGAATCGAAAGGGTGTTGATCCATTTGTTTACCAGTGCATAAAGATCGTGAGCCTGGTTACTCTATAACTTCACAAGATAACGTTATAAAGAAACGTTACAGGGAAACAGATGTGAATCGAAAGGGTGTTGATTCATTTGTTTACCAGTGCATAAAGATACTGAGCCTGGTTACTCTATAACTCCAGAAGATAACGTTATAGAGAAACGTTACAGAGAAACAGATGTGAATCGAAAGGGTGTTGATCCATTTGTTTACCAGTGCATAAAGATCGTGAGCCTGGTTACTCTATAACTTCACAAGATAACGTTATAAAGAAACGTTACAGGGAAACAGATGTGAATCGAAAGGGTGTTGATCCATTTGTTTACCAGTGCATAAAGATACTGAGCCTGGTTACTCTATAACTCCAGAAGATAACGTTACAGGGAAACGTTACAGGGAAACAGATGTGAATCGAAAGGGTGTTGATCCATTTGTTTACCAGTGCATAAAGATCGTGAGCCTGGTTACTCTATAACTTAAGAAGATAACGTTACAGGGAAACAGGACAGGGAAACAGATCTGAATCGAAAGGGTGTTGATCCATTTGTTTACCAGTGTAAAAAGATACTGAGCCTGGTTACTTTATAACTTCACAAGATAAGGTTACAGGGAAACGTTACAGGGAAACAGATGTGAATCGAAAGGGTGTCGATCCATTTCTTTACCAGTGCATAAAGATACTGAGCCTGGTTACTTTATAACTTCACAAGATAAGGTTACAGGGAAACGTTACAGGGAAACAGATGTGAATCGAAAGGGTGTCGATCCATTTCTTTACCAGTGCATAAAGATACTGAGCCTGGTTACTTTATAACTTCACAAGATAAGGTTACAGGGAAACGTTACAGGGAAACAGATGTGAATCGAAAGGGTGTTGATCCATTTGTTTACCAGTGCATAAAGATACTGAGCCTGGTTACTCTATAACTTCACAAGATAACGTTATAGAGAAACGTTACAGGGAAACAGATGTGAATCGAAAGGGTGTTGATCCATTTGTTTAACAGTGTATAAAGATACTGAACCTGGTTACTCTATAACTTCACAAGATAAGATAGTCGCAAGCCGTTTCATTTCAAGATAGTTTGAAATCTTGAATTCACCTGCTCTACTGTGTCATTTGCTTTATATCAAATGTACGACACATCTTGCAAGTCTAAGGATAAAGGAACAGGTATTCCTCCGAAAGCATGGAGCCGGGGGTTTGTTATTATGTCATCCGCAACTCCTACAACATGACAATACTGACCGTAATTTGTCTGATGTAATGGTATCAATGTAAGTATCAATGTTGAAAAATGATAATTGCTGTCAACGCTTCCATCAACACAGTCATCATGATCATCATTATTATTTTAATCATATAATCGTATAGCCTCTTTGCTACATAGATAGTTTGCAACTGGCTACCCCGAGTTTAAATGACGGGAATAAAAAATAAAGTGTAAAGAAAAAACTGACAAAAACAAACACACTGACAAAAATAAAAAGAATGTAATTCGGGGTTCGTTAATGGGTTGTTTTTGCAAGAAATGATGTGGGAAGTAATAGGAATGGCTTTGCTGACAAGTGTTGTTGGTCGATAGAGAACCACACATTCTAATGAAATGAATGAGTAATGAACAGAAATTGCCGAAGATGCCAGAAAGGCTCATGAAAAGATTCCAAAAAGTGGCAGATTTGAATTGCTGTTGCAATTTAGATAAAAGAGGAGTTTATTTGTCGTGTTTTCTTGTTTATGTCCGCGTTGGAATCGAAACAAACAGTTAACTCTAAGATGTAGGGATAGTTTTCGTTAATCTTCAAGAAGAGATCACGGCGAAGGTTCTTTCTGTTATGATTGGGGAAACAAAAAAGCAAGGCGTATCAGAGAAAACAGTAGAATCACTGACAGCTATGAGAGAGGTAGCTAGAAAGTTTAGGACAGATGCATGGCACTGTAGGAATTTAGCAAGTGGTAAAGTAAGGCTGAGGGGCAACCCACGCTTGTATATAGCGCATGAGATTTCCACAAAACAAAAGGATTTTTAGGGATTTTCAGATATAACAATAGGAATTCCACGAATAGTGAAAGAGATTTAAATGAAATGATTTGTCCCTTGATATCATCATTATAAATCGTCATTGCAGCGAGGTTGATATTTTCAAGGATTACGTAGTTTTACTGATTGAATGAGCCTAGAATCCATTCATACGGGATGGTGTACTTTTCCTTCCGAAGGGCGGCAAAGATAATGAGTTGGTCATCATTTGACTAAATTGTTCTGAGCAAATCTAATATTAATAGCGCGAAATGAACAGTCTACACCCTTGTATGTGCTTGAAACGTATAAAAAAACCACGCAAGATAAAATTGGGGCGGTGCGGAGACGTGCAGAGATAAATTTGCGTGAATGAGCTTTGTGATTAAACGCGTACTTGAACATTCTGCCACCTACTCAGTAATGTAATCATGTGAGCCTACGAAAACAAATCAACGTGGAAAGCAAGATTACAGACTTGCATTGAATAGAATCATTCGGGAACTTTGCAAATCCGCTGTAAAGATTCAATTTCGTACGTCTGATGGCTAGGGAACATCTGCCATCGAAGCTAAATATACACTTTTTCTTCATACAGTTAATGTCGAAGAATGGCTTGCACAGATGGTCGCTTATAAAAACATGAAGCATATTATTAAAACTTGCTTGCAGCGACAACTTTTTTCTCATTCTCTTACTGACTAAATGACGTATGTACACTTTTATGCTAGACCAGATGACTGCGCAATAAAATTTGAAACTTTCGTGCTACTTAAAAAAGCACTTCCAGCTGCAAGGATTCCGATTCATTCTAGTAGTTTGCCTTTGAATTGATTCAGTATTTCGCAAATAAAATGCAAATTTCTGGATTGCTAGCTAAGTGACCTGTTAAATTCGAGATAAGAAAAGTCGCAATAAGGGTACAGTTTTATCAAGGAATTTTAGGCCAAGCGGAAGCAAAATCCACAAATCGAATTAAGAATGGGTAACTCTTCCAATGGGTTACTTTTCAACTACCACTAAAGCAAAAAACAAACCTCGACTTGGCGGACAAATTCCATGCCAGCATCATACATAACAATATAACGAGGCTCCATTTCCGTGAGAGTTTTCATCAGACTGTATGGATCGCTTAATAAATAAAATGAATAAAAAAATAAAACATTTCGCTTCAAAACTTTATAGTATAGTTTAACAAAGTATCGTAAAGACTAGTATTAGTATAGCATAGCATAGCATAGCACAGCAAAGCATAGCATAGCATAGCATAGCATAGCATAGCATAGCATAGCATAGCATAGCATAGCATAGCATAGCATAGCATAGCATAGCATAGCATAGCATAGCATAGCATAGCATAGGATAGCACAGCATAGCATAGCATAGCATAGCATAGCATAGCATAGCATAGCATAGCATAGCATAGCATAGCATAGCATAGCATAGCATAGCATAGCATAGCATAGCATAGCATAGCAAAGTATAGTATAGTATAGTATAGCATAGCAAAGTATAGTATAGTATAGTATAGTATAGCATAGCATAGCATAGCATAGCATAGCATAGCATAGCATAGCATAGCATAGCATAGCATAGCATAGCATAGCATAGCATAGCATAGCATAGCATAGCATAGCAAAGTATAGTATAGTATAGTATAGCATAGCATAGCATAGCATAGCATAGCATAGCATAGCAAAGCATAGCATAGCATAGCATAGCAAAGCATAGTATAGTATAGCATAGCATAGCATAGCATAGCATAGCATAGCATAGCATAGCATAGCAAAGTATAGTATAGCATAGCATAGCATAGCATAGCATAGCATAGCATAGCATAGCATAGCATAGCATAGCATAGCATAGCATAGCATAGCATAGCATGGCATGGCATGGCATAGCATAGCATAGTATAGGATAGTATAGTAGAGTATAATATAGCATAGCATAGCATAGTATTGTAAGATATTGTAAAGTAAAGATATTGTATTGTGTGGTCAATTGACTCACCTGTTCCCTCTCAAAGGATGAATAATTGTATAAGTATCGGGCAAAATTTTCAGTTGAAATTTTTCGCTTTGCTCGCTGCTATTCTAAAAAAATCAAGCAACAGGAATAAAATAATCAAATTTTGAAATTTTTTAGATAGAAAAACAAGAAATTATGTGCTGAAAAATACAAACAGAGTTTTTTGGCTGTCCCTGTGACAAATTGATTGTACGATGGAGCCTTCCTACTGAGCAATTTTGTAAACATTATAACTTAACTACTGTTTTTTTGTTATTCATCAGCGTGAATTATTTGCAAAGGATCAAGGAGTTCTAAGGGAGCAATACAACTGCCTTGATAGGTCTTAGTAAACCATGTGAACAATCAGAGAGATTATATCAAAAGTAGCAAAACTTGTAGCTAAAGGTTACAGGAGGCTAGAAAAACAATGCAGTCACGATAACGTTAAATTTGCTTTGCCAGCATGTTACTTCACCCTTCGGGGGAAATATTTTAATTGAGTACATATCTGGGTGCAAATTCATTCACAAGTTACCATGGGTGACATTTGTGGTGGGGGGGGGGGGAGTTTGAGGGGTTTGATGGGGGCTGCTCCATTTTTTATATTTTCTGGTGCTTGGAAACTTAGAAGGAAATTGAAATTGTTTACACTGGAAAACAAAAGGTTTCGGAGCATTCACTGATTTTGTCACTAAACTTGACAATTCGACCCCCCTTGTAAATTTATCTCTGGCCAACCATTTTGTTGCAACTACTTATTATCATGTTCAAAATCGTCATGTTAGATTTATACAGGTCGTCGTTATTGATACATTCTTGCTACCCTAGTTGGTGGCTTCGCGCTGCGTGGTCTAAAACTACCCAAGTTGAACTTCTTCCGTCGGTCAAACTTCAAGAGAAACTCACGGAATGTCAAAGACCAAATGAATAACAATATTTTGCTTGAAAATATTGATTGTGCGTCATTAAGATAAAAGGGCTGCTTTCACAAATGTCAGCCTACTTAATGTCAATTTTCGTACAATGAAAATCAGTTGCAATAGGTCAAAGATTTCGCGTAGAGACATTTCATTTCTCATAAATATTCATAGCTACATACTTGAACACCGGGGGTGCAGTATATAGCAAGTGGCCAAAGCAGAGAAGCTTAATGATGTAGCAGGGTTTTGACAGAGCTTTTTTCACCCTCACAACACTAGGTACAGATCACCTTTAACCCTGACGAATTTGAGAAGTAAGAATGACTATAAACTTCAAAATCATAAATGCAAAACTTTTTTATTGATAGCAGTGTTGCAGCAACACTTCAAACGTTATACAGTTGCACTTGGATAAAAAATTACACAAAAATTGCAAAGGTACAATACCTTTTCAACCAACTGACGATTTTAGGAGGTAAGGAGCAAGGGGGCAAGGGGGAAAGGAGGACAAAGAAGAAACTTGAGCAAATGGTCAAACCGTTCGGCACCAAGATCAGCGAAGGAATAAGGTATAAAGAACCTAGAAAAAAACAACCCTACCGCTATTTTTGCAGTATTCAGAAAATTCGACAAACTCGCATAGCTTTTCGAGGGTAATTAAAGCGGTAGGTCGAAATAAGAAATAAAGATCAATAACCTTTTCTGGTCGTTTCTTTCCGAATCTTCCATTCTTGGCAATTGGAGGTCCTACATTCGAAAGATTTGAAAAATGTTTCAGCTCTAGAGAATGCCCAATAAAGTGGAAAAACAATAAAGTTTCTAACTTGCAGAAAAGAAACAATTTCTTGTGTATCATCAAGAAGGTGGGACCGAGTTGCATTTTGAGCACAAAGGCCGACTAGTCTAGTGGTATGAGGTTTTGCAAGCCAATTGAGATTATTTGCTGTTTGAATAACACAAACAAAATAAATTAGAATATTCCGAAAATTAAAATGTAAAACGTGCGACTAAAATCACGTTTACAATTGCTAGAAAAGTATTAAAAAAAACCTTCGTCGTCTTTTTTCCCAAATGTCCTCTCGTATATCTTATCCAGTAGCCTTTTCCCGCCACCTGAAATGTACTGCAAGAAAATACAAAGACATAAAAGAATATTTAGATAAAACATTTATACCACAAAAAAGATTGCTTGAATACTTATAATTCTATTTGATATTAGAGAAGGGGTTACAGTGGGCTGGTTTGATACAGAGGGCGCAGCGGGTGAGAAATATTCAAATGAAAGATTTATCAAATAGCTACGATCAACCATTTAATTCAACACATGACGTTTAAGATTTAAAATCTACCATCAACAATATACAGAAGTCTTAAACCTAATCAGTCTTGAGTATATGTTGAAAACTGTACGCTGTATCTTGCCATGCTATATTTCGCGCCATAAAAGTATCATGAAGACATCTCCTAACAAAAATGTGTCTTTATTCAAAGGTATGGTTGCAAATCATTTAAAAATTCGCAGTTATAAAATAAAAGCAAGTGGCAAGCTTCATAGTATCAAGCGAAAAATATCAATTTCATGGCAAATAATAAGAAAATTAACAGAAAAACTTTATAAATGTTGATTTGCTTAAGAGTAGATAAAGTTTTAAATGACAGGGTTCTAGCGAAGACAGACAATATCTATATTCACTGTTGGAGGTTTCAACAAATGAAAGAATAATAGAGGATAACAGAAGCAAACAATGAAAATTGACATTCAATATGAAAATATGTTCATTCAACCCTGATAAAATGAGATATTTCTACGAAATGAGACCAAGCTCAACTTCAACATATCCTTGCATTCTATCTTGGCACTTCCCCAGAATTCAATTTTTCCAAATGATAATTGACGGTTAAGATCTTATCCATAACATGGAAGGGTGGCTCCCTCAGCTACCAATGCAAGAAAAGTAAAGGAATCTTGTCACTATCACTCTCACCTTTCTGTCCTTTATCCTATATTATGAAACTCCTAGGACTGTCTGAAGGTAATAAAGTTTAGATTTAGACAAAGTTTTGAGGTGAAAACAAACGCTTTTGAAATAGAAACTTATTCTATTCAAAGCAGATGAGCTTGTGTATGGCTGTTGAAAAAACTTAACGTGCTCAAAAAATGAAATAAACCTATTTTATAGGCCCAATAGTTTCAGGTTTTTTTAAGTACCTCTTTAAGCTGGTTGCATGTCCTCTCGTCATTCGCAACAACAAGGGTTGGGCCTTCAATACCTGCAACGAGAGGGTTTTCCAAATTTTGCATTTAAGTGGATTTCGACAAAGATGCGAGAGAGGTAGCAAAACAACTCATGCTGTTTCTAGTTAGGGCTGGTGAGAACAGCTACCTCAAAATGATTAAAAAAACCCAAAAAATTTAAACTATAGTATCAGTTATGAAAAGTAGAAGCTGCTTTTAAATCTCTTTATATCATGTAAAATATCGGACAATATCAGCAAATATCGATTCATCTTTTTCAAGGACTTCCTTTCTTATATAGAACCCCCTTTTCTCACTACAAGAAAACAGTTCCTTTCTACATTAGAATACAAAACATCTGCTAAAGACATGTGCGTTCTCTGGAAAATTTCTCTGTCAAAAATGAATTTACCTGCAGTTGCAGAGGATGATTTAATTTCCTCGAGTATTTCTGACAACACTTTCCACTTAGGACTTTCTTCGATTTCTGTGAAAAAATATGCTTTACATTTAAGACTGAGAAATTACAGCATTAAAAATTAAAACCTGCAAGAGTAAAAAGAAAGGGTGAGGCCTTTTTTCAATCATACATCAAAAGTTGCTTATAAGAATGAAATAAAATACATTACAGTATAGCTATAGGAAGAGCGTCTTAGGAATATCAACATTTTATGATCTAAGATAACTAAAAAAACGGTACTTTAACATAAAAAATTAATACTTATCCACCAGTCATCAAAAAGGATTTCGTTTTGAAAGGATGTTTTACTTTAAACATGACAAGGTTGACCTTTTAGGCGTATTTAGATTAAGATTGCGTATTTTTTAGTACAGTTTTAAGCTTTTATAGCATCGCATTTCTATCGAACATGTCTATAATCTGCACCCTATATTTGAGTGAATAAAGAGACAACGCAGTAGTGAACCAACTCCGTAGAAGACATTATAGGAAGCACTAGAATGTCCCAGTTCTGGATAGTTACCAGTAGATACCAAAAGCTCCAAAAATTGAGACTTTAATGATGGTCACAATAATGAAATAAATCATAATACGAAGGTGATTCATTTTTGGCGTGATTTGTATCATAAAAACGATAGTGTGATTATGATTATTATTATATAATTCATGAATTGGTACATTACCAGAAGGTCGCTCCGTTGATCTAAGAAACAAAAGCAAAGACAGGTTTCTGATGGGTATTTCTTGAAACACGTCAGGTTAAAGAGCACATCTTATGGAGACTTAGAAATACAAGGGCCATTTGCTTAGGCGTTAGTGTCTTGAGAAATACCTTTCTCGACCCCCTTGATACCTTTGATAAGGTAAGAAATATTTAAATAGGCAATAGGTAGAAACAAGGCAAAACGGCGAGGAGCAAAACAATATAAATATTCCAAAAACTAAAAATAAAGATAAGAAAACAAATATTTAATCATAGTAAAAACAAAGGACTAGTTAAAGATCTTAAATTGTAGCCCCATTGGTTATTCTCGATGTATGATCCATTCTAAAAGAAATTTTCCCTCTTGTCACCATTACTTTGTATATAACACAAGATTAAAAGGATTATTTTAAATCTCGTTTGTCGTTGAAGCTGAAGTAATTGTGTGATGATCATTCAAATCGATCCCTTCCTTAACTATTAGATCACCCTGGTTAATCATCTTATCGTAAAAGTTGTCTATTATCAATCCTGAATGCAAAGACATAAAAATTCAGTCACCAACAGTACCTTTTACTCCCAGGTCCTTCGTTCTTTTTCGTTATCCCAAATATTCGAGCTCTTGCATTCTACAAAGTGGAAAGAGTTAAACTTAAATTGAAACGCTAGAAACTATAAATAATCAAAATCATATTTTTTACTGTTTGGGTAAGAACAGCAGCTGGGAACACCAGAACATGTCTGAAATGCTAGTCCCTTAAAGTGAGACATTTCCATATAACATTTTTGTTCTCAAAATTACCATAGTAAAAGTGTAAAGAAAGTCTGAAATTTGAAAACAATCTTTTTGTGGTACAGAATTTAAAAATTGCTCGATGGGCAAGCGGCACTGATTGGGCAACCTTAACAGTCATGTGCTCGCGTTTCTGATTGGCCTATTTCAATCCACAACTGGGAATATATATTTCCTAAAGCAGAGCTTTCGATATATGTTCTGACGCTTTATACTCAGAAGAGTGTCAGACGAAAAGCTTATTAACATGTTTAAAAATGTTTGCTTTTTCAAAGCAATTTTTACAGTCTGAAATGGTGGAATAGATGCAGCTTTGCGTCGCATGCTCATAATAATTACGTCACGATTTCTAGCTCGTCTTTTTTCAGGAAATGAGACTTTCTAATGGGTTTACTAATACACTCAGCCAGTCAAAGATCACGAACCACAGCCAGTCATACGTGTGCACAAAACTCGTTAATCGTTAAAAACAATCGCATAAATCTATTGTGATGCAGAGAGCATAAAACATCATCTATGATCATCCAGTTGATCATATTAGTTAAATCGCGGAATCATTTCCTAGAAACATTTTATAGAAACTTTTATAGATCACTTCACAAAATCATTTCACAAAATCATTTCACAGACTCACTTCAGAGATCACATCACGAAATCATTTCACAGAATCAGACAAATGCTGCACTGCAAATCCAGAAGTTACTCTGCTAAATCTAGTCTATTCCTTCAAGTCAGTGATCCAATTATGGGTGACTGTGATAAGAAACCAGCTGCAAAAATAAATCTCTTGATATTCTGCTGATCTTCACGACAATGGAGAAACTTCTATGCAAGCCTATTTTGGTCCAACATTAATCAATGTATGAGACAAAGGATGAGAGCCATAAGAAGCAAAAGCTTATACTACCGAGATAGTGCAGGTTTTTATACGCTTATCTGAAGAAACAGAGAAGCTCAAATTCGGTAACTTCATCTGATTTAACGAATTTCAACTCAGCTTCAAGATTCAACTGAGACCTTTTTCAGAAGAAAATAGCGTAAAATATATGAAGTAAAATAGCTTTGAAAAAAGCAAACATTTGAGTAAACTAAAGCTTTTCGTCTGACACTCTTCAAAGTTTAAAACGTCAGAACATAGATCGAAAACTCTACGCTAGGAAATATATATACCCAGTTGTGGATCGAAATAGGCCAATCAGAAACGCGAGCGCATGACTGTTGAGGTTGCCAATCAGTGCCGCTTGCCTATAGAGAATTTTACCAATGGAGTCCTAAGGTGAAAACGAACTCCTTTTGTCTACGCAATAGCGGTCTTTTCGTGCTAATGTGGATAGATTCCAAAACTGCTAGATGGAATGACGATCGGGCTTTACCAATAATACGAAACATGTTTTCCAGTGAATTTTCGAGCAGAATCGCAGGTTTTAGTTGCACTTCTAGATCTGCAAAGCCGATGTGGCTGTTCTCTTTGAGGATGGGTTTTGTTTCTAATACTAGACTAGACGGAACATGCTGTTTGATTTTATTCTCCAATCTTTGGGCAGTGCATCCTACGTAGCCAGAATCACACTGGTACGTAAAATCATATACAACGGAACTCTTTTGGGAGATGGGAACGCAATCCTTTTAAATGGAGGGAAGGGCCTTTTTGTACAGTAAACAATGCGTAGATTCACGGCAAATAAATATTTTTTAATGGCCTGTTTTATCTGTTTTTCAAAACGCAAGAAACTGTTACCGATCCAAGGTAGTTTCAGATAGACCAGGCACTTTTTGGGACCAAATTTTACGTCAGCTGAGAAATTTGCTATCTTCCCCTTAATGTAAACTGAAATGACATCCTATGGATAGCCGTTCTCCAGAAAAATCCTTTTTAGTTGTTCAAGTTCCGAGTCGAGTTTAGGCTCGGAACAAATCATCATTGCCTTATGAAATAGCGTTTTGATGAGGCGGATTTTTCTTTGTTTTGGGCAAAATGAACTCCATCGAGTGTATAACCCCGAAAATGCGAGTTTAAGGTATACACTAGTGATAAATCCAGTGCCAGATTTTTCAACCAAAACATCTAGAAATGGCAAGGAGTTATTTTCTTCCTTTTCAAATGTAAACTGTAGGGCTGGGTGAAGGCCATTAAGGCGTTTTAGAAAAACATCACACTCAGCCTCTGTTTTGAAAAATATCATTTTCAAGTTTTGTACCACCAAAAGATTGTTTGCATATTAAGTAACCAGAAACAGACCAGTTCATCAGGAGAAAAAAGATTTTGCAATACACTTACAACGAATAAATTGTTTGCTGCATCCAAAAAAAGCCATAGGCTTGGGTTTGTCGAGTTTTTCTCACTTGCCCTTTTAAGAAAAAATATAAGCAAGACTTGAGAACTGTGGTTTTTTAAATAATGACAACAAAATACTTGCGATACTCTGATATTAGTAATACGTGCAATGCAGTGATTTTTGCTCAATTTTTGTAAAGAATACAAAACTTGGAAAAGAGCTGCACACCGTGATAATAACAGTGAGGGTACGTCAGAAAAAAGATATTAAAGTTAGATTATCAGCAGCGTACCTTAATGATTCCAGAAACGCATAGAATGTAACAGCATCATACTGCGTTAGATGCCTAAAAGATAAACAAGTTTAATGCGTTAGATGCTAAAAAAGATTTTTGTTTTGAAACTCCTACTTGAGAATTTATGTCTAGGGAGGTAAGAGGAGCGAAATTCTGGTGATAAACCTCTTGAAAAATAGAAAAGTTTTCCTGTTAAAAAGTTCAAAATTCACGAAAAAGAATGTATAAGGTCAGTGTAGCGTAGCCCGGGAAATAAGATTGGGGGGGAGCAAAAGGCGAGATGAGCAATAAATTGGGGGTCCATACCCTTTACAACACCAGAACACCTTTTTCAAGAGATTTTTTTGTCATTGGGGACATGGAAGCCTGCACTCGACAAGAGCAACGAAGGAAAGCACCAAGAAAAAGAGCAAAACAATAGTAAAAAGAAGAAAAATGCTAAACTTCACAGGTGCAAGGCGTCTTTGGTTGGAGGCGTCTGCCCCCTCTGGCCTGCCCCTCGCTAAGCCACTGTATAAGGTGCATAAACAGATCAATGATTAGGAATTAATGATCCAATTTACACAAAGAAAAAACGCAACTTAATGGTTCGGTATAGAAAAAGTTCATAGCACTTGCATTTACAATGGAAATCGCATGTTCATACTATTAAGTTACAATTGAAAACACTTCTAATTATGTGATGGATAGAGGCCTTCTAACGTCATTGGATTATGGCCACTGATCATAAATGATCAGCTAATGCACATGCCTGGCCTGAAAGTTCCGCTCTTAATTCAGTTTAATGTAAATGAATCTTATTTTGACTCCATTCCTTTTCTCTTTAATATAAACGCGAGGAAAACTGCCAAGTAACACAGAAAGATCTGTACCAAATAGCCCCTTCTTTTAGCTAAGTGAAAACGGGGTGATTATCTAAAGAATCTGATATTAAAATATATCTAATAAATTGCATGACTCAGTTGAGAACATTCTGCCACATTTTCGTAAGCTGTCAGGTAAAAAGAGTAGCAATATTTACTTTATCCCTTTATGGAAATTGTGCCTAGGAGGAGACATATCTCTAAATTATGAGTATATATTTACACGGTTTTAAATTATACATACACAAGAAGAGTCCTTAAAACCTTCAGGTCAGAAACCAAGTTTTTTGTTCTGCTGCTCTGTTGAAAAAGACAATCGTAAGAATTTATTAAATATTCTAAAGTTATGATAATATATGTAAAACAGATGTAAAAATTCTCATGAAAGACTTTGTACCTTAATGCTAAAGATATTTCAAACAAATAGTACATGTCTTATTATATTGTACGAAAAATCGGAAGGCAATCATCAAAATCGTCATTACCATATCTGTAAGAGTATGACACTGTTTGCCATTTTTACCAATTATCAATTTCTTTTGAGCTGCGATAGATTTCTCATTACATAGATCTATGATACAAAATCTCATTTCGCTAGCGTTATAAGTGCGTCAAGAGATGGCAACAGAAGGGTTGCAACAAATTGATGGCAACTTCTTACCAGTTGATGCCAAACAGGATCCAATTGACTTCTGAGAAATTTATCAAAATTCTTCCCAATGCAGTTTTCAACAGTCATTTCATCAGGGTCAAGCTAAAAACAAAAATTTAAGCAAAAGTAGAAGATCAGTAAGTTGATCAGGGTTCAACAATTCTAAAGTTAGCTCTCTTACAAAGAGAAAAAAACATAAAAATGCAGCTGCAAACTACAGCAATACAAAACAGCCAAATCCAATTAGCCAGTGACCCAGTCAGCCAGGTAGTCCTAGCAGCTATCATAGACTACCAGGTTTTCTATGAGAATATTCTGGCTCAAAATCATCCAATTTCTAAGAACATAGTAAGAATTAAGCTCAGCCTCAGCTCGCATGCTTGTGTCTCATTTTTCAGCAGTTGCCTCTTTTGCAATGTTGATAACAGAGAATCACATGAATAGCACATCTCGTTTTTTCAAAAGCCTGTTTTCATTCATTTCGAGGGAGGGCGATCTTTCCCAGATTTGAAACAAATAAGAATGGTTGAAGCATCAGAGTTAGGAAAACGTTACTGCCACACGGCCACTGGTCGGAGAAAGGTTGGGCAAACAAAAGAAACTGAGAAAGGTGACAAAAAATTGGAATCTTGAGGAAGTTGAAGGAATCGTATTGCCTTTTGGCTTCCAAAATACAGTCAGACAAACATAAATAAAATCAAATAACATCAATAAACCTCCTGTTTTATAATATTGAATGTGCTTGCAGAACTATTTTGCAAGGTATACTTTATGTATTAACTTTTTATATATATATACTCAAATTATGACATGTTTTTGTTATTAATTGACATAAGCATGTAACTTTGCATCTGTTTAAAAAAATATCTATAACTGAGAACAATCTTTAATTTTGAAAATGGTTTTGGGAAAAAAACTTGCAAGGAGAGGGGATCAAGACTAGATGAGTGCCCCAAATTTTCTGAACTCGCCAATTTTAAATAAATTAAAAATGAGGAAGGTTTTATAGTAAGATTTGCTTGGCCGGAAGAAGGTTAAAAACTTTTCTGGATTCTGTGAAGAATATATTCAGGTTAAAAATGAAATTGGCTGGACAAAATTTAAAGCGTTCATTTAAAAAAAAGTGTAGTCTTATATATTGTCTCGCCTATTAATTAGTGTACATATATTTGAGCAATATATCACTTCTCTCGCAAAACATGTCTATGTATAGTAATTGTATAGGGAGCAAGTCAAAATCATCGATCACATTTGAGATACTTGACAAATACTTGAGCCAGAATCAAGTTTAACTTACCGATTGATAGGATTTTCTTAGCTCTCTTAGACAGCATCCGAGTAAATCTAAAACTGCCATCTGTATTGACGTCATTAAAGGAGTGAGATCCACATGTAACTCAACCACGTCTGGCTGTGGGAGAAGATGTACATTAACATAAAAAACAATTATTGATTCCAATCTGTTAAGAAATGAGCGTTGAAGAAATTCTCATTATGTATTTTAAAATAACAAGAGTTTACGCTAACGAAATGTTAACAGTACGCTCAGCTACTTAAAAAAAATACTCTTTAACAGTTGTCCTGTCGTTGACCATTAAACCTAGACATTCAGAGTCAGGCTGCCAACACACGTAATACTCTAAGGAGCAATAAAAAAAATTTGAAACAGGAACTCTCAAAAATACTGCAAGGACAGCAGCTAGTTGAATTTTAGAAATGCATAATGGCAACAGTTCCTCTTAAAATAGAAGCCGGGAGCAATAATGTCTTCATAATTAACAAAAATATTCTGTTATAAAACTAATAGTATGATGTTAGAGGATAGAACAAAAACTTTTCAACACAATCAAATTGGGGTCAAAAGCGTAAAAAAGCGTTTCCTGCCACCAAGACATTATTTTACCATTATTAAACTCTTCTTAGTCTTCACTTTCGATTCCCAGCTGTTCGGTCCGGATGCAACCCAGATCTTTACCTTAGGTCTACAGGCTAAAAGTTTAATTTCTGACAATCTTTAACCTAAGGGAAGGAGGGCTCTTGCCCTATCACACACAAACACACCCTTGGAACAGATGCTAAGTAACAAACCTTATTTTTCTCAAGGGCGTCGGCAACAGAGGCGTGAAATCTAGGATCAAAAGAACAAATGTATACTCGGATAAGATCTCCCTAATAACTTAATTTGCAGTACTTTGAATTGACTCCAAAAACTTCGCCTTTGACAAAAGGTCTGGTTATTCAAGCCTTTGCGAAGTATGCGTGAAAGAGTTGGAAAAGGTAAAACAATTATTTTGGAAAGGCAAATACAAAGACCATGTGTAAAGTGTTGGAGGAAATTCTTATCAATTACAATGTTAAGTTTGCATTAGTTTTCCACATTAAGATAAGCAAATTTCGATAAGGGCATTTCCTTCAGTTTTGCTTTCTTCAACATCATATCATTAAATATCAAGGACTGAATCCAGTAGCTACTTGAAAAACTTTGTTTTGTTTGCAAAAGCAAACCGTTCCCACTAAACCACGAACATAACCACTGATACCAAAACCCAAACCACGTTTAATGGCTAATAACAACTGGGGTCTATTTTACACAATACCTACTCAATTAAACATAAGCCATTCATTAAATTAAACACTTCAGTGATGATGACAATAAGCCATAGCTCTCAAGAAGTATGGTATACCTTGGCCAAAGGAAAAGCTTTCGAACGAAGAGGTTTCGCATCACTCTTTCGACTTGAAAAAACCCGGAAGTAAATGATGTTGGAGAATCGGAAAATGCTTTGATAAAACCAGTCTGAGGGGATAAATAAATAGTTATCACAACCTTGGATCGGTCGTATTGAATATGCTACAAATCACAGTGGGAATTAACTGACAACTCTAAACAAATGTTTCCTTTAAAAATATCTTATATGCGTTAACTTTTTTGCTTTGGCAAGTAGCCTCGCGAAAACGGACATTTACCTATATCAGTTAGTAACTTACTGTATCCGCTTTCTCGAGGCCTCGGTTTAGGTTCATTCTGCTCAAACGAGCTGCTCAAAAAAGCAAACATTTGAGTCAACTAAAGCTTCTCGTCTGACACTCGTCTATACATATTTCCTAGCGTCTCTATATATCTTCCACTCGACTCGTCTTTATATCTTGTAGTGATTTTAGATCTTATTTTCTTGAAGTAAAAAGATCAGTAAGAACATATACATCAGATAGATATACCAAATGAAATTCGATCGATGGCTGAAAATAATAGTTTTTCTGGGAACTTGTTACACGATAGAAAAATTTTCTGCTGAATGAAAATATTACGTTCAACAGTTCCATAAACATTTGTCATAGAGTTCTCATTAAGATCTCTCCATCAAGTTTTGATTTGTAATGTTGATTTGTGAATTTAAAGATTTTTAGCTTTTATTATAGAAGATATTGCAAAGAAATGATTTAAATTTTCTTACAATGAACTGAATTTTTTTTACGCCTATGAACTTAATTTTTAACAAACATACTTTGCACATTCATCTTTGGTTTCCCAGGATGCATCTTGTATCTCTGATGCCAGCTTCTTTGCCATTATTGCAAAACAAAAGAGAAACCCGCATTCAAACATACCTTGTTTTTCTGTCTATACATCCGAAGAATGAAGGCCTCTTGCCCAGATTCAACTATTCTAACAACAGAAAAACCTTATGTAAGCAAACACTGAAAATTGCTATGAGTTTATTTAGAGAATCATTTTTGGTTGGGGTAAATATAGCGCTTGAAGCGATATTGATTGACAGAAAAAATATTGTTCTCCTTAAACGTACCAGAAAATGAAAGTGGAAAAGACTATGGGAGATCCATAATCTCTGTGAATTTGTTATCATTGTGGTGAAACTCATACATCTGACAATTTTGAAAGTGTATAGTGCTGCAAAAGAGCACCCATCCAACATTTGGTACAGGAAATCTCTTGTACCTCTGATCAGCAGCTCTTAATATAAACACTGCTAGATACATAATATTGAAGTAAAGGAATTGACCTACAGTAATTGCATTTGTAGGGTGCCATAGCTGAAGAAATGTCGATAAATATAAATCTCTTTCTGCTCAGAAGGAATGAGAAGTCTTTGTTGCTAAAGAAAAAAATCAACTTCTTACTTGTGTGCTCTGTAAACTATTATTCCAGTAACAAGATGCGTAGGAAGACGTTCAGTGAGTATGTCCACAACAAGAATTCTGGAGGTAACAAAAAGGACTCCACCCTTCATGTACACTGAAACTCTGCAGACAAAAAAAATTGACAAGTAAGTAATCTTCTTGAAGCAATGTATGGTGGGCAGCAGAAAATATTATTTACATGTTTAAACAATTAGTAAGTAATTCATAAAACAGAAAGTAGAGGGTAATGCAGGAGTCATTTTTTGGCTTGTGGATAAAAATTGACTAATAAACAAGGGTGCATTGGGATGAGAAAAATATTATAATAAAGATAACTTCAAAATGAAACTTAATCCTTGAAAGTTATGACATTCCACGAAAAATAAATAATTAAATAATTAATAGAAATTAATACAATAGATTGAGCAAAATTTTCTCACTCTAAAAATTTTCCAAAACAAAGGGAGAAGCAGATTTTGAACCAATGTAACAAACATTTTAAAAGGAACAAGTTTTATAAAAGCCTTCTGCCTTATCCATAAAATAAAACATACTTTGCACATACATTTAAATAGGTTCAGAGCCTTGTTATGAATCAATTAGGGATCAATTTGCCAAAGCAACAACATTACATCAATAAGAAACTTTTTACCGTTCATTTGTTCCAACTTCATTTGTAATAATTTTTGGCTGCTGTGGTACATTACAAGCTTCTAGTTCATCCATAAAAAATTCCTTCAAGAAAAAAAGGCACAATTTAATGCAAAACAAAATTAAAATGTTCTCAAGAAAATGATGTATATTAAAGCTAGTGGCAAAAAAGCAGTTTCAATACCAAATATAAACTTAATCTATGCAAAAATATTGTAATAAACATCATATAATGATAATAGTCACAAAATTGGGTGTCAAAATCCATAATTAAATTGTGGCATAGTTTGATAAATGTTTGGTTTTGATATTATTTTTCAGAAGTTGGAAACTTTAAGCCAGAATACCAGTGAAACATTCAAACAATGGTTTAACTAAGAAATTTCTTCTTACTCTGCTATATATGTATCAATAGTGCACATGATTGATACAAATAAAAGCTTTCCAAAAAACACATCAAAGCAGGAAAACATTACATGTTTACACTGTAAAAAGAGTCTCTGTTAAGAATTGATGCCCTGAGATCATTCTAATAGAAGATGTTTAGTAATGAGTTCCATATCGTACTATCAAATTCACCGTTTTACAACTGAACTAACTACCAACAGCAAAATGTGCGAATGTACGTAAACAAGTCTTTGTTAAGAAATCTATTGTGTTATATAAACAATGCGTGTTCGCACTTTGTGTGAAAAGAACTATAATGTGTCATTGTTTTGTTTATTACGAAGCTAAAGATTATATTCTCAACAGTCTCTTTGACCAAAATTGAAATAGTTTACAGCAGAAATGAGGCATGCATGGTTAGTTTAGCCTTTAAAAGTTGGTGTCTTTTAAAGTCTGGTTTACAGTTCAATCCAAGTAACCACATATGAGGAATATCATCATTGCATTATATAAAGTCTACCTTTATCCTGTCAAATGAAGTCTTACCTCCTCTTCATTAGTTGTGTTGAGAACAAGAACAAGGAAAGTTGGATCACAATAAATTCTTATGAAACTCAAAAGAAGTCTTTCAACACCAAGTCCTCTGCAAAGAAAAACAAAAAGGAGAAAATCAACATGTTTGATCAAGACATTATGAGTTTGAAATATATATCAGATGCATGCATTATTTACTGGGGTCTATTTTAAATAACTGATCTCCCAAATTTGTTCATGATAATTTAGCTGTTTCTAAAAATCCTTCTACTGTAGTTTGACCAATCTCATTTGCTACTGGCTGCCTGTGCCCATACTGCTGTGGCTGATGTAACATTCCTATTCTAGAATTCATACGGGAGTTGTCTTTCCTGGCTAAGAACTGCTTTAGCGGTTTGAGCATTGATGCCCTGTGCTAACACTGAACCGCTTTAGCGGTTTGAGTGACGTATCTATTTGAAACCCTCTGAACAGCATAACAACATTACCATAGCTACTTTTAGTCTTAAATAAAAAAGAAGACAAAGGTTTAGATTTTTGATTGACAGAGCTTTTGTCATTGGTCATAATCCAAAATAATGAGCAATCCTTGTTAGGCAGCCCTTGTACAATCACATTCACTGCAAGTGGTTCTGAGTAACATAACAGTTTTTGATACTGATACTCCTACTAAAAACGAATAAAATGAGGCATTTTCATGGGGAAATATCTGACAAAGAAGACAGAAAGTTTGTCAATTTTCACTTCAAAATGTTCGAAGAGAAGTGGGATCTTTTAGGCCAACCGATAGAGCAAGCTGATTGTGGAAATTTTGCCAAATGCTGGTCTGACAATCAAGCTACAATCTTATTGGAAATTCTTTAATTTTTTAACTGTTTCAAAAAAGTAATCATTGAGAAGATAGCACATTGGACACAAATCTAAATCGAACTTTCAAGACAGAACAGGCTGGTGTTTATGATGGTGATAGGCCTCAATGGGCGGCGAACATGGAAGACCCCAAGCTTTACTTTGACATATTGGTTATAGCCAATATTATTCTAACTGTGCCTCTGCTAAAGACTGTATTATGTGCATCAAACTCAGAACCTGATAAGAACTTTATCAATATCTGGATTAAAAGGACAATAAATGTTTGAAGGATTATCATAGAAAGGCATTTGAGATAAATAAAAACATTTTAAACATTTTAAACATTATTGTGTGTATTGTATTTTGTTGGGTTTTGAAAATTTTATTGAAACATAATTTGAGGCCCTAACTTTGACTTTTCAATTCTTCATTCAATTCTCTTTAAGAATAGATATGGTTGTCCTAATAGAAAAATTACCCCTTCATGTATAAAAATGAGTTTAAACTATGAAGTCTGAAAAAGATCATTTTCCTCAGGAATGCAGATTTTTAAGGGCATTCGCATCAGGGAATGCGGCTAGGAAAGGGTTAATACTACATGCAAGATTATTTTTGTCAGGCCCGGCAAACCGGCAGACTCAAAAATACTTTTCCAATTATGTATGAGGTATATGTTTAGCATAATGCTCAATTTGTATGCATACTTTCCAGTTATTACAAGACCATCTTCTGCTTGCAAATCAGCAAATACTGTGACTTCGTGTTCTAGCAACTGAAAATGCGGACTGTCTTTTAAATCGGCAACAATCGACACCGAGGGCTCTTGGGTTACGTTATCTGGTCCGAGAGGGGTTGAGGTACTTGCTTCGCTGTTCTTCGAGGCCATTTTTTCCAGCCAAAAGGCATCAGAGATTTTCTTTAATAATTGAAGAAAGGCTTGACAAATTTAAAACAACTTCATAAACGTTTCTTTTGCTGCACTACACACCCCTTCTCCGTTGCTTGTTCTGTCCACCATTTATTTTTTTTCGCGCGAGTGTGTCCACACGAGGCTATTCAGACAGGGTAGATATTTCGAGAGAAGGTGAAACATGAGGTGAAACAACTGTCTGCACTTCGTCAGAAAAGCAAGAACCATGATCGCAAAAGATGACAGAGGCAGGCAGGGCTCCGTCCAAAGTAAACCATACTCTTTCTATATAAAACAAGAGAACGAAAAGATAAGCGAAAAAAATCCAATCTGTGATGTACATGGACATAGGTCAGATGGCCGGAAGGTTGAGGAAATTAGGCCTGTCCACCTAAGAACTGGTAAGTCTCTTGCATTTTTTCTTTTTATAGCCCACTTACAAGTGACAACTTCCAAAACATGGTATTAGTTCCCCCAAGTTGGATTACCGTGAATTCAAATACCAATATCAAGTTTCAATGTAGTTACATATTGTGGAAACCAATATCATTTTTCACTTCACGTCATTCACATGTATTCACTTCGAACGCATATCTACGCTTTGCGCTACCAAAGTACAATAATAGCCTCTTAAACAATTTTTTGCATCATCAGGAAATTCTGCAGTTTGCCAACTGAAAGCTCCAAAAGACCATACAGTGTTATTGTCAGTAGATAGATGACCGTTTTCTGTCAAGTTTTAGTTTTGAAAATGAGTGAGATTTATGAAAAGACGGGGGAAATGTTTGAACAGCTATGACATTTCAAGAACAGGCAGGTCCACTATAAATCCTGACAGCAGCATGGAGAAAATCAGGATCAGGTGGCATATCCTCCAGGAATTTTTTTTTTTGAAATCAATGATCAAAAAAGCAAACAAGAAACAATCAATGCCTTTTAAAGCTTCCCAAAATTACAACCAAATAAGCATTCAAGTCATTTTATTTCATGGGAGCAAAAGTCTACAATGAACTGCCTGTTCACATATGAAAACCAGAGCCTTTTAGTGCCTCTGAACAGTGCTTAAAGGAGAACTGACACGCAAAAATAAGTTTGGCTAAAACGGTAGTTTGTGACAAGCAAATTCCAGGATCGAAAAAATTTTTTAAATCACAGTTACCGTTTTTGAAATACGGGCGTTTTAAGTTGAGAAACGACAATTGTTCCGACAACTTGAGACTCGAGGCGAAAATCGTCACGAGTGGACGATCATCTTTGACGTCACAAGTGACATGTTCTCAGCACGTATTGTGTTTCTCTATAGAAACCTTTAACAAAATGCTGCGGACAAATGTTTATTTTGTGCATATGAAAGGAGCTAATTTTGCATTTTTGACACATAATTGACTTTTTCAATAGTTTGGGACTCTGAATCGGAGTTTTATTACACTGATTTCGAAACAAATGGAGAGTTTCAGCCGTCTGAGTTTTTGCTACCAACCAGCGCTGCCGCTTGGGCAGACAGTCGTCCCATGGCTCAACAGTGACGATATTGTAAACAAAGAACAGACTGTAAAGTACAAACTGATATGGAATTTCTATTAAAAATAATGCTATTGCTACAATCTAAATGAGATCAGGTATCGTAAAACTAGAATTTTATTTCAGATTGAGGCGTCTTTGTCCAGACTGTTTTGTCTGTATGGCCTAAATTGGCTAAAATGCCCATGATGCCCTAAACGGAACTGCAAGTTATTAATTGTTAATGTAACATTCTATGATTGTTTTTCAATGTTGTAAACGCGTTAACTGTATAGTGATATTGAATAGTAAAGGCGGGTTAAAAGTCGACTTGTGCGGATTTTATGCCATTTTCACCCGGCGTGAAGGGTTTCGGGAAATGATAAGTTACCTGGCAGTCGAAAGATCTGGATTTACGAAATAGGCTCTTAGCTCTTAGTCAAAGAACTTGATTTCTTAGTCGAAGAAAATGCTGTTTAGCTGTCATAGGAATATCAACTGGCGCATTATATTCTTTTGCAAGCAATTTTGACTTGGGTGGGGGATGGGCTTTTTGCAAGACTAGGTTATTCCCTAGTATCTCAACCTCTGTTAAAATACAATAATCAAGTTCAGTGAAATTATTATTTAGTCACACTCGCAGCTCCCATCAACCAAGGTTTTTTCTTGAATTCATATATCTGCACCCAAAGCAGGTTGCAGGATCGCTTTTACCGCTGTCTCCACTAGATTTCGTTTGTCTTTTGGCTACTGCTTCAACCCCCTCCCCCTATGTTGCGATTTTTTTGTAATTGTAAAAATAAAAACTTTGAAGAAACGGTATCAGTTTTCAAACAAAGTCGACTCCTTTTTTCACAAGCTTAGAGGTTCTTTCAATGTTTCAAAGCATGCTGGTTCGAAGATATCATGGCATGAAAATAAATTTTATGTGGATATTAGCGTCCTAGCAGACATGAAGCTAGGATTTTCTAGCTTCTTTATACTTATAAATGAAATGCCTGACAATTTTTTGTCTTTTCACCGCGGACTTTTTTAAATAAAACACGAAACTTCACTTGTACTTTCACCGTTGCGGTGAAAGCCTTTACAACGGCATTGTTAACATGTCACTTGTGACGTCAACCGAGAATTTTAACAACTCCTGGCGATAATCTTGTTTCCACTTCGGGAAATTCCCGAGTCCTGGCTGTGACGTATTTGACGGATAAAAGTGCAAATATCAGAAAAACGGCGAATCTAAGAAGAAAACTTTTTCCAGATTTGAAGTCAGCGACAAATTTTGCATCGAATAAGCCAAAGTTATTTTTGCGTGTCAGTTCTCCTTTAAGCAACATTACACCTAAACTTTCTTATTTTAGAAATATAATATTTGTTTTAATTAAGTGCTGTAAATTTCTATTATCCAACCTTTGCTCTTCCAAAAGTTGAATCTCATCGAAAATATGGTACACAGCAAGTCACGAATAATAGCATTTTTGTATTTCAGAAAGACCCTGCAATATGCTCTTATATTAGTGTGTTATTGTGGAGCCAAATGCTGGAACAACATTTCTTTAAAAATCAGAAGTTTACCATCTGCTTATAGCTTTCGTTGAAAAATCAAAACTTTTATCTTGGAGAACAATTACCAACCATAGGAATGCTAACATTTAACGTAAGAATCAGCTGCTTTTGATAATTATCTTTGAAACAGGGTGGGCTCCTTCAATTAGCCTATCTCCCGAGAGAGCTCCTCCTTAAGAAATTCCCAATTTACAATAGTTCTTGCTTCTTTAGATTTTCCTAATTAAATTTCATTGTATTTCACAACCATTGTTGTTATAAGGTGGTTTATCTAGTAGTATGTTTATTTCAATTTTGTTCAATTTGTGTAAGGTAGATTTGTTTAGTTTTTACATGTTGCATTGTGGGTAGTGGAATCTCAAATTATGAAACAAAACTGAACTAAAATCCAAGGTTGTTTCATTTTTCATGATTTACATCAGCCTTTTTGTTTTTAAGAAATTCTCACAATTCTTCCAATCATAGGCGTGGTCACCCAAGCCAAAGGCTCATCATATTTTGAGAAGGATGGAGTCAAAGTAATATGTGCAGTTTATGGCCCAAGGGAGTCTCAGAGAAAAACAGAATTTAGCACGAAAGGGAGAATCATTTGTGATGTAACTTTTGCACCCTTTTCACAACCAACTCGGCAGCTGAAAGCTGAAGAATCAAAGACAAAAAGGCTTTCAGATCTACTGGAAACTTCTTTACTTTGTGCTGTCTGTTTGGATTCATTTCCAAAATCTCAAGTTGAAGTTTTTGTAAAAGTGTTAGAAGGCTCCGGAGATGTTCTTTCTGGGGCAATAATAAGTTCATCTTTAGCATTAGCTGATGCAGGGATTGAAATGTATGATTTGGTAACTGCATGTTCATTAGTTTATGATGAAGACTATATTGCTTTAGACCCAACATATGAGGAAGTCAATCAGGATCCTTTAAGAGGATGTTTGATGTTAGGATATTTGCCTTCGCTTAACAGAATATCTTGTATGATCCAGAATGGAACAGCGGCAACTGAAAGAAACATAGTTTTCATTAAAAAGTGCATTGAAGGTTGTATACGAATGCATGCAGTGATGCAAGATTGTTTGGTAAATGGCTCCCTTAAAAAAGAGGAGCAACAACTCTCATCAAAGGACTTGCATTGATACAATATTTCATAAATGTCGGTGTAAAATTTTATAACACATGCAAACTGCAAATTTCCTTTTAGTCTTTTCCTGCTCTTTCGTCAACTTTCTTCTAAAGACAGTTGTTCAAAATTGATAGTCATCACCCTGTGGCAATCAATACATAAAAAGCTTGATTTTTGGGTTGCACAACAGAGAGAAAAAGAAAAAAGACTCATTTTAAAGCTATATGCTAAGTCCCACTATGATGAATCATAATTACAGCTAATTCGTATAAATACCTTTCAAATTCGTAGAAAATATAAACTTTGTAAATATTGTACAAATTTGCATCATAATTTTCTTAAAAACAGAAAACTATACTGCCTTTTCAATTAAGAAAATTTGTTTAGGGCAGGCCATTACTCTTTAGGTGTAGGGCAAACCATTACAAAATATGTTTAAGCTACCTATCTAATAGAAAATCCTATCAAATGCATCTTAATGCATAAAGCAGATATGGACCCCAATCGAACAAAAAAATTTCGTTTCCAATACCAAAATCGTATACATAAATTCAAACATTGACAATAAGTTTATTTTTTAGTGCTTGGATATTCAGCTGGCCCTCTAAAAAAGTTCCCAAAAAGCTTACTACATTTGAAAAAAATTTAGCCGAAAATTCATAGTATCATCTAGCAGGCCTATCAAGAACTGTTCTTGGGGCCTTGCGCAAAAAATATGGGAACTGATGACATGGAAAAATTTTGATTGATATTGTTGTTGTTATAGTCAGGAACTCATCAAGTGCTGTACAAGAGCCTGCATACTTTATCTTTCATAATGAAAGATTTGACTCTACACGAGGAACAATAACTAACTAGCCAAATTAAATATTACAAATCTCCAGGCAGTTTGCCTTTAAGTCATTAAAGAATCATTGAAGCTTTTGTGATTATTAGTTACTACCATTTTAATATTACGATTACTGTTACCAAGAATTTCTGCTGGAAGCTGGAAAATATTCTCATTTGTGCAGCAACACAAGCAGCTGTCGCATCATTTTGCAGAAAACTGCACGTCTAATTATTTCATCGAAAGCTTCTACGTAAGCTAGCCATCACTTGCAATGGACTCTTGCTTTTCGATTCCCTCAGGGAAGACCTTGGAGAGTTCCTTGGTGACCGTGAGAAGGGTATCCCAGTTGGCTCATCCCCCAGAGGTTTTAGTCTGCACGTGCTAAGATCATAGCTAATGCTCAGTTTTTTTGTCAGTGCTGTTTTTGAACTGAATGATGCTGGAAACATTTCCTGGTAACAGCGGAAGATAGATGCATAACAGGAGTCTATAACTGGCTTTGGCAGCAAGATGCTATCATCTGACATTGGCATGGTGAATTCAGTTTCTGAAATAAAAAGGAAAGAGATTAGAGGACTTTGCATCTCTTAAAATCCACTTTACAGACTTAACTGAAAATATTTTTTTGCTTATTCTTCTTTCGATTCTTGAGAAGCACTTCTTGCAGGCCTTTTAATCACAAGATCTGTTTACAAATACATCCACAGGAGAACGAAAAATAAGCAGACATCAGTACTGAAGGAATTAGCGTTTTATAGAAATCCTTGAGAGATCCTTGAGAGATTATAAGCTCTGGCATGTAATTAAATCATTCGATGCATATCCAAAGCCTGCCGGACCTCTCTGAGAAAAAGTTTGCAGGCAAGTACAGGCCTCGAACCGCAAAAAGTATAAATACCGGACTTTGTCTAACAGCTGTCCAATTCACTGAAAAATGTACACCCTTAAGATATTTGTATTTAGAGTTGCACCGGAACCGTTGTTTCCTTAACAAATAATGTTATTTTGAATTTATTTTCAGGCAAATGTGAACGGACTTAGAAAAATAACTTCAATGCAACACACAGAGCAATGAAAATAACGGAAAGGCTGTGACGTACTATTTACCAAGTCATTCTTTCTTTATCAGAATTAAGACTGCTCGGTTTTTTTAGTACACAGGATGCCTTGATTCAAAGAAAGTAGTGTGTCTTCGAGCTGATTGTATAAAAACAACTGTGCATTCTGGTGCGAATCGCCAGAGGATGGTGATCGCCTTATTTCAAATTTGAACTTCCTTACGTCACTCCTCCCTAGCCTTCTTCAGGGACTTGCAAGTAATGAATGAAAGGGATTTTAGAGAAAATGTTTCTGCACGGGGGAACTGCTTCCAGCCTAGATCCTGAGCGACAAATATGGCTTACGGTTTGAAGGTGCATGTAAATTAGGTTGGCCTAATGGTTAATGTCACACTAAAACTAATCATATATAAATTGCAGAAAAGATTTTAATTTCTAATTAAAATTTATGATTGAGCCTAGAACCCCTTTCGCTAACCGCTGCTCTGTCTGATATAAGGAAACAGGCGAATGTATAAAGTAGCTCGCCTGTTTCTGTCATAAAGTTGCTTTAAACTCATCATTTTCCCACTCCATTATGTACAGTATGAAGGGAAGGGGTTGATATAACCCCAAACCTATCAAAAATTATAATGAAAAGACGAATTCGGAGGTACCCGTTCCACGAAGAGTTGCTTCCGTGATCAAAAATACATTCTGGTTTCTTTGCAAACCTGTAAATGGGCAACGATCCTTTTCAATTCAACATAAATCTTCTGTTCCGAAGCAAAGCTTATATGAACATAACCCGGCCGTTAACTGTTTCCTTTTTCGAATCAAATAATCCTGGTTCTTTTGTTCCTTTATTAAGGTTTGCGATGGTGGTATGAACAGTTCGTTTTCAGGTTTGTAGATTTAAAAGATTGTTCGATACATTCCTCTGCGGCGGTGATGCTGCTATTCAACTTTAGAGTAACCTTTTATTGAGAATTGTTTTCTTGGCATCAAAATATATCAGCCTAAATTGTATTGTATAATTTCCAGCACGTAAAATGTATCAATATGGTCATTCATCTTCATAATTGTAAATTATTCGCCAAAGAGCCAATTCATGAAACTAAACATATCGAGTCAAATCAAACATATGAAACTCGATGAGGTTTTTTTCATTTTACAGATTGCCACGATCTTTCATAATTTCAAATCCTGGTGCTGAGACTTGTGTTGCTATCTCATATTTGAGGGGCGTCCTAAATACACTCTTTTCTTTTTATAAGAACAATTTAAAAAAAACGAGCATCAAAATTGGTCAAAAGTTAAGAACAAATTAAGAACAAGCTGAGCCTGAGCTACTCTAAAATGCAATTTTGAACAACGTTTTATCTCAAAAACGAGGACTTTTAGACATGTGTGGGTGCTTTTTCGGTGAAATATCAAACTTATCGGCAAATGAAGGTTGCCTCAACCACTTTGTTGGCAAATGAGGCCTGAACACCTCCCTAAAGCGAAAAGCTAGCAATGGCACTGCTTACACCCTATTAATAAAGGAACAAATTAAGAACAATCCAGCCTCAGATTTTCGAAAAAATAAAGAACAGTCAGCCTGAATTTAAATTTACTGGTTCTTATAAAAAAAATGTAAGTTAATCAATGCCAATTTCCAACTAAATTTTCAAATCCCTTTAAATAGATATATATCGGAAATTATGAAAATAAATTTCCCAGCCTACTATTTCTGCAGTTTTTCCTTATCATAGCTAACCAAATTCCAGATGGAAATATCGGGCAAACACATTTTACCCCAACATTGCTAGTTTAGAAAGTAGTGTAACTGAGACTGTTCGGCTTAATAGAGGCTTGACCAGCTCTTATAACTGCTACATTTACTAAGCGGAAATACAGCGGCGATGAACTTGTATAACTTACATTGACTGGTTCTTGACAATGATACTCTTTGAAATCATCAATAATATATTTTCGAAGATAGGCACAACAGGGAATAACTCGACCCTTCTCCTTGCTGTAACGATCTGTTTACGACACGGCAAACTTGGATGTGAAAGGAAGCCCAAAGTTTACACCGAAATGATTTGCTGTGCGTAATCCGTGTTCAGAAGCCTTTGAACTAGGAGATTATTAGGGTCAATATGTAAATATGACAGTCACTGTTTTAAAAACCTCAGGGTCAGCGCTCTTTGGTTTAGACCGTTCAAATACGATGTGATTCAACAGGTTCACGAGTTAATTCAGGAAACGAGATGTAACAGAGATTGGTAAGATGTATTATGCTGTCGAGGAAATTCCTTTTTTAGAAAAGAAACAGGATTTCAAATATAATTAGGACGACCACAACATGCATTCCTTTTTCGGATCGGGGGGCTGGAGCAAATGTGCAAAAGTGTTTCACAACGGTACCCAGTAGCAAATGCAATTAGAAACACTTCATATAGTCTTTGATTGGAGTAATCTTAACATTTAATAATAAATGTGTAAATTCACTTGGGAAACTGGGGGCATGCCCATCACTCTTAATAATAAGTTGCGAGGCAGTTGAATTGTTAGACTAAATAATAAATTGCCAGTCTTTCTTTTCAAATTACTTCAAGCGAAATGCAATTCCCAGGGATTAACAGGGACCTCTACCCTGAGAAGCTTACAGTATCTTTAATGTTGAATACGTATGGGAAGTCAATTTTACTGCGAAGAAGAATTCAGTTCAGGTTGCGAAGAGGAACGATCATTGCGGAGGAGACAAGAGTGGAAAAGGCATCTCTGCGCTATGGGAGCAATACTACTGATTGCTATAAACAAGATATTAGTATAGATCAGCGAGTGACACGGGTACTCATATCCTCGATCAAGTCCCACTTAAAAGAAGCCTCCATCTCCTAAGTATTCATCCTCGAGCAAGCCTTCTTTGAGGATCAATTTATTCCGATTCCTGCCCGGAGGATGTTTATCTTGCCGCACCTTCTGAACTGCCAGTTGATACAGGAGAAATTGACAGATAAAAAGGATTTTACTTAATATGTTTCTTGCACAAGATAAGGATTTCAAAGTGATATCCGTATTTTTTGGTTGAATAATCTTGGTAGCTCATAAATCTACCATTTAATAATCATCTTGAATAAAAGTCCCCTTGAACAATCCCCAGTTCATAAGTTCATTTTTACAAATAAGGTACTTGGTATGGAAATTAATAACAGGTTTGACAGCTATAATTAACTTACGTATACTGAGACAAATATAGATAAAAAGGGTTAATGAAGAATGAATTACAATTACGCCCTGCATTGAATTCAAGAAATTTTGATCTAAGCTGGATAGTTAATTACGTGATATTCGTAATTACGTGAAATGTTCCATCGCAGATGATTTTGCGAAAATTGCGAATTAGCGATATTTGCATTATTACTGAAAGCTCTTATCCAGGAAATTAATTTGAATAATCAGCTAAGTTCCTAAGGGCTAATCTACTTAATATTTCCTTAATTTCAAATCGGAGATATAAACACGTGTTTAGAAATTCATAGTGAAAATTACAACTCTAAATGCCTTTATGTTTGTAAGAAAACATGTTTGAAGCTGACTCTTAAGGGCGATAAAAATGTAAAAAAATTGACACCCTTACAAGAACGGAGCTTGGGTCTTGTAGATGCTTTTGTACTCAGTAATTAATTTTAGGCCCAATGCTAGACCATTTAGGATTCACGTCAAATTATTCCATCATACACATTTTATTATAAGAACAACCCTTATGAAAAACATCAGGCTGAGATTTGCTGAACAATATGAGAAACAAGACAGGCTGAAATTCAACAAAACCAAAGAGAAGAAATAGTTGAAAAATAAAAGAATAGCAACAGAAAAACAGAAAGCGATAAGCAAAATAACATTAACTACTTTATCCAGCATAGGTTACGCCCAGACACTACGATGCACAGAAAATTCGATTACAAAAAAAAGAAACTAAATAAGAAACAGGTCAGGCTGAAATTATGCGAAAAAAAGAAGAAGCGCCAGGCTGAAGCTGGGACCAATTGTTCTTATAAAAAGCGTAGACCATTTAGGATTCATGTCATATCATTCCATACTTTTGGAAACATAGCACTAGACACAGTTGCGTGACCGCTGTTATTTGCGGTGGATATGTGAAGAAAAGAAAAATAATTGCGTTGAATTAGAGAATGATATATGATTAAAAGATCTAAGTAAAATGGTAATGTTGGAATTCTGATAACAGGCAAATTACTGATTGTGGTTACATTGACAACAAATTACGTTAGTAACAATATCGTATTTTCTCTGTATAAGTAAAAGTGGTTATATGATAAAGCGACGCTTTTAAATGCAACCACTCGTGGCAAAAATTTTTAATTAAAAATCTTACCGTATTCCATTTCAAACCGACTATCTTTTAACGGGCCGACCTCGCACTTTCTTGTCACTGGCACAAGGTTGCTAATGTCTACTTCACACTAGATCTCGTTATTCGTGAAATGATTAACTGCAAGGTACATACTTATACACCCCTTCAATCACGTGTCACCTAATTGGTTATAACTGGCTTTAAGCTTGTTCATTGTGACGTTGCTTCAGTAATTACCCTTTAAACTCGTTCGGAAAATTATGAGAGCTCTCTTGATTGCCTTTCACACCTTTGATGGTCGTCCAATAAGGAGAAGAAAAGATGGAACTGTTTAATCGATTGTATTGTGAAACTTTGAACGAAGATTTCGCAAGAGAGTAAGTGGCTAATAGGTTGTTGAGAATGGAATGAATAAATCTTAGAAAGTAAAACAAAGCTTCAAAAAAGTGAAAAATGCCCCGAGGAGCTCATATTAGAAACCCAAAGGGAGCAATATCGGGCAAAATTGTCGAAACAAAATGCAATTTTTGCAATTCTTTATGTTGCCCTTGAAATCCCGTATCCCCCGTTTCTCCCGAATCAATGTTGGATACGTAGTGCAATCTTTCATGCTTCAAAAATAAGCATTTAGCATTCAATTTGGGGGGAGGTCTTTTCGAAGGAAAGAGAAAACATCAACCTTTCTTGAAAAGTCTAAACAATATTTGTCCAGGATTGAAAAGCTTCATTTAAAAGAACTATGAAGGTGAGTGCAGAACAGGATTTGAGAAAATGTACTGGGAGAATATGTGAGTAAGAAACAGGACCAGGGCAGGATACTGGTAGCACAACGGCGTACAATGCCGCTTGACACGAGTTCGAATCTCGTCATGGCTTTGTCACTTGCTCACGTTTTCTCTAAGAACTTCATACTGTCTATACGTTCTATTCACAAAAAGAGCATTGTGTTTGACATGATAAATCCTTGCAGAAACACAAAATCGTTTTATCAAGACAGGGTACTTTCTTCTCGATTGTAACAGAAGGCTGAAGTAACTGTATGGTTACCAATATTACAAATTATTTGATGTTTTTGGGCAAAAGAAAGATTAAACGTGGTTGTGTTGAAGGCATACTCTTTATGTAGACTGGTATTAACCACTGGTGTTCTAGTCAGCCCGAATATCCAGGCTCCCAAAGATTCACAGAAATTTCTATAGCGGCATATCTTTTACGGAAGAGCAATTTTCACAGTAATTCCAGTTACTTTAATCAGATCGCAAGTTGTCGGTTCTGAATCACGTCGTTGATAACTGCAGTATAGTCCTAAGTGTAGCCCATGAACTGTTTCCTATTATAAGACAAGACTTTTCCTATTGCCATGGAAGTATTAGCTACACTGGGCCTCAATACGGGTACGAGGCATGCAAGGAATATAAGATATAATTATGGGAGACATGCTGTCCCTGTAAAAATCAATCCTTTAATTCACAAAGGTGGATGGCAAATCCTCAGCAGCATATGCACTAATCTGTGAAAAAATTATGTAAGATAGAATGGGGGAATTATCATGGCTTTTGTGGTAACCACAAGAAAAAACCATTTCCCCCTGTGTCGTCCACAAAGTAAAGTTTTTTTGAAGACCATGTTTTCTAGAACCTTTTCCGCAAACAATAATTATCACTGATCAAGATTTTAGCTAATGGCGTAGTGTGGAGGAGGCAAGAGAGGCAGATGCTCCCTTCCCCAATGGCAATAAGTCTTTTTGAAAAATGGCGTTTTTAGGCGTTCAGAGAAGTGTGGATCCAGAGTCCAGAAAAGTTGTTAACCTTTCTCCAGACAGAAACATCCCAGAAGGCAAACCTTCCTCACAAAACAATAGAAAGTGGGCTTGGCTTGGGTGTGTCATTGGAGTTTTTATTGTTTTTCGTGGACCTTCCTCCGGTCAGTGACCGTGCGACCGTAATAGTCTTTGAGTGGATCCCCATTTTCCCTCATTGAACTCACCTAAGTCCCCCCCCCCCTTACCATTCTTACTACCCAGGCTACGCTACTGCTCCTGAATAGAGATTTTCAGAAAATATTGAGAATATTCTGTTAGAAGAATTATATTGAGAATATATTGAGAATAACCTGAAAATACTCATGTAAAAAGAGCTGTCATATTATACAGTAAAAACCTGAGTATACTAAAACTATTGTTGTAAAATGCTCTAGAGATGTAATATTGATGTAAGATACTATATCCTGCAGAAGTACCTTATCAGCACGAGGCCCGTAGCAACTTGGCGAGAGGATTGGTACCCCCTAAGATCTTAATGAGCAAATAACAGCCAACTCTAATGTATGTGGAATGAAAGCCCTGTTAACCAGTGCAGATTGGACAATTAACGAAACATGCCCCAGTCAGATATTTGGCGAAGATCTAACCGCTGGTTTGATTGACACCCTACAGATGCTCATTCCCAACGCCCGGCGCCGTAGCATGGAGTAAGAAAGAGAAATTATGATGTCCATAGAAAAAGTCTAAAGAGTTCTCTTATCTTTATGGCTAGTACATGGCAATTTAAATTGTACACTCAATATCGAGAAATTTCCACTTAATGGGCTGCGTGTGGGTTATCAAAACGCAAAACCACACCTACGTAAGGAGAAACCATAGCAACTGGGTTACAGAGATTCAAGTTGCCAAATCCAGAAAACGCAACCATGATTACAGATCTAGTCAATATTCCCAGCGTCTGATCATGGTCTGAAAATTCGAATTTCAAAAGGAAATTCGAATTATCGAATATTCCAATCATCAAAACTTTGGCCTGCCCACAATGCAATGCGGCAAAACTGCTTCCAGCGAAATCTTGGGTCATATAAGATTCTAATAAGAACCAGAAAATTGCAGTTCAGGCTGGCTGTTCTTAATTTTTTCGAAAATCTGAGCCTGGATTGTTCTTAGTTTGTTCTTAAATAATTAGGCTGTGAGCAGTGCTGAGGAGAGGGGAGGGGGCAGGAGGGTCACTGACCCGGGGGCCCATGACTTTAGGGGCCCATAGATAATAACTTTGTAAGCAGTGCAGTTGATAGCAATTCAGTGTCTCCATTATCAAAACTTGTCAATAATAGAAAAAACCTTTAAATGAAATGAGGTAGAAGCAGCAACAGTATTAAAACCCCATTATGTTTGTCAAATAGAGCTAGTAGCTTTAGGTAATTTTCTAGTTAGTTAACAAAGCAATTTCCAAGTCTTTACAGCTGTAAAAAGGTCAATTATGGAGCTATATAATAAATTTTTTGGAAATTTCAGTTTCTTTGGACAATTTGAATGATATTTCAGCTGATGCAACACTAGCAAGCAAAGTCAGAAACAACCTTAATGCAATGAAAACATTTGGAAATAAGTGTTTTAAACTCAATTGCTTGAGCTTGTTCAACAGCTGCAATGGTTGATGCTCCTCAGAAAAAGTGACTACCCGGTGATGTTAGGAGATATGTTATCCCTTTTTGCTGCCCAGAATTTTGCTCTTTTTTGCTAGATCATCTTCCTTCAACCTTGTGTATAATCAAACAATACTGAACCCCTCCCATATCTCGCCAATCGACATGAATCACCTAATCATCTTTGCTGTAACACTATCAATAATAACAATGCCGACATTATCTTGAATTTTACCAAAGGCCTTTTCCTGGTTTCACTTGAGGATAGAGATAAACTTGACTGATTTCTCTTGGTCTTCAATTTTTTGAGACATCTAGCCCCTCATCTAAACGAGCTTCTTCCAAGATCGAAACAACTAGTTTTTTATTGAAATTTAAGGGTTCCATTCTGATTGCTAGATGTAAAGTTTTTCAAATTATCTGAAAAGTGAAAATCTATTTGGTGGAGCGTGTCCGTTTTGATCAAATTTAGTATATATTTCAATGTTTTTCACTTCATAAGATTTTTTAAATGTAAAGAATTGCATATTTTATAGTTAAGAAATACGCATGCATTATGACGATAGAATACCAGTCATACTTAAACTATAATGAAAATAATAATGAAGTAATAGTCACCATCGCAATTTCAGCAACCAAAATAGCCGCAATTTTAGCAACCGTCGTCTCAAAAAATTTCCCCGGACCCCTTAAAAGAGTCGCCTCCGGCTCTGGTTGTGAGCAGTGCAATTGATATCAAGTGTGCTACATTTTGCTAAATTTCGCAATTTCTACCTACTGTGCTTCGTTCATTTGCCAACAAAGTGATAGAGACATCATTTACTTGCCGAAAAATTTGAAAATTCACTGAAAAAGCACCCCTAGATGACAAAAAACTTCTCTTTTTTGAGGTAAAATATTTTTCAAAATTAAATTTAATAGTGGCTCAGCCTCAGCTTGTTCTTAACTATCTTAAGAGTTGGAGCAATAAATGGTATACTTAGAATATAGACATTTGTCTTGTATTTGCCGATAAAAACGTTTGGCATCCCTCGCAGCCAATTTGGCTACGCCCCTGTGGCCAGAGGTTTCATGAATTGATATAAGCAATAACATTGGAAGTGCGTCATTTGCGCAATGGACAAAAGCTATTTCGAAAATAGCTATCAAATATGGTTCGATGGTTCGATGGAATAGCTGAGTCCTGTGTGGTTTTCAAGTAAGCATTTTTTCCAGAGATATTTGCGGTATTTTGTTAGGATCAATTATTGGTTGGGATCAAAGGGTGACGTATTTTTAAGAAGAGGTCGTCAGCCAGGAAGTTACAGTCCTCTGGGTAATCAATCATCCCTTTATTTTACCATCATAATAAAACAAGAAAGAGTATTTTAGGGGGAAACACGCATTGTTTTCCTGAGAAACTGTTTTTGTTAGTTTTTGTGCTAAATGTCTTTTTCGTTTTTTAAGGTTTGCTAAATACGTGAAAACGCATCAAACCTACAATATCTACACTATTGCAAGCAAATATGTTGGGGGTTTCCTGTAATCTTGAGAGAGTCAGGAAGGAGACCGGACTGCGGAAGTAGTCTAGGCAAACCCCTTGTACACCTCCGGGCAGTGACATCGTGGAATTCCTCCCCAGCTCCTGATCTGAAAACGGTTGGATTTGGTTGAAAATCCGAGTAAGTTGGTCAGCACCAGCACGATTTAGCTATTATTTCTGAACCCTCTTAGTTTGTACAAACCTGTGTTTTTGAATTTTTAAACAGGGATAAACTAGATATAAAAGTTAGCAAATTGACAATTAATTGGAATTCCCAAGGAAAATTGACACTTATGAAAAACCCTTACCTTATCAAGTTTTTCCCAAACAATATTGTGCAAACAGGCGGTATTCGCCGCTCCTTGAACTTTGCCGTTGGTTGGTGGTGTTCGCCTCGCAACAAATTGGTCCTTATTGAAGCAGTGTCACATAAGCATGATCCCTTTGTCAGCAGCTTCGGTCGAAGTGATACAAACAACAGTGGGTTATCAAGAGAAACGAGATACCCCTGATCAGACTGTGGTCGTCTTGTGCAGCATAGCGGCAAATTAACATTAACATCTCATAACAATTTTGCAACAAAGAGATCATGGGTGCCCTAACAGCGATTGTTATTGCTCCATGGAGCTTACTGTTCCTACTGTTCTTTCCTAATAAGCACTCTGTTCAATGACGGGGGTACACTCAAGGCGCACTTACTATCGTTTGGAATTTTCTCAGCACTGGGGAAAACTGGCAGCAGAAAAAGGATAATAAAGATTTCTATGAAAAAAGTATTCATAATTCGTCAATGTTCTTCCAATTCCATCTATACTGGATCCAAACATTTGAAAGTACATCTGAAAGTACGAAATCAGTTAACTATGTTAACTATAAAAGCTGGTAAAGAAAAAGCCAATGAAAGAATTTTAGTTTGCCAACGTATTACTTTACTTTTACTTGGCTCACATAAAGTTTAGACAGACGCCCAATCACTGTGATATGATGGGGAAGACCCCGTGCTCACGTGCCAATATCTTAGGCGATTGGCATTGCGATTGATTTTGTACATTTAAAGGTTATGTGTCCAGGTAAAGCAAGCGACTCTGCGGGTTTTTTTTAGAAATTTGTGATTTTTCATGTCATCGCCCCAGTCATTACGGTCGTTCTGTTTATCTATCCTGCTGCGAGGTCAGCTTTTCATGTGAGCAGTTTTGCATCGCAAGAAGACTAACCAATCGCAAACCGTTATTTTGATGGGTGGCTTGACAAGTTGGTTATACGCAGTCCATTTATATGGACACATTACCTTTAACAGAGAGGTAATTAATGATGTTCTTTTTATTATTGCGTCCAAATTCAAAGACTATTTAAAGTAGCACTATATCAAGACAAGATAAAATAAGAGAATACAGTTGGACAAAAGATTAAGATAGCGTAGCTGCTAGACAAATGCTGGGTTACCCTGGGTGTCAGATCCTCAGAGAGTCACTCTCCTTCGCAACTCCTTTTCCCGTTGTTCATCCTTTGACTTTCTGAGGCTCTGGCACCCATAGTAAGGCTAGGTCTGCATACGAATTTATGATGATGTAGCCTGCGCGCAGCCTCAAAAAACACTTCTCCCCCGAAGAGTCTACTGCGCGCAGGCTAATGGTGATGACGTACTCTCGAGTACCGGATAATCGTCCCTCCCCCGGCTTATTAATTTTTAAAAAATTTTGCAACCAACCTATTATTCCAACCCCCATTTTAATTAATTTTTGGAAGTTTTAGATAACAGTGTACATTATTTCTAAATAATTCCTCCTAAGCAAATGTACTTACGTAGACTTATTAACTTTATTCTCATTTGTTTGCTTGACTCGTACATGAGAAAAGAAAATAACACTGTATTGGCGTTGTTTTCTTATATTATAAAGATACAGTATAGGTTTAACTAAGAAAGCCTCCTCCCCCAGATTATTCTGATTAGCCTCTCCCAGATCCAGCCACCTCCCCCCGATTATTCTCATGATTTGAGTTAAACGTTAAACTCCAAGAAAAACACCAATTATTATGGCAGAACGAGATATAATTTGACAGTGTCAAGAAAAATAAGACAAAGAATATATATCTATCGAAATAAGATTTATTAGCAAGACCTACGTAGACACTTCTTTTACATCTCAAAGTGACAAGCAACAAGGACGCACTTTAAAATTCGACGAATGCCTAATGGTACTTTTTTCTCCTTTTGGCAAATCTTACATTCATTTCTAACCATTCATTCCTAATTGTAAACAGCTACTAATCAGTTAACCACTTGAGCAAGAGTCGCTAAAGTTGCTTGAGATAACAGAATCGATGTATATTCTCTTATCATGTTTGGGGTTTATTTAGCTCCCCTCCTTCGCATCGGCCATATAACCAAATAGAATTCTTTGCTGCTGGAAGATTATGGATAAGCATACAGAGTGCCTTGAAAAGACATTTTTAGTTAGATTACCCAAGGAGCCCAAATTTTTTTGTAACTTCATATCCTTGTGGCTTTTAAATTTTAAAATGAATTGAACAGTTTCTGCTATTAGAGTTGCCCTAATAAATGTGTAATGGTGCAAAATATTTTGGCAGGAATTCAGGCAACACAAAGCGCCGGTCTTGGGTTTCTCGAATTTAACTGCCAAAATTGAACTGCCATTTAGGATGCTTTGCATTTCCAAACCAATTGCATGATTCCTGATATGATGTGTATTTTCTTATGAGGAGAATGTGTAATCAGCCACCCCCATAGTGATTGTGATTCACGCATTAAGAAATTGGGTTTTCATGCTCACGCAAGCAATAAATGTAATATCAGCTATTGCTCATCAGCACGGATAGTTTAAGCTTTTTCACGACAAATCGCAAGGAAAACTCATTTTTCACGCTTCAAATAGGAATCTTAATTCACGAAATCAGGCTTTCGAGATTTCAAGATTTCACGCACGAAGATATGGCCAATAACGCATCGCCCAAAAATATTGGGGGAGGGGGAGGGGGGGCAATCAGGTATCATAGAAAGAAAAGAGTTCGCGGGAGTTGACGAGAGTATGCAGGATTTTGCGGGAGTTCTAGGGAGTTTTCGGGAGTTTTCGAAGCTTAGATTCTACGATACGAAGAATTGTACGGGGAAAAAACTGTTTTTTGCATATTTGACTTTGGTCAGGAGAATCAAAAGTAACAAAATATCAATTTCATTTATCATTGCATGCTAATCATCAGGCTCTGAGATAAATCATAGTTAATCGCCTTTTGCCCGTGATATAATGTGTCAAAACCAAGTTAGAAGAGAATCTGAATAAAAGAGAAACATTGATTCGATATATTAGATAAATATATATTATTTGATTTCTCTTTATATTACATTAAACGCAGAAGATTCATACAACTCTAGACACAGTTTACTTTGAACTGCTCTACTTTGTTAATTTATTTTCAGTCTGCATACAAACGATGTTTATTTAATGAATAACTTCATCAAACTAATATATTTACAAATTTACAACAATTTATTCATAACAAATATCGGTTGCATGGAAGACACAAACCATTTTACGTAGGGGTATGCCAAAATGAAAAATTACACAACGTCATCAGCTATATTTGAAATGATCCAAACTCTTCACGTAACAAATAGAACTTTTCTCAGCATTCAAGATACTTCAAGTAAGTTGGTTGCTTATCGACTTCACTGTTATTCAAAATTCTTACTGACTATTCCTTTTTGAAGAAAATGATACCTAAGCCATTCAGAAAAGCTCTCACACTAGGTTGAAAGGGAAGCTTGGTATTTTCTGTTCGTAAATCAACGTAAGATAACCTACATAGAGTACAATAGAAAAAGAAAACAATTTTATGAATCATGATCTACAACAGTGGCGGCGCCAAAGGGTGGTATGAAGAGGGGTAATTAGTCTACATATTTCTTCTAAAACGAGACAATGGGCGTGGTCTCACCGGCCACGCTCATTACCCTCCCATCCTGTAATAGCTAGCGCCACCACTGATCTACAAGGTACTGTTCATAAGCACTCTTTCTCATACATCACCATTATAGCTAAATCTGTAAGTTTTCTTTCGCCCAGCGAACAATCTGCCTGATGTGTAAGAAGATTTTGAGCTTTCGGTTGCATTATTTTCAGCCTGAGGATTGCCATCATCTTTGCCTTTTACCTCTTGTTCTGCTTCTTCTTCATAATGAATAGTTTCTGTTTGAGTATAGGTGCCACTCAAGTCACAATCTAAAGAAATTCCACACAAAGTTGCCTTTTCAAGGCTTAGGGTCTCGCTACTGTCCTTTCTTCCTAAAGTCGTGCCTAGTTCGAATTTTATATGAGAGGCCTTGCCAGTCAGTGATGCATCGAACAGTTCTTCGTAACAGTGAAGCCATGTTGCATAGAACGAATGCGTCACTTGCTTTGGCAGAAGGACATTTTCGCAATATATTGCCATTGTTGCTTTATCACCTGAGGATGAACAGTGGTCACTATTAGATTAAGATAGAATAACTGCAACAAGCTAAAAATTAAAGAAAAGATCGATAATAAATGAGGGCTTGAAAGATCGTCTTGAAACAGAGGTGTAGCTAGAGGGGCGTGCAAGAGAGTTCCTCCCGCCAAATTTGTTCTTGTCATCAAAATTATCGCTCCAATGGATTAAACTCAGGCGATAAATTAACAGCGATCAACAAATCCATGTCTACAAAACTTCATTCCTACCGAAGAATGTCTGTGTATTCTCAAATTGCTCACGATTTCACGGGAAGAAGTTTGGCCATGTTGTATTACTGCCAACAGTCACACCTTAGGCAAATGCAGGGATCTGCACCCCCTCCCCAATCAACAATTTCTGTAGCTTTGCCCCTGCTTGGAAAATAATAGAGTGGTAGCAAAAGAACACCAACTGTTCTGCACTGGCCTGAGGCATGCTGATGCTGACTTAAACGGGCTCTAAGGAAACAGAAAGTTCTTTGAAAGAATGAAAAACCACCAGTTGTTATCCGATTGCCTTTTGAGTCGAAGCCAATGCAAGGCTATTTTTACTCAAAGCAATGGCTTTTTAGTAAATAAGAACAAAGATAAAGATAAGAAATAGTATTTCAACTAATGTTGGACATTTGCTTGACTTTTTTGCTAATCGGTTAATAAATATCATAATATCAATTAACTTGGAACAGAACATCTGAAGAGTGACTACCAAGAGTTCTCATCCATATTCATGATCCCAAGCCAAGTCAATTATGGCTATTAACGGTAGAATTGGAGCAAGACGTGGTCCTTGGGGAGCGGTAGACTTTCTGTTGACACTTAATTTAAACAAATCCCCATTTTCGTATTATATCATTGATAAAATCTTCCTTTTTTGCAATCGCTGTAACATTGTGAGTCAGAGAGCACAAAAAATGATACACTGCAGGTTCAAAAGTTAAGTTGTCAAGTGAAATCATTATCAAGAAAGAAGGGGAACTGGTCCAAGTAAACATGTAGGTCATTTTTACCTTTCCCTTCAAAGAATTTATACAGAAATCTAGTGTTTAGCCCGAGTTGGATACTCAACAAAAATTCTCCATTCAGGATAATTTAGCCTTATTATTGATGATTTAAGTATTCGATAATTTGGAAATTTGTTTATTGAGTTATAATACATTTGACTGTACCCTACGACTGTAGGCCCTCGTGACACCCGCCCAAGCAAAATTCTCACTAGAGCGCAACAAAGCGCAGTCAATTTTTTCCAAACTTCTGCCACCTGCATTCCCATCTCTATGATATATAATTTTTTTATCTTCATAACAAATGAACTCAAACTGATGCATAAACATCATCTAACCAAAGCATCAATCCTTCATGCGCCTATTTTGCAAACAAACAAACTGTGGCCTAAATGCAGAACGGTCTAAGTTTTTCATAAACCATTCTTGTATCTTATAAATTGTTGCTTTATAGATGACAACCAATAATAATAGGCAATATCACTCTATATTTGCTTGTGGAAAAACTTCATCGACAACTTTAAACCTGTAAAACTGAACACTTACCAGCAATCTTTCTTACAATGCAACTCCCATTCCGCACAACCCGACCATTTTCATAACTATTGCGCACATTAAGCAGCAATAACTCTATTTAAACCACCGTGATCACATTGACACTAATTCAGGAGTATGACTCATAACATGACACGACTTTAGCCTCGAATGATGTTTTGTGGATACACTTTCGTTTTCTGGTGGTTCAATCTATGGTGCCGTCGTATTCAGGTTTGGTGGCCGTATTTTTAATTGAAAAGGGTTTTCTGATCAAAGAAAAAAGTTGTTTACAAATTTAATGAATGCATATTGTTTTTCAAACTACCCGCCGCGGATTTATTTCATGTCTGCAGGTGCATCCAAGAAGAAAACAGATGTCACTTATGTCTTTTATTCCTGTTCGCGGGTAACCCGCGGTAGATGCGAGTGGGTTTCGAAATCAACGCTTTTCACTTGCTAGTCTACATAATGGTGGCAAATATATTTGCTGGATATTAATGGGGTCAGAGCTTGTGCTCATCTGGTCATATCTCAGCCAATTCGTAATACCTTTAACTGATTTTGAAGATTTAGAGGTATTTCATGATGCTCTTTCAGAATATGGGAGCAAATTTCAAAAATTCTAAAAATAGGTTTCTGTGACGTCATCCCTTGACAACTCTACGAGTGAGCGTTGTAATAAGTTCAGTCACACACACAAAATATGATTCATCGGAAACTCTTTTTTTTGGCAGTATTCATGAAACCACGCACATTACAGGGTCGGGTAGGGTTCCGACGAAAGTGGGTACACGTGATCAAAGGTGCCTTCATAGAAGGTTTCGGAGGGAAATTGTGGTGTTGATACAATTCCTTTTGTGATAAATAGTAACATGTAATCTCCCACAAAAATAACTACATCTATAATGAGGGGTAGGTTCACATACGAATCAACCAAGTTAGGAATTCGCACGACCAAGTATAAGCAATTTCGGGGACTCTGTCCCTCAAAATCCTTCAGAGAGAGCTGAGTCCCCATCTTGTCAACGGCACTTGGCTCCAGTCTGTTTTTTGACATTTGATTTGTGATAACCAAGTGACAACCTTCAAATCATTCAACAATTTAGCTTTCTATTTTTGACGACCAGAGGAAATGAAGGAAGAATTGGGACATGATAAGAAATGATTACGAAGAGGGAGTGGTAAACAATTCAGATATGAAATTATGTCAAATGATTCGATAAGATCGACTATATGCCACATGTACTGAATTTCCTCTCAAGTAAAGGTTGATGTTGAATTTTGATAACTTCTGTGAGTTTAGATTCGAAGAAAGAAATCAAATGAAACGCACATAATAAAACATGATCAATTTCGTGGCATTTAGCACCTTCTTAAACTTTTTCTGTGATACCGTTGTGTGACGTCATCGTTTCAAGGTTTCCCAAGTCATGTCTATAATTGTTACTATTGGTAAAAATTAGTCGATGAAAATGCAAAATCTATGGTTGGAGCTTGACTAGAGATTTAGTTATTTCCTTGCCGATGTTTATTCGGATTCAAGTCAATGAAGTGAAGATATGCCTTCCGTGAAAAAACATAAACTCGATTAGCGGAAGGCACCCAAGAAGGATTTATTTTTTGAAAATCAAGTTTGTTAAGGAAAGTAAACGTTCCCAGAGAAGAGTGTGTTTTTCTTCATATTATGATTAACTATATTGCAGCTGTTGATAAAACTGACAATTTCCATGAAACAGAGCAGGCGCATTGGCCTTCACGGAACAGCGAGTATTCCCAGAATACCTCAGTAACAATTCCGATGTGCAGCTTTCTATCCACATTTCTATATAAAAAACAATCTATATATCTTGAACTTATATAAGGAAAAATTTTCTTGAATGATTCTAAAGTACAAAATCTCGGATACAATGGAACTGGCCATTTTCAACATATAGTTTTTGTGATACTACTGGATGCCCTTACCAAGTGATCTTGACTTCGTCTTTTGCATTGAAGAATCTTTGTTCGCTCCATTTGAAAATGAGAATGCTCGCATTATCGAGTTTCTCTTCTGCATCTTGTCTGTTTGCTGTTATCTGTTGCATTTGAGCTCAACTGGGAACTTGCCTTTGTGGTGCTGATACACACTGGCCTAGCAGAGGACCGGTTAGTGTCTTCTTTTGAAACGTGATCTCAAATATGCTGCTTTGTTATAGATCAAATATTCGTTGGCAATTTTGATCCGATAGGATTCCCAAACCACAATCTGATCTTCCCCAGACCTGAATGTCAACTTGAGCATGAATAACGCTGTCATGATCCCATGTGAATGGGGTTATAGTAAACAAAGAGCTACGTAAAGTCAATGAACGATTTTCAAGGTGTTTAAACAACGACAGGGGTCCATGAAGTTACTATAAGGGCATGAATGATCAGTCGATGTTCCCGGTAGCATAGCTTTTGTATGTACATGCGGATGTGTGGCAGAAGGTGGCTGGGTGGGAGAATGACGTTAAGATGGAGGCTAAGTAGGCCTAGGACAGGCAAATTGACAGGCAGAGAGGTATTTTCTGCTCCTTAATAGCTGGACAGGATGCTTTCGTTTATGCTAAGCCATTATTTGAAATAGCATGTAGCCAAGCACAGAAAATAATTGTTGTATTTTAAACTCAACCGAAGCAATCAGCCGTCGATACAAGGAAGAGAAGCCAAAGTTTGGTAACTTTCATGAAACAGCATTTAAGATAAGAAATGTTGCTATAGAAAAAAGAATCTGCTTAAGGCACACTGCTGCTTTTTCTGCATTTTGAAGCTCTTACACCTATCAAAGGCAATTCTTTTAAGTTAAAATCATCTCTCTCTTCTCTTCTGATAAGATCTTTAAAAGTACTATATACCAAACTATGTAGAATATAATCATACATGATGATAGAGATGCACGATGAAAGGCCAAGATGTACAAACAGTAGTAGTTGTGCATGCCTGTCCTCTTTTGAACACCCTACTTGAACTCCATCACTTGGTTTTTAGTGTAGTTGAGTCAGGTCATTTAAACCGACGAACATCAACAGAAGAAGACATTGAATAACTATAGTTGACGGTCGAATTGGGTATACCAACCATGGCTCATTGCCATATGTTAAAGTGACGGAGTGTTGTAGCATCTGTCAAGTAAGACAGTAGCGGAACGCTGATGGAGTTTAACGTCTAGCCTGCTTTATAGTAACCATATAAAATAAGATACGTTCACTCTCAAAGAAACTTGTTTCATGATACTGTTCTTGGCAATTTCTTTTGCAGAGAAATGGAAGATGACTTTTCAAAAGATTAACAAACTCGTAGCATATTGGTGACCAGGGTGGGTTGCGTTTCCGCCGATCCAGCGTAATGTCAGGGCCCCAAATACTTTCGTAAGGGTCTTCAAACTTTAATAACAATCGAGGGAGAGAAATAATTGTACCTCTAAGGCATTCCTTTAGAGGAGACATGAATGTCCTCTTGAGGCCTTGATCCTCAAAGTCAATTTTTAAAGCCAAGATAGTTGAAGCGTTTATATTTACAACGATTCATATCCCTTTCCTTGGCTACTCAAGGCTGACAACAAAATTCAAATAAATCCGATTAGTAACTGATTGGGATGCACTAAATTTTTTTAATGAATCACAGCATTGGCAGCTTGGTTAGTCTTCGCATTTCAACGTGTCCGGCCATTTCGAAAGTATGATGATCTCATACGGTATACTTCTGGAGAATGTCCCATTGTACTTTTCATTCCATCTTTGCTATGCTCATATCAAGAGATCTAAGAACGCTTTTACCTAGATGTGCTTAATCAAGGGCTTTATAGAGGGTGAATTTTTGTCAGTAAATTTATCAAGGACTTTGTAGATTTTCAATAGAAATACACTTTAAAAATGCGCTGCTGAACAGAAAAGTCATTTATTCGGGTTTCCTGTCTACAAAATATAAACTCTATTTGTATAAGAATACCTCAATTTTTGCTGAGCCTCAATTTTTTTGAATATTTTAGATTCTGTGCCTGAAGTTATTCCTAAGTCATCCTTATAAAGAGGGCTCAAAGCTCTGTTAATCTTACTGTCTGTCTTCACCACGAAAACATTGTAGAAAAGAAAATACACTAGCACAATGTAGGCTTGATTGGAGTATTGTGTTGATGAAACTCGATTCAATTTCTTAAATTTCACAAATATAAAGTTTGTGATTTCTTTGTATTTCGATGTAATTCGAAAAATAGTTTATATTGATGTTGATTTTATAAATGTCGTTTATCATTAATACCAAACCATTCATGGCATTTTGATACATAAAATTTGGCAACATAAATCTGAAAAATTCTTTGCTACGACAAACAAAACAAGATCAATGGCGGATTTAAGGGGGGCAACTTGGGGCAGTTATCTCTCCCTCAACGAGTTGAAGCAAGTCGGGCGCCCCTTGTTTTGAAATTGTGCGCCCCCTTGGAAGAATGAGAATCAGGTGAAATAGTTTCTGAGACCGATAGGCTAATTTGCTTCAAGGATTACCTCAAAGTTATGTTGTTCATTCCGAAAATGGATCTGAAGTTGTTGTATACAGCGAACTCTCGTCATCAATTTTTGCAAGTTTTTTAGCGCCCCCACTACCAACTGCCCCCTCCTTCAAATTTGTTCTGGACCCGCCCCTGAACAAGATGACCTTTTTCCAGGAAGAAAACAGCTGTCGCTGCAGTTGCAAATGCGCAAGTGTCAGTGAGAGCCATGCCAGAGATAGCCGCGTCTTGCAGCCTTTTCCTGTTTCCCAACCAGTGATGCACGCAAAAAGGAATTTACGATACTGTTACTCACATGAAGAACTCAGAATCAATCCACTGCAATGGTTTGGTGAATGGTTGACATTCCATCTTCCACTATGAAATGGTGACAGCATTTTATGTGAATTTGCTTACTGGAAAGAAACTCTCAAAAATACTTATTGAGCAACAAGCAAATCGTTGCTTCTTCATTTCCAAAGCTACATCTGTATATTTCCAACCGTCAAATTTCAAGCTTTAAAACGTCACAGGATCTATTCTGTATCGAATTAAAGCAGTATTAAGAATTTTAAGACTCACATTTCAAAATGATAGACAATTGTTTGCAATTTGCATATCAGTGGGTTTAGAGAGCTTCAAATATTTAATGGTAACAAGTTGGGTAATATGCGCACAAACAGTATAAGAAAACATACACTTGCGCATAGACTTAACGTAAAAGAGAATTAAAAAAAAAATTTCGAGTATCAGAAACTGCAAACATTAGACTAGATCTTACTTTTCGAGATTTTTACTTTCGTTTTATGACGTAGGTTATGTTTGAGTGTATTTTTTCTGCACAAACCTTGAGGGAATAGCAAATAGCGAGGGGCAAAATCATAATTGGAAATCCCGCATACCTTTGATGGATATCCTGTTGTTCTACCTGAAAATCCTGGAAATCATGGAAATCCTGAAAATCGTGGAAATCTTGTGCGCAATTTGCAAAAATATTCATAGCATTAGAATTATTTCGGATTCGCTTTAAAATATTTTCAAAATGGAGGTCCACTTAAGAAGTTTAAGGTGGTCGGTGGCTTTTAATAATCCTTACAAATTCCAAAAGTTGGTTTTTATCTCTCCTTGCATCTTGTTGCTAACAATACAGATTCAACGCGATCAAGTACAGTGTCTCAGGCCAAAACAGCTCCAACCACTGCCAAGAGACATAGAATACTAACGTCGAAGTTGAATACGAGGAATTTTCAATGTTGAATTCAACCACCTCCCTTTTCCCATTAAAATAATTTTGGTTCACTACAAAATGAAATTTGAGGCTATGTACTTCGTTTTTGTGTATAATATGACCAGGGGCATACCTTGACGATTCGGAGGGGGAGGGAGGGGGGTGTAAACGGGTGAACTTACCGACCGAAATTCAGCTCTTGCTAGTCAATGTATAAACACCAATATAATATATAAAGTCAAGATGCGCATCTACCGACAATCCATAACATTTACCGACCATCCGTAAAATTTACCGACCAACTTTCAAAAAGTGGGGGTGTACCACAGCCATACCCCCCCCCCCGGTGGGTACGCCCCTGAGTATGAGATTTACTTTAGTTGTAAACATTGCTATTAGTGGATTACCCTGGGTACCAGACTCACTTTATGTAAAATAAGAGATTTTTTCTCTTATCGATTATCAATAGAAAAATATATCTTTTTTTATGAAGAGTGAGCCTGGTACCCAGGGTTTCCGTGAATGAGAATTGAAGCGTTAATATTTTAGAGAAAGGCAGGACAAATGTAGATAAAGGACTCAACCTGTTGGATGCTTTAAGTTATCTAAAAAGCATAAGCATTGTTTACATAAGTATTGTTCACATATAGCGATAATCGCATAACCATCCTAATTGCCTAACCAGAGGGGCTGAATTGAAGTAAAATTTTGATTAGTTTTGTGCTTACCCAGATACATATATCCGTATTTAGACTTTCTAAAAACAAGAAAAGAATTTTTATTTGAAGATATCTAAAATAGATTCATTCTTATCTTTTCAACAAGATTTGAAATCTTAATTCACCTTTAAGTAAAAATATCCGAAGTCTACTGCATTTCTTCAATTTTTGCAGCATTTTGAAAAATACCGTAACAGTACAAACACAACACCTATTTCTGTTTATCATTTAATCTTCAAAAGATGCCAAAGAAACTTCAAGCTGCATGTACCTGTTTATGAAAAAAAACAGGGAAGAAGACGTAGGATAGTATGATATGAGACGTTGTTCGTGCTTGATATTAACGTTTTCTTGCTCAGTATATACAAAAATATTTTGAAGGTCGGTCAGTTACTTGATGCTATTCATTGTCGTTTCATCCCATTTTTTGCTGCATGATACATGCAATGGCGTAGAATCATTTTAGTTCTTTTGTTAGGATTTTACTTCGGGCTTTCTTAGCGTTGTGTTTTGCTCAGTTTCAGGACAGAATGTCTTTAATTCATCGAACGGACGAAAAGAAAGGATATGCCAACCAAGGACCGAGATGCCGGGGGGGGGGGGGGGCCTTGGCTGGTATAAACTTAACTTAAATGATATATTCTTTAAAGAAGCTTACGTCGAACTGATTTTCAAACTATCTAGTATTATTTTTGCCTGGAATCAATAGAAATAAAGTATAAATCATTATCCCATCCCCTCAAATCAGCGCTTTCCAAAAACAAGCAAAAACTAGGAAAGATTTACAGTATGTTGAAAGCTTTATTCTACTAAAAGCATGCTCCTAAAACTTGCCCCAAGACTCTGCTTGGGATTTCCCTAATTTACAAAAAAGCCTTTTAAGTGATCACAACAAATCGATGTCAACGACTCCTTTATGAAATTGGTGCCAATACGACAACATACAGTAATGTTTTTTAAATTACCCTCATTTGTCATTTGCAGCCATAAGTGGGACTACAACGTGATCCGAAAATCTGTCCCAAGTAGCAAATGACCTAGCTAAGCGAATCTATTATGTGGCAAAATATCATTTTAGAATAAATTATATGTAAAACTATACCCAGTCTGAAAATTTGACCTCCATATTTCAGTTCTTGTATATTCATAAATAATCTTCTTGCAAAATCAATTCAATTTATGACAAAATAACAGAACAAAATAACAGAACCCGCCAGGACGTCATCAATAGCAGAAGAAATTTTATTTGGATTGGAAGGAAATACATTAAAACTAAATCAATATTATTCGTAGCCATTCTCTTACTGAAAAATGTATGTAAAACAGTATTAATTAAGCTTTATCTATACATAAGAGCATTCACATTCATTTTATTGCAATTCCAAACAATAAAACACTAAACAGCATAATTGGTGAATTTTGGAAGCACAATGATTAATTTAATACCAGCAAAACAGCAACAAAAATAGAGTTTTTTCACAGTTACATTGCCAGCTTTTCGTATCTTAAAGATTTGTTTGATGAAAAATTTGTTGAAATAGCTCATGTTTAATATAAGGTATTCTAAACTATGATTTTCTCTTGCTAAAGCCCAATTGTACTACATTAGTACTAATTCATCTGAATATTAATCTGTATTGAAAATCGCTGATCACAGTGAGATTGCATAATCAAGGACGGAGATATGCAAGAGATTCTGTAAAGGCTTAATTTTTTTAAAGTAGAAAGTAACTCCTTCCAAATCTTAAGCTGTTAGAAAACTTTTTATTGTCTAATTTAAATGGTTTTTTAACGAGAAATAATTGAAAGGATTTGGTTTTCCAATGAGTAGTATTTGAAGGGGTGTGGTCAATAACAAAGGATCCTTTTTTCTAGACTGGAAAATGAGTAAAGTTTAAATGTCTTCATGTCTACTTTAATCGAGAAATTTTCTCCAAAAATGGCTCTTATGAAATCTTTCCAAAATAATATAGATTTTTCGGATAATAGAAAACCAAGTTCTCCTTCAATAGTGGCTCTGGGCTCGATTGAGCAATTTTAACATTCAATTGTGTTGCAATTTCTTCCAATCTAGACATAAAGCAGTATTAATCACTATCAATTCGAATTTAGCATATTTGTTAGCACTTTACACCATTAAAATTTCAGGAGCTACCCGCCCAAAGACAGAGATGCAGCACATCATTTGGAAGGCAAGATAGTGTTAAAGATAGGGCTGATTCTGACTCAATGAAAGATAATCACTGGTATTTAGGTGAGACAAGCAGTCTACGGGATATTGTCTACAATTCTTGATTTAATTTGCAACATATGAATAGAAGTACCTTAAAATATTAATAGCGATATCTAGAAAACCCAACAGACCAAAAGCAAATCGGGCTTTGAATAGCAATTTAGCAACCTCCTGCTCTGTCAGGAACGCTAGACTACATTTGGGATGAGAGGGCTCTCGAAAAATTGGCAAACTTTTTAGTAGTTTTTCTACCATTTTCTTTGATGTCACAACCTTGAAATATCACACCTCAGCAAAAACAGTGTGGGGGCTACAGCCCCCAGCCCCTTTGCCACAGCCCTCAGCCCCTTGCCCCAGCATGCCTGTCTGTATACCCATTAAGGTATACAGACAGGCACGATTGCCACCACTTAATGTATTTTTTATCGATAGAAATCCAGCACTTGAATGACAAAGATTCAATAATAATTCCCTAGCTTACCTGTTGATTTGGCATCACTTCTGTTCAGCGCCCCATCAAATATTTATGCATTGATGGCCTTCCCTCAATTCGGCAGGTTTTTGTTTCCACAAAATTAATAGTTGACGACGTTGTATACGCTGGCTGTCGTGCTAGCTTGGTGGATCACAATTTATGTCATTAATCCAGTAACTGCTTAGTTAGTTAAAGGCAAGTTCTAGATTTTGAATCCTTATGCATTCTGCTTTCATTTATCGATACATGAAATAACTAAGTTGTGATTAAATTATAATCTTACTTGCAGATCAACATTGACATCTCAAAATCATGGCTATGGCAAAAGGATTGCTGCAGATTACCATGCTGTAAGTATAAACAATTTCTAACAAGGGACATCCGTCATGTTGTGAACAAGTTTTCTTATAATAAGTAAGCCCTAATATAGATTACGCTTTGAAATGTTTCCTAATGAAAAAAGAGCTATTTAAATACATAGTTAGCATGTCTTTATCAAAGACAAAGCCCTCTTTAACCTGCAAAAAACATAAGATTAAGGCCACTTATTAAAACATTGCAGAAAAATAAATTTATAGTTACACAGAGCAGTGTAGATCTGTACCCTAATCATGAAAGCTCGGCATTAGCTTTATGTTCTGTCTATGCATCAGGTACTCTGTAGAACGATTACACCGACTTCAATTTCCTCGGGGCTAGTCCAAAAATCCACAAGATTCCAAATAGAAAAATTTGTTAAATTTGCCACATATGTCATTTAAGCGCACCAGAAGATTCTTTTGAAGAGAATCTCGACCACTATAATCACCTCCTTTGATTTGCCGCTTCTTAATACAAGAATGAGCTGGACCTGTCAAAAAATACCTAGGGCACGAGCCCTGCTATGTGGAAAACAATAACCAATCTATGGTCCAATTTCTGTCAAATCGATTTTTCTGGCAGACCCCGCTGACTGCGTCCACACTGACGAGTAGCCCCCCCCCCGCCCCACCCCCTATTCTCTTCTTTGTTACTTACTCTAATTTTACCACAAACAAAGTGAATCGTCATCTTTTGGTTTCAAGTTTTTTTACACATTGATAGATATTTACTTAACATTCTTCATGTTTTTTAAAAATGCTTCACTTAAGTAATTTTCGACCACGTAATTTGCTAAGTAGTTCTTTTGAAAGTTTTAAGAAAACCCAAAATCCACATTGACTTGCAACTACACCAAAATGCAAGATGACATACCATAGGATGCAAATGGACGTATGGGCAACTTGGAAGCTAAGCTGCAAGGTTGTAGCTAAAGGATTTACAGCAACTGCATTAACTACCGTAAATTTTCTTTTTAGCCTCCCCCCCTCTCAATTAAGCCCCTCTCTCTTATTAGCTCCCCCTTTTCAGAAGGAAAAATTTCATTAGCCCCCCCTCTCAATTTAGCCCTCCTCCCAAATTTTCACCGATGCTGAAATAAGTAAACTTGACAAAAACAGAGATTTCCACTTTATTAATTGGTCGTTCAAGACTTCGCATCAAATCAAAATTCACACCATATCTCTTCAAGTCACGACGGATCCGAAGACAAAGATTTAATGTGCATTAATCACGGGCCGTGTGAGAGCCTTTTACTAAAATTACAGGCTGTTGGTACTCCGAGGGATGAAGTCAACCTTTTCGAATGCTCGATTTCAGAAGGCGACATGGCCCAAGAAGATACTATAGAATTGATAATTTATAATGACGAAGATGGCAATATAATTGATATAGAAGGCTGATTGTTATGGAATGGAATGTTTTATTTGGACTAAAAAGCTCCAGCAAACAATGGAAACTTTCCAGAATCACAATATGAGATTTATGACCAATCATAGACTTATCGATCATTTCAAAATTGAAGACCTGCTGAAAACCACCAATCTTACCCCATCATATCAACCATCAAGAGCAACGTGACAGAATAAAGTATTGAAATTATTTGGACACATCAAACGCTCTAAAGTGGGCCTTTCAAAAATCTGCCTTGAAGGTGCTGTTGAAGGAAAATTAAAAAAAGGAAAACCAAATAAACGGTGGCGGGATAACTTGGTCACAACTTGACCTCGCCGAGTTAGATGTTACTAGTAGAGATCGTGACCGTTGGAAAAAAATCTTTCATGTCAGTGCGCAATGTGCCGTAGGCGAAGTCGGCGAAACATGATAAGAAGGCTGATTTGATGTTTTTTATTTCGCAAATAACAAAAAATAAGATTATCATTATAAATTATTTTTATTACAAAATATTTATTAAGCCCCCTCTCTCAATTTAGCCCCCTCTCTTATAAGCCCCCCTTTAAAGTACTGAAAAGCAATAAGCCTCACCCCCCCCCCGGGTGTCTAAAAAGAGATCCTGAAATCCATATCCAAATTTGCTTAATTGCATTGGTACAAGTGGAATCATAGATGACAATAATTTCTTTCGATTCACCTTCTTGATATCTTTCGATTCTTGAAATTGCTCATATCACAATGAAAAATCTTAGCAAATGCAAAATAGAGAATGCACTGTAGAAATATTTAAGGTCAGGTAGATCTCAGGAGCCCTGATTTTACGCCAATGTAGGCAATTTTTGCAAAGAAAGATCGAGTAGAAGAAATTTGAACATCCAAGGTATAATGGAAGCTCTTTCATGATTTTTTGTTAAGTATACATACGAGTGTACATGAATTATGGTTATGAAATGAATCATAAAAGATGTATCTAATATTATAAGCATACTCTAAAATACTTTGATTGAAACACCTATGTAACGTTTAATTGATAATTTACAACCCTTATTAAAATTACCGAAAAGACCTAAACAAGAGTTGGGAAATAGAGGCCAGTTGATAACATGCAAGTCAAGAAAAAACAGAAAAAAATATAATGATATAATTTTTTTCTTAGATTTTTTCACACCCTGTATACCCAGGATCTATAGCCAGTCCTCTCCTGTTCCTTGTCATTTTCAATGAGGCAAAACACTCGTTGGAGGTATTTTTTTAAAATCCCCAACGTACACGGATATTAATTATTTGCACCTGTTAGAAGCTTGAATTATGAAGCTAGTAGTCTATTTTCCTTGTTTTGTCTTTATCAGTTAATAATTAATCTAAAGAGAACAAAGACATAGCTTGTGCTTTTTGGAATAACAAGGAAATTATAGGTACAGGTGGATGCAGAGCTCAGCAGAAAAGTTAATTAGGCTTCTAATTATTGTCTTACATACATTGAATTGGCTATAGTATAGAAAAAACATACATTGAATTGAGTTTGAGACTCAGACATGCCGCCTGATTCCGTTTTCGATTTTATTTGTCAAACGTAGCAAATCTATTAAACCTGCTAAAGAACATCCGCAGATAAATGCATAAACTGTTGACTTGGTTTATAAGGCAATGGCCAAGATTCAAGTAAAAAAGCTACTGGACATAGAGAAAATGTACCTTCAAATAACACACAGTCAAATCTTTAAAAGAAGTATTGACAAAAGAATTTTAAAGTTTATCAAAGATGATTAATGGAGTTTACATGTTTGTTTCCAACTGCCTTGAGATGAATGATTTTGAATGGGTTTAAATTCTTATGTGCTTATGACTTTTTGTTATCAGCGATAGCGTACCTTAGAGCTAAGAGGCTAACCTGTGAAGACATTTGTCTCCAAGTAACCTATAGCTACCTTTTTTAGAAATGCCGGTTGTTTACAACATCACAGATATTCTTCTTCTTGTTCTTCTCCTTCACCACTTGTCTCATATTCTCCATCTCCCCTTTCTCTTCTCTTTTCTTTCACTTCTTCCTCTCCTTTATGGTATTCATTTTCTTCGCCTTCTTCTTCTCATTCTTCTCATTCTTCTCATTCTTTTTTATCTCCTCCTTTCGTATCTCCTTCTTCTTTTTATTCTTATCGTCTACTATCACTTCTTCTTTTATTTTTTTTCTCCTTTTCTTTCTTCTTCTCTTTACTCTTCTTTTTCCCTTTCTCCTCTTCTTCTCACTCTTCTCATTCTTTTTTATCTCCTCCTTTCGTATCTCCTTCTCCTTTTTATTCTTATCGTCTCCTATTACTTCTTCTTTTATTCTTTTTCTCCTTTTCTTTCTTCTTCTCTTTACTCTTCTTTTTCCTTTCTCATCTTTCTTCTCTTTCTTTTTCGTCTCCTTCTTCATTTGCTCTTTTCCTTTCTTCCTTTTTCTCTTTAGTTCTTATTCCACTGCTTCTCATCTTCTGTTCCCTCTTCAGGCTCTTAGCACTGCATATCTTTTGATGCATGAGAGAAAAAGGAATGTATAATGCTCTCTAAAAAAAGAATGAAGATGACAAAGTTTAGAGAAATTGGTGTTTTATGCTCCTCAAACCAGGTGATCCTTTGCCTTCAAAGCAAAATAAAGATTCAAAGACATTGATTCCAACATTTTTCCAAAGTAATGAGAAGCATCAAATAAATAGATTTCGCTTAAATCCAGCACCAAAAAATACATCACTAAGATTAAAGTTTTCTCTACTATTACTTCTCATGCTCTCACGCATCAAATTCTCACGCAGACTAATTTTTGCATTACTTTTTTCAAGACTTGCTTGTTTCAACTGTATTTATGGAATATGGAATTCAACAAAGATTAAAGAGCAACTCAACATTTTGAAGAATGATTACGATTATTCGTTGGTACCAGTGAGAAACGGTAAGTGAAAAATAAACAAAATAATACTTTTATGATATACAATACTTTTATAATATACTTTTATAAACAATTATGAAAAATATTTCAACATTGCCATAATGATAAGAATAATCATGAATAACTGGACTTATTGTGTCGATTTCGAAACTGTTTGGAAACTGTCCATTATATCTAAAATATCACAATATATACGTTTTGTTTGAAATTGACCAGTTGCACAGAGGAAAAGTTTAGACTTTGCAGCTTAGAATTTTAAAACTTTAAAGATGAAATACTTTATTCGTGCATTGATGACCGCTAGTTGTACTCTACATTTTTGTCCTTCTTCGTATAAAATTTCCAGGGTTGTGAACAATTGATTTGATTTTGATTGAGCTCAAATTTTACTAGAATAAAAGAAAGTTAGTATAAATCAATCAATTACAGAATACAGCAACAACAATAACGCAAAATTCTTCAGGAGGAACCTTCAGAGTAGGTTAACTAACGAAATGAAGGCCCTCTCCTTTTGCTTCTGTGATCTACATGTTCATCTATTCAAGTGTATTGTTGAATTGCTCTATAGATATTAGAGATTTAACACGGGAAAAGTTCTAGCTGATTCACGTTCAACCTACTTGTTTCGTAACTCCAAACACATACATGACGTGTTTTCTCTAACAAAGATGTCTTTGGAAAGTGGACCATACTAAAATCAAAATTTGTATTTTAACATAATTCGCTACACTACTGAGAAAAAAGCCTTTATATATACAATAGTATTGATTGAAATCAGAACAATTTTTTTGCGGTACAGAATTTGAAAAGGGCTTTGAAAAAAGCAAACATTTTACGACATACTAAAAGCTTTTTCGTCTGACACTCCTCAGAGCATAAAACATCAGAATAAGGTTCCGAAAAAACACGATGGAAAATATATACCCAGTTGTGGATCGAAATAGGCCAATCAGAAAAACGCAAGCACAAGACCGGTATGGTTGACCAATCAGTGCCGCGAGCCTAAAGAAAAATTACCAATGGAGTCCAAGAGAGAAAACGAACTCCTTCTGTCTACACAAAGGCGGCTTTTTCGTTTTCATGTAGATCGACTCCAAAACTGCTAGATGGAAGGACGACCGGGCTCTGCCAATTATCCGAAACATGTCGTCATTATAGAGTTTTGCACAATCTGGGTTGTCTAAAAGATGTTGACCGATGGCAGAATCACTTGTTTTAACAGTGTTTCTAGACCTACAAGATCGAGGAGGCTGTTCTCTTTGAGGGACAGTTTTGTTTCTTATGTTGGAAGGAACATGCTGTTTTATCCTATCCCCCAATCTTTGGGTTGTGCATCCTACGTAGCCAGAATCACACTGGCGCGTAAATTCATAAATGACGGAACTTTTTTGGTTGGTTGGAACGCAAAAAAGTTGCGGGTTGTGCGTTCTAACCAACCAAACCGTTCCATCGTGTTCTTTTGGAACCTTATTCTGACGTTTTATGCTCTGAGGAGTGTCAGACGAAAAAGCTTTTAATATGTCGTAAAATGTTTGCTTTTTTCAAAGCCATGATTTAAATCAGTGCAACAACAGCAATGAAATGCAACACAAATGAAATCTAAAGCAAAACCGAAATACTGAGTATGTAGTTAGTTTAAGCAAAAATTTAACTATCATTCACTTACTTGCATAAGCTTGTTGTACAATGACTCCTTGTTTTTTAGATACACCTGTTAACGTGACAGTTCAAATCTCAATATTGGATATGTTTCCATATCAATCAATACATATGGTAGGAAATCCTTAAATTTTATCAATTTTGCTGCTCGTATTGTAAAAAAGATGGCACGGTTTTGACTTTTGTCACAGTAGGAAGACACACCTACTTTAATATTGGATAAGGCTGTCGAGACATACCCCAAAACATGTGCCAGTTAGCATGCATGTTAAATCCAGCATCTACCCCTTCCATCATTCAAAATTAGGGCCCACGCCCCTCAATAACAGAGGCACCAATGATAACTGCGGGATAGAGTAAAAAATCTCAACATCGTCCAGGATTGTAGACGAATCCTTTTCAGACTCGTTTCTTTATTCACATGAAGCACCACTTCTTCAGAGAAGCTCGTCAATCTGCAGAAAAATTTTCAAAGCAAGGGTTAACATTTCAACTGTCTGATTTTAAAACCAGATATGATTACGAATCCAAAGACTGTATTTCTTCACCTTTTTTCAAAGATATAAGCTTTCATCAAGTCATTATGTTTTATGGCACAAGTCGTAGAACAACAGAAAGTCTTAATAAGTATGCAATAATAGGTCACAAGATGGCTACTTTTTTGTATGTTGTTATGCATGTTATTATGAACCATCGCTTTGAATTTGCTTCTGTTTTTTTAACACAATGTAATAGCAAGCAAGCAATTCATAAACCTTTTTTACATAAAAACGCCCCATGTTTTTGCATTTACCAACTATGTTTTACTGTTTGAAGCATTACAGTTCTGACTTCTTCTTGAAAATGCAATGGCACGACTACAGGTTGGCTGTCGACAAAACTGATCATGGCACCTTCGTACCACTTCAAGGGCACAAATTTTGGAGACCAGATATCTATTTTCCCCACGGGAGGCAAGGACAGCTGCAAAAGATTCCTGAAAACACTGAAGGAGCGCATCTTTATCTGAATGGAACAGTCATTTACTTTCAAAGGTATTTGTTGTTGTTGTTGTTTTTGTTTTTGTTTTTGTTGTTGCTGCTCTTGCTGGCAATATATTGAATAGAGCCCTTGAACTCAAACAGGATGCGCAATATTGATTGAATGAATTGCGCATGCCCGTTAATTTTGGCGATTTAGACGGCTCCCTTATTCATTTGAAATGAATAACTCCTCGTTGCCATAGATTCGTTGAGTGATGATGTCACAAAAATATGTCTAGAATTTTTGAATCTGCGATCCATATCCTGAAGGGACGTCATGAATTATGTCTTAAGCCCCGTTAATTTCACTGAGCAACGCTCGACATGCTTGCTCAGTGAAAAGTTCAATTCATTCGACCACTTGCTCAGCTTTGCTCAGCCCTGCTCAGTCCTGCTCAGAGATGTTTGACAGCAAACTGAAATGTTGAGAGTGTCATAAAACATTGCCATTTCGAGAACGTTAAGAAGGCTGTTTGATTTGAAATATTTTGGTGCAAAATTGTCATGTATAATTGTGGAGGCACTTACATTAATCAATATTTGCTCAAAGAAATGTTGGGTGTAATTTTCAGTGCGTTTGACCGTCCTGTACTGAGCAGTGCGCTGAGCAGAGCTGAGTAGATTTTCCAAATGTTGAATGTTGCTCAGTGCAATGCTCAGTTCGTTTGACCGGAGCTTTAACGTGCAAAGTCAGTTAAATGTTACATAAATTGGCTGCGATGTGGCCACATGAGCAGGCCCGTTGAGAGCCAGCTCTGGCCCTGGGGCTATAAACAACACGGGCCCTTGTGCAGGAGTAGTGGCGCAGGGGCAAGATCGGAAAGCTTCAACATTAGAAAAGCATTTCGCGGGCCCTTCTTGAGAACCGGGCCTCGGGGATTTACCCTGGCTACCCCCTCTCGACGGTAATGCACTCGAGCGCAGGCTCTTGCCCCTACAATACCTCTGTAATTTGGTAGAGCCCAAATAACAGTGGTCAGTTATCAACTTCAGATCTTTCATTAGCCATATCTCACTCGATTGTTGACATATTTAAGTGATTTTGCATATAAAGAAACATTTTATTGCATTCTTTGGGTTTATATGGTCAAAATTCAAAAACTCTAAAAATAGATTTTTGTATCATCATCACTTAGGAACTACATTTACTTAATCATCTGTTTCCATCTGCTTAATTTTAAACTCACTAGCCATGTATTTGTATTTTTTTCGATCTAGCATTCGAAGGTAAGTCTGAGGACACGTAGAAGCTATGCTTATCGAGCAGTGTCCTTGTCCTTTCTCTCGATGTAACCACACCTCGTGATTCATGGAATTGGAGAGAGCTCGCTACTCTCCTCTCTCTCAGTGAAAGTTCGGTCATATCAGGAACTCATAACCAGGCCCCTGGATTTGTAGTCCGCAAACCTTACTCCTGAGCCATCCTCGCACTAGTCGTGTCCTTGTTGTCAGGAATTGTGAATGTGTATTGTAAAAGTTTCCATACAAGGGTTTATCGTTTAGGGACCAGAATAAGTTTTCTTTGATTTGCTTTGAATCCTTACCAAAAAGGTATCGTTTCGTGTTGCGCTATTTCATGGAAGAAATACGTAGCAAAACTTGCTTTTCGATGACTATAATGTGTTAAGTTTTATCGGCATCTATACAATTTCCACTTTCACTTTCCACAATTACGTTGAATTCAATGCAAAAGGCTTGTAAAAGGAAATTCAACAAAAACAATGTTTTTTGCTCTTTTTCACTTATTCGTATAACGTTTCTGAGTCTAAAATTTAGCTTCAATATTTATGCAGTAGCCTAGATATAGGCTAATAATAATGCAATTATAACGATTATAGACAGGCTTAAATGCATTAGCTATGTTGTACTCGACAACTCTTAGAGACTTGAAAGGATGTTAACTTGTCACTCTCACCCTCTATTCACGGTCAAATTTCATGCAGAATTTCAAACAATTTTATAATTTCTCAGGACACAGCACTAGCACTGCGAAAGTTTGTTGATAATTTTCAGATGTTTGAAAAAGTGCGAGGCACACAGTTTAGTATCACCTCATAACACCCTTTGCTTGAAATTAATGCTGCGTGGTTTATACTGTTTGAACCCATATTTTTATACTCTACACAAGCAGTTCTTAAGCGGTAATTCAAGATTTGTGTGCAAAATAATTCAGCAGTGAAAAACACTTCCGATTTCTATGATATCATATATATGAATCCGCAAATCGAATTTTCTTTAACTGACCGGATGAAAGCACCTAAGAATCTTTAATTGAAGGCTAATGAAAGGATACATATTCGATGATTCGGAAGAAAATTTTCATCTAATATCCTGTGCACCAAGATCTATAGACCTTGAATCTAGACATAGGCTGATTCGTGACGTCACTATGTCCCAATACCTTTAGCTGTACAAACATGTGAAGATTAATAAATCAAACATTTGGCAATGTTTTGATTAACCTAAGTTCTTGCCAGCTTGCAGGTGTTTTTTGCTATTATTCGGAATGATAAGATGTCCAGCAGAATCAAATATGTTTTAGGCTTCCAACTGTTTCAATCTGTTTTTTATTAAAATCATACCAGCTTATTCACTTATCGTTTTATGGTTTTCTAAGAAAAGTTGCTCATTCAAGACCAGGGCTCGTGCTGAGCAAAAAAATTGCTTGAAGCCTAAATCTTTTTGCTTCGTATCTTGGGATTAATTAGGCTTTTTCTAGGTGCCGAACGAGAGTTTTCTCTGGGTTTTCCGCGAAAAAATACACGATTATCCAAGGAAATGTGAATTACGTGTCATTAAGAGATCTTCGTGCAAATCCAGTTTAGGAAGCCCAAGTTGAGGTATTCTAACAGCAGTTTAATTATCGCTAATAGCTGGATGCTAACAACTGCTCGACAATTGCAGAGCGGATTTGGAGTATGAGAAGGCCCAGGTTCTGATCACTCACTAGCGCTAATATACGTTTCTATATAACTTGCATCATACAAGACACGCGTACTCGTAATGACGTATATTTGCCTATACATTTGTTGGCTTGCTTTTGCCAAAGAAGATTCAAACAGCTCTTAGGGACTACAAAACCTAAAGAATTTCATGTTGTAGCACAAGTAACTTTTCATGGAACATTGCTTACGAAGCTCATGCATATCATTGGTTACTTGTTTCTATTGAATCTGATTGAATTGGTGCAAATTGCATGAACTTTTGCAAAGAAGTTGTGAATTAATATCATTACAGTAGATATTTGCATATTTCTCTGACGTAATACCCACAAAGTTTGCACAAGCCATTTTCACAAAATAAACCTTTGGCAGATTGTTTGAAAACAATGAGCTTTGAAATGCTTTTAATTGAGACAGCACACAGTTTGTTGACAAGGTAAATGGGAATTTCCAGGTTAACAACATATGGCATTCAATATGTTCGATTGCTTATTTGACGCTCTTCACTGAAAGCACTGCAGCTGATTTGTATACTGCGTTTCTGCTTTGATTTGGTTTTTGGCTATATAGAATCTTGAAATCATAATTTATTGCACTGTTGGAAAATCATGGCAGGCAGTTTGCATCAGGAGGACTTTGCCGATTATCTTTGACGAAAGTAAGCAACTTGCATTGGTTTTATTTTCGACTGTCTATAGCCAGGATTCTTTCGTCAATATTGCCTTGTAGGAAGGACTTGCCGCAAGTTTATATTGAGATTATATTTGCGTCATTTAAAGATATCATGACAGAATTTTGAAAATTTCATTAATTGGCAACTGATCATTACGTGTTGAAGGAAACTGCGTGTTTCTTTGAAGGCCTGCCGGACAAACTCATGGATTAATAATAAATGTAATAGTGAAGGAGACTGGTGGATGATCAAAGTTAGTCGTTCTTATTCATCATTTGAGATATTTGTGTTCAACCTTGTTTTGATCCTCAAAGAAGCTTTCTCATCCTGGCAAACAGCAAGTGGCTTAGTTGCTGCTTCGAAAAGCGATCTTGTTTAGTTACGCTGTGATCTCCGAGCCAACATCTGCCATCAGAGAACCGTAATGAACGTTGCTTGGATTACAAAGCTGATTTGCACAAGATACGAAATCCTGCCTGGTCCTCAAAACATATGATGAAAATAATGATAAGAGAAGGTTTGCCAATCAATTCAGATGATTATAGGCCTGTGCTGTGTTGAATAAGGAAGGCTTTTTCTATCGAAGAACATTTTGCTTCCAGCTGATATACATCGTTAACAAGCTGATGATATACATCCTAAAAGTCGTCAACATAAAGGTCTACATCATGAGCACATATTTCAAGAAGGAAGTATAAACAATTTTTTGAATGAGCTTGACTTTGGCCAAAGATCGTGTCTAGAGTTCTTTAATTGTGTGTTTGAAGATTTCACACTGTACAACAGATTTTTTCTCCAAAAGAAAAGAAATTACTTTATAATCTGGCAAAGTCTAGTTGCAACATTTTTTCAGACGTACACGTGCAAGGTGCTTATCAATTATTGACACTGTGACGCAATCATAAATTTCTAGCGATTTTCAAACGACATATAAAAATTGCGGTTTCACATTCCACTCATTGAAATTCCTGCTTGAATAGGAAGCAGACTCATGATACAAAATCATATTTAAATTGATTGTATTGGAATACCAACTTAGAGCCACACGTTAAAGGAATCAGCTTGGAAGGTCTTTGCAAACCTCATCGACGTTTTAAAGATCATATGCAAGAACTTTTCATCGTTTGGTACAAGAAGATATCTTATTTGAACTTATTGCAAAGCAAAAAAGTCGAAGCGTAAGGTGCGTTGAAAATACTGTAACAAGTTCTATTCAACGTACCTGAATATTCTTGCTGTTTTTAATCGGAATACAAGCCGCTTGAATGCTCTTGCATTTTCGTAACAGAGAACACGTATGTTAGTTTTCCAAATTTGCTCAATTTAAATATAAAAGACCCAAAGGATACAAGCAAACTATGATCCGACAGATCATCAAACATTTCCAATGTGCTCGGACGCAAGAGAATTCACCTGACGAAAATGGACCTCAGCCTAAAAAGCGACTCAACGTATTCAAAAGACTTCGATCGCGAGACAAGCGCTGCATTGTGAAAAGAGACAGAATGGAAGAGGAATGGTCAAATTCTCCTAAGAGTAGAGTAAGGAGAAACGCTTTTGATATTCCTGTTTACGGTTGATGGCAGTTGAGTTTTGGCTTCACTTGTAATACAAGTGGTTTGCATCTAAGGCTGTCTATGGGCTAGCCAGAGTCGACGGGAATACTTGATACAGACCATGTGTGTAACTGACTGGTCTATGATGCATTCGGTACATGCTCATTACAAACATTTGACGCTATAAACATAAATCTTTCTTTTTTGCATTAATTGCTAAAATAGAATGTTTTGTATGAATGGCACAAATTTTCGTCTACAGTTTAGAGAAAGAGTTCTTGAACAACGCAATGATTTCTGACATCGGAATTTTGAATATTCTTAAATGTTGCAGCAGATTATTCATGTTCAGAAAATATTATTTCAAAGGCAATGCAGGTTATTTACAATTTTAATGAATAACCTTTGTTTTCAGTTATCAAATAGAACTACATAAAAGAAAATTTTCCCCATATTCAATTTTTAATATATATTAATTCTGATCTCAATATGCTATTTTCGGAGGAGAAAATGACTGAGTACACTATTCTGCATAACAAGGCATTTCTTCAGTTTAGATTTTCTTAATCACACATGCAATGCAAAAAGGCAATTAACAATTATGTCACCTAAATTATTTTTATCTTTTTTGTTGCCTGATAATGTACATTGTGATTGAAATATTTGCATTACACTGCTATTGAATCAAGCCAGGTAATTGGTGATTTACTTCAACAGAGAATCTACGCTTGGTACCTGTTAATATCAGAGCCTTTAATTTTGTGCAACGTTTTTTTTAAAAATAGATGATAGAGATTTGAGTGTTGCTAAATATGTTCTTTATACAATAGTCTAGTTTACGAAATATTAGCAGAACAGCTGTCAACTTGTTTTCCAACAAAGGAAATGAAATTGTTAACTTGGTTTATAACTTTGAGTTTAAACCTAACCATGTTTGTTGTATGAAAGCTAATGTATGTTTGTGAAAAAATAGTACAAATATTATGCTTTTTTTCTATTTCTCTTAGAAGTCTTACTTTCTATAGAATATTAAGCAAAGAGGTCTCATTTGGAATAGAATTCAACAAGCCAAATGACCTCCATTTTCAATGTCTCTTCTAACCCTAATGTTGCTCTTTAACTAGTTCATCAAAAACATCTTCTTACTTTCTATCAACTTAGGCATGATGGCTCAGGCATGATGATTGTCGATTGATCCATATATTTTGAGAATATTGTTCAATTATCTGCTCTTACAAGTATAGAGTGATGAACAGAGACCTTGGTTGCTATAGAAATATTGTGCTCTTCCTGGAGGAGTACGCATTAATCATCCTTGGCTGTAACTAGTTGATCTATATTTGTCAGTCCGTGTACTGTTGGTTCAGGTAAACGAGGAAACTATAGCTGGAGGGCATAAATAGGTAGCGGGAGCCTTGTATGAGACACAATTACTAAGACTGTTAACTATATGATCAAGTTTTTAGAGAAGAAAGAAAATTAGGGGTCTATGGCTTCTGAAAACCCGATAAATGTGCATGAAAAGAAGATCTATTGTTTTCTGAATACCATTCATGTAAGCTTGAATTGAGGGTCCCTTACTTTTCTTTGTGCATAGATTAATTTTGATTTCTATGAATCTTTGAAAAATGGTCAGCTTTATAAGAGTGATATTTTCCCCGGTTTCGCAATCCCTGATCCTACAATTTCATTGTATTTCATTACATGAATTTTCCGTCTCACGATAAATTTAGGTTTCTTATACAACATTTCTTCACCTTGGGTGTGACAAGCAACGAAAACACTGTTTTGCTGTGCAATTATTGATGGAATCGAAACTAGAAATGTCACCAACCAGCACGTATTGCTAGTATGTTGCAAAAATTGTACGCCTTGCGTCATTCTGATAATTACAAGTATTGTTTTATACAAACAAAGCTTGTCTGAAAGTCGGTATACAGGGGCTGTGATGAGCAGATGGATTATTTTTCGTTTAAGCGAATAAATCATCCTCGCACTTGGATAATTCGTGATTTCAATTTTAACTACGATTTTACGTGAATGGGTTGATTAAATTTCGTCCATATGCCTTTTGCGGCAAGATGAGATCAAAGAGCAAGAAAATTACCTGAAAAAGTATATTTGAGTTCTCAATCTACAGTCGTTTCAGTAAGAGATTTAGTTTGTCCAAGGCTCGCTAACTAACGTTGCTAGGCAGTTTATTGGTTCAAGGTAAATGTTTTATAAACCTAAAATAAACCTTAAAAAGGTTTACTTGCTGATGACGCTAAGATCGTGACTGCAAGAAGTGTTTATGTGCAGTACTTCCCGTTTCCATTCCATCAGACTTGATTTCATGAATAATCACTCAACTACTACGCCATAAATTACATTGGTGCACAGTGAAGCTGATATATGGCAAAATTTATTACTTTTCATAGAACCTGGCATAGGAACCTAAGTTGTAGACAATACTTTTGATAATCATAGCATTATTAAAACCATAAGAAAAATCAGAATATCAACAACACAGAAGGAATGGACAAAACTTGTTCTTCTTTCATATCATAATCAGTTTTCCTTAAATTAAAATCTTCAAGACATTGGAGGACAGCGAAGCATAATATCTATTAAATTGCAAATGATTTTGTAAATGTTTTTGTAGTCTCGTAGCTTTCTCAATAAAATGGAACCATATCTTCTTGAAAAACACATTAAATATGTTTATGTTTTTTTTTAAATCTAAACAAGTATCCTCATTAAAATCATGTTTAACAAGAAACCAGTCAAACAAATCATTCTTTGTTTCACGGTGGTTACGATCCACATCAGGAAAACAATTATTTTAATGCTGAGAGTCAAAGAAAGGTTAGCTTCAGTGCTAGGTGTTTGGTTTCTACTACACGTTCAATATTGAAATATGATAAAGATTTAGTCAATACCTCTAACTTCAACGAACGCATCGTATTCCTATGCAACGAATCATATGAAAATTGAAAGTAGAAAGACGGTGTAAACAAATGAAAATTCTCCCCGAACGTTTTCGAAGTAGTTAGTCCTAATATGTTTCTCTTAATGTTTTTGTATGGATTTTTGCATCTGTATTAGGGTCTGTTTTGGTGGTTTGTATTGCTATCTAGCATTCGAAATTATTTCTTAAGACACCACAAAGTTTTGTTTATAGATAGTGTTCTGGACATTCCTCTCTAAGTGACCACACCTCGTGATTCCTATGCCTGGATTTACAGGAGCTGGCAAGTGACAACTCCACTCAATCGAAGTAGAAGTTTGGTCACATGGCCATCCTCACACCTGAATCAAAACTATCGAAATAACTTTCAACTTTATGGGCTAGATTAAATTTTGATAGAAAGCATTTTTTTGTAGAATAACTCTGGTTTCTCTCTGTTTGATGGAGTTGCACTTCTACCCTTTTGATATCCAGAACTGCACTTTTGAAATAAGCACACGTAAGTACAAAAAAGCATAACTTTGAAATCATTTCTGGGTAAGATTCATTTAGCGGATTTGAAGAGCTTAGCTATGGATTCAATTTTAGAGATTTTAAGCCAAGATTTTCAAACCTTTTAAAGGTCAGTTTAAAATTTTAATCTCACATTTCTTAAAGGTTTATTTAATGCCATGTTTCCCTCAACAACACAAACAATAGCGGAAAAAATATTATCCGTTTAACGAAGGTGCTAGTTTTTAAAAATTTGGTTTTCAGAATGATCCCTAAAAGCAGGATGTTTTGAAACAATATCTAGAAATCAAGGTAACATACAGAAATGCTATACTGAGTGGAAAGCTCTAAAATCGATCGAAGACGTCATATCATAGCTGGTTAACGAATATTAAGAAATTAAGTAGAAAGTTCCAAGACGTTTGGCAAACATTATTGTCTCTTTTAACAGGCAAAACTGGGCGATTAGCTAAGTGTTTTTTCTTTTCAAAAGATGAGATAATATAATAAAAGCTGTCATTGATTATATAACTAAACACAACATTGAATGAGATAAAGAAAACATGCAAGATTGTGCTCTATTTTGATCTATCTGGAAGATATTTTGCCAAAAATTATTACTGAAAAATCCTTTGATATTTATGCTAACACGCTTGATTTATTAAATTTAAGGTTGAAATTTAAGTTTAAATTTAAACTATCGAATAAATTTTGATAAAATGATAAAGAGTTCACATTTTTGAGTGAAAAAATTTTGATTGAGAAAAACCTTTTGTACTTGAATTAAAAAAAATGTAGGCAGATGATAAGGCAGTCAGTTCTCTTTCTGTCTTGATAATACTATTATCTTCTTTTTTGATAAAGCTGCCTTTCAAAGTACTTTTCATTCACTTTCTCGCGGCTCTTAGAGCTTTGTGTAGTGCTTGTGTTGAAAAGTATGGCGGACAACAATATGTATCATTTCTTCGACATATTTGCTTTCCCTTCTAGATAATGTTGGCTTAAAAGTATTTCATACTTGTAAATTTACCTGCTTTATTTTTCAGTGGTAAACACCAACCAATTTGTTCATCTGATGTGGGATAAAGAACCATTAAAACAGCTGAAGGGAAAACTGGTCATGAAGGAATTCAACATCGTCAAATTTACAGCCAATGCAACGATCAAGAGTACTGACAGAGATGGTTCGTTGAGTTCTCTCGTAGGGCATTGATTGCATATTCTTGGCTATCTAATTCTATGTGATTGTGTTGTGATTGGCACTGCCTTGAATCTTACTATCGTTTTATGTGTTGTTATGTTGCATTGCTTCGTGTTGTATGGTTTTACCTTATTGCATTATGCAATGTTGTACCGTATTATGTTGTATTTTATTAGTACCATTTGTACCTTAAGTGTTGATGGTGCCGTTTGTCAAAGTATCAAATTGTATGATCCAGTTTTGTATCTGTTGCAACTTATCTTGCTACGAAAATGGATTGAAGCTACATACTTGTTGTGTCCCATTTTGGAACGAATATTTGACAAAAAGAGGCCGTTACAACCTTGATAGATTATGGGTTGATGACAAATTTGATATGCTTTAAAGCAGATTAAAAAAGATTGACAATATCGAGGAATTTACGTTTTTTTGCTTCTGGGGCCTTAGATAAATACTTAAGGCTCGCTAATGAAAATTCACGCAATCAAAGCTCGCTAACTTCAAATTCTCCAAGAAATGCCTTTGGGACACATTCTATTTAGCACCAGGCAGCAAGATGATACATTATTGAAAATTGATCTTTCATCAACTTTCTCTTTCTCTGCAGTTTCTGTTCTACAAAACTGCATAGCACGAACCGACAAAATTAAATTTTAATGATAAAGTCAGCTACATAAGCCTTTTGATTAGATTCAATGTTTGCAGTGCTTGAGGAAAAAGTGTATGATGATCATATCTTACTTTGAAACAGTTCATTCTGTTTGCTTTCTATATAAAAAGGCAATCTTATTGAGTAAAATCTTCTATGTTAATCAGAAGCTCTAATTTTCTAGTCAAGAAATGTACTTTTGCGGTAAAAAACCACGAAAGATTATCGTGTTGGTAATATCATCAGGCCTGCAAAGATTGACACATTCTGTTATTGCAATTATATAATGAAGAAAGACTTGGTGTAATGTAAATCCAACAGGGGCATATTTGTAAACCTGTTTCATAAGAATATATTTGGAGGTAAAAGTTTTTCAATTAAGAAAGGCGAGATATATTTATCAAGGCATATGTAGAGGCAGAAATCGTTCATTATATCTACCATTGAGCATGTTTACCTATATTTGCCGCACAGTTTTTTGCAATCAAGATGCTAGCAGAGAAAGTTGTAACATCCAGCAACTACAACATCTACATTTTACTGCTAGACATGAGTAAGACCTTCGACACGATAAGGCAAGATTTGGCTAGCATCGGAATTAAACTGGATCTCTCAAAAAAAGCACAAACATTAATTAGATTATCTTAACTGACACAGGATAGAAAGAACTGGCGTGGCATTGTGAGACGCGTCGTGCAGTATTAGCTGCGTGTGACGTATTAGTAGTAGTGAGCATATTTCCTTCTTGCTGCTTTGAATTAATCACCTAGAGCAGGGCGGTCAGAAGTGTAGGGCTAGAGATTCAGTCCGTTCAATTATGTTTTATCCATATTCTTCCACTTACTCGCAGCGTATCTGGTGGGAAACTACTGTTATTTAGCGCTTCTAAGATACCCCTCCTTCAATTCGAAGGCAAGTTGTCTCAAAATGATGCAAATTATTTTCATAAATTTTTTGAATTTGTTAGGAATCATTGCATTATTTTTCTGTTATGTTGTCTTTTTCCCTGCAGGCAACTACGACTACCTTCAACTCCATTTTCGGTTCTACCGTTACCTTGCCTTCTACTTCCTTAGAGATTTCTTTCCATGTATTCTCATTGTCATATTGAGTTGGATGACATTCTGGATCGACTACCAATCAACTCCTGCGCGGGTTGCCATGGGAATAACAACTGTGCTTACAATTGTTACCATGACAAACAACATCAGGAATAACTCTCCTCCAGCAGGGCTTTTCAGAAGTATTGACTACTACCTGCTGATGTGCAACTTATTTGTCTTTGCTGCACTTGCTGAGTATGCATTGGTTGGGCATTATGCCATTCAATCCAACGGGAAGCGTTCCAAAGGAAAACCCAAGGTAACCAGACACTTTTGTCTGACACAGTTGATTTAACCTCGTAGAGACAGGATTAGCTCAGCTACGATGCACTGTTGCATGGAAGACAAATCTGCAATGATTAATCTCTCAATATCGCCCACTGTTGCAATAACAATGTTGCAATATTCTTTAATTCTCACACAGAGTTTCAACAGAAACGTGCAGTTTCAAACAAAAGTTACTTTAGAAAGTTCATTGATCAAGGCTAATGATACAATACTTATTTGTCTTAAAGAAGGCGAAAACTCCTTTCATGATGGTAAGACTTTTTTCATCAAAACGCTAAGTTCCCGTGTTGCGCGTGAAATGTCTTTAGCTACTTGAAAAAATAATCTCTTTAATTGGAAAATTGTGCATTTAGATTGCAAAAAGCAATCAAGGAAAAAAGAGTTTTCTGTGAAATTCACTCTGAAAGCTATAGGTTGCTTGTCTCCAGAAATTTCCTGACTCCTACTTAAATTCGAAATAAAATTTAAATTTAAATTCGAAATAAAGATTAAAATAAGCTGTAATCACGATCACATTTGGAACTAAGCGCAACTTGGCACTTGTGACTTGTTGTGATCAGACTGATTTCTATAGCTTTCTTCTAACGTTAAGGTTCATCTATCGTGCGTAACTAGGACGCATGGATTTTTTACAACCATGATCTATTCCATCTTATTTCAAAGTAGAATTGTAACGAGAAATGTTTTCATTTTGAAGAATGACATCAAGCTTTATGACTTCACTGGACTGGGGAACATGATCGAAAAAGAGGAGCCTCGAGAAAAGAAGAAGGAAGATTTTCCAGAGGAGAAAAAGGAAAGAGATGGAAGAAAAAACCACAGAATCGACAAATTATCACGCATTCTTTTTCCTACAATGTTTGTCATTTTCAATGGAATATATTTTGCCTTTCATCGCCTACACGAGGATACTGTTGATTAGCACAAATATGGTCAGTTATTTCAAAATTATTCTAAAGAACCAATACATTATGTGCAGCAATCTTCACGAAGCGAGGAAAAAAGAAACATGAAAGCTATAAGCGTTTAGTATTTTAAAATTAAGTTGTCCAATAATTTTATTATTCAATATACAGTAATAAATATATAAAAACTTTATATTTGCTATCAATATTGCACTTAATATCCATTCAAAGAATGAAATTAATTGCAGCTAATTTTTGCATAATAGTTAAATCTTGAATTCTTAGAATTTAAATATTGTGTATGTATTCAATTCGTTTCATGTGTCTTTAAATTCTAAAATTTCCGTGATTCTTTCGCACCAAAATTGTGATTGCCAAAAACTATTTTGTGATTACTTAGCCTCCGTTATAAAGCTCTTATGAAATTTGGTGAGTTTTTGCTGGCATTTTGTTAGTGAGTATGTGCTTTTTATACAGAGCAAAATGTATTTTTATCAAGGAGTTTTGGTCCCATTCATCCATTACATCCCAGTGAGTTTAAAAGGATCATAAAATATCTTTCAAACAGTAGAGCAATCAAATCAATTTCAAACAGTAGAGCAATCAATTAATTTTATTCAGCTCATGAAAACAATGCTACAAACAATAACAATGGTCGCTTTAAGTGACCAAGGTTTGCAAAATCAGTAGGTATATGGTTGTTATTATGAAATACAATGAAAGACTTTAGGTAGATTGAACATATCTCTTTTAGCAGAAATTATAAAAAAAATAAACAAACAAAATTTTCGATTTTTACATATTAGTTTCCTTAATCATTTTTTGTCATTGTTTTGTGTCATAAACAGTGATTTAAGAGCACAAAAAGTTCTCTGCGATCTTAAATTTACACAAGCATGACGTCGTGTAATCAATCTTAATAAGATTCAATGAATTAAAAGTAATTGATAAAAATTCTTGAAATTCAAATTTGGTACAACAAAGAATCACGCCCTTAACGTATTCGTGAATCTTTACTTTAACGATGATACCCTACTTACGTTTTTAAAGCCTGCTTCTGTAATTTAGAGTTAGCAAGGTAAAATTAGCTTCATGTGAAGAAATAAGTTCAGTTCGGTATTACAGACCAAGTTAAAAGGTTACCTTCCATTTCATTCTCATTTTCGAGATATAGTTTAGAAACATCCAAAGAAAGATTGCTGTAAACAGGCACTTGGCTTTCGCAATATTTTATTAAAATCAAAGCCATCAAACAGACCTGTCACTTCACCGCTGACGCACCACGAGATTTGCGGTTGACATTGAATTTAGGAACAGAAAATGTGCTTTCCCTAAACTAGGGCGAACGGGATTGTTCCTTTATTTTCAACTTCAGTTTCCCGTATCGTTTTTAATACGAGAATGAGTCACAAGCAGGTACCCAATAGGAACTTCAAGTAGGTGTTTTGAGCTGTTAGACCAGATTAAGGTGCTTCAGAGGATTCTAAACACACATAATTGACTCATCTATAAAAGCTGACTTTCAAAATATAGATCCTGAAATTGTTTACCCTTAGTTTATATGATTAGGGGTCTGACCTAAAGGAAATAGTGAAAATTTCTAGAATGAACTGCTAAATGTAACTTCTAGTGTAGCTATTGCTTCAAAATTGGCGACTCATTGTTAAATTTATGAAGAATGAACAGGATCATACATTTTGTCTCTTCACTCCAGTGCAGGTATGTCAATCGAAGATATGATGTTTTCAGTCAGGTATAATATTTTTCGAAATTTATTCCTGGTCTTTCAATAGCATTCTTATATACACGCGAAAACTAGAGCGATGGAACAATCTGAAGGAGTATGAAGCTTTTGAAGTAAATATTGAAGCCTCGATTTGAAAAGTTTCAATTTTAGAAAGGAAACAAGATGGCGCGGTGGGAAAATAAACCGATCCAAGGAGATATATTAAAAGAGAAAGACCAGTTACTTGCATTGAAAGGTATGTCACTTATTATATCATTAAGAAAGCAGTATTGAGTATTTTTACAAATGGCTAACCTGAATCAAGACTTCATTTTGTCTTTATTTTCTTACACATGCAAAAACAAGCAGCAAAGCTTTCTCTCTCTTGTCTGACTTGAAAGAGAATTAAAGAGCGAATGATACTAGTACAGATGCAGCAAAACAGCGCGATGGCTGTTGACATTGCTAGAATGTTTACCTTACTGTTTTTATTTCAACAAAATTGACCGTTGTCAGATACTTTTTCTAACTTTAACTACCGCCCCCTTTAAGTGTTCTCCTCGGCTAGATCTATGGGTAAGATCGAAAATTTACAGAAACGAGCCCTACGTTTTCTTTACGATGACTAAAGTTCATCTTATGCGAACCACAAATTTGGAATGGCTTACCACAGGAAATAAAATCTGCAGAAAATCTGATCCAATTCAAAAGATTAATTGAAAACTGGGATGAGGCAACCTTTACATGCAATGTATGCAAAACTAAACGATTTTATTGTAAATTTGTATTAAAAAACTATAAAGAATTGTTAATTTAATTTGTATATTTTTTAAATATTGAATTAGACAAGTTACTGAGTTGTAGCTTAAAATTACATTCGATTTAAAATAAGATCACAAACAAAACAAACTATGTACCCAAGAAAGTCAGACCTACCAAGTCTCACACATTTTCTGTGAGACACACTTTTTCTGTGAGACATACACATTTCAGTCCTTTTTCATGCTCACATACAACAAAGCAGAATTCTCGCACATTTTGCAACAAACTTCTTGGCGTATTTAAATTTTTCTTCAATAGCAGCGACTAGCTATGACACATTGTAAATTGTTTGGAAATATACAGGAGAAGCATAGTCTCTCTCAAGTTAGAGTTTACCTACAGCAGATTGCAATTAGAGCAGGGTAGAGTGGAGAAACTTTTTCTGGAGAGTAAAATTTGGTGTAGCAGTTACACTTCAAGTTCTGTTTGCTCATACACCTTCATTTTTTCTCCTGTTTTTTTAGTCCACAGTTCTGTGTGTTTTGCAATCATTTGCGCAAGTGCACCAGATTTAATTATTTCAATATTATGTACTGTTATAAATTCTTTATCAATAAAATGGCGAAAAACAAAGCCCCTCAATCCCCCACCCACCTCCACTCATTTTGGATCAGGCCCCTCAATCCCCCACCCACCTCCACTCATTTTGGATCAGTTAAGATCTGCCAATGGCAGACCAAAACTGAAACTTGGCAGGTCTGCAAAATATGTCAGAGCCCTAAGGAAAGTATCAGAGATTGTACAATCACAGAAATTTGGCGTACATGGCCTAGTACTTTGCAGCCTTTTCAGAATGCATACTCTATGTTCGCTGAGTTTATTTTCCTCAGCAAATCGACTTAATAGATTAATCATGCAGGTGAGCTATGGGATGCTTCAAATATATTTGAAAGAACTTTTGGCCTGCACCTGAAGAAGTTTCAACTAGTTTTACACTAAACTTTCTTTGAAGAGCTTCTGGTTCATCTGAGAACTCGTCAAAAGTGCCAATCTGGATTGTGTTGATAATGCCACATAGCATACCTCTTTTTCTTTTCAATCACATATACAGACCTTCCAAGTCTCACACATCTTGCATTGGATGCACTCTTCTTGGCCTCTCCCCATTCTCACATGCATCAAAAGGAATCCTTGTGCATTCCACAATAAAATTCTTGGTTTGTTCAAGTTTTCAGATTTTCCCAAATCCTATTAAAATCCTCTGATTTCTAAATGGCGTAGCTACAGAATGTAAAATAGCTAGATAACACCAAATCAGCACAGTTTCAGTGAGTTGTATTTATCAGAGAGCTAGTTCAGTGTAATGGGTTATTGCCTACATACAACACAGGTTAGCTCTTTTGCCCACTATGTCAGTATTATGAAAATAGCACAATGCAGAATAAAAATTAACTAGACAACAGATGAATATGACAATAAATTCGACAATATCGTAGCCTAGCTTTGTTGCCCAAAGCAAGCATGACACCATCTAAGTTGTCTGGAAATGTCAAGGATGACAATCTCTAGAACAGGGTAAAAAGATTTGTCAGCTTTTAATAATTGAACTGATGGGAATGGTATCCTCCAAAAAGGGTGCCTGTAGCTGGTGTTTTTTCACAGCAGGTATTTTCAAAGACCTAAATTGCATGCAGGCCATTCCCGGGGACATGGGCTACAGCCTGCACCTACACAAAATTAATTTGCGAGGACTTCACTCTGCCTGCATAGTTTTTCAAACCAGGGTTTTTAATTAATCCATGCAGTTTAGCTTCTCAATGTTTGTACTACTTACCACTAAATATCAGGGTGTTAGTAAATAAAAAGAAAGAGGTCTTACACATCTATGTGTTTATCAGATAGAGATATAAATAGGAGATTTCTGTTTCATTATATAGCACATGTTAACAAACTATTGTGTCAGGCTTTTCCTGGAGACGAAGGCTATAGCTCGTGCCAGGGCAAACCCCTCGCAAAATATATTGTGTGGGATTTTTTTGGTCTGTGCAGTTTTTCAAACCAATTTTCTCATTTAATTGGCGCAGTTTAGCTTCCCAATGTTTGTACTACTTACTGCTAAATATCAGGGTGTTAGTAGATAAAGAGACAGAGGTCTTACACGTCTATGTATAAATAGGACAGAGAGAGTGAATTCTTCCTTGACAATGATATTGTAACAAAAGGAATGTGAGGTGATAAGATTATTCTTTGAACAATTCTTTTTCAGAATGCAAACAAGAATTATCAAAGAATATCATTTTTCTTGTTGAATATTCTTTTGTGTAACTGGGCCTTTATAGTAAAAATTTCAGGTCAGGTCAGTGCTGGTCAGGTCAGTGCTGGTCAGGTCAGTGCTGGTCAGGTCAGTGCTGGTCAGGTCAGTGCTGGTCAGGTCAGTGCTGGTCAGGTCAGTGCTGGTCAGGTCAGGTCAGGTCAGGTCAGGTCAGGTCAGGTCAGGTCAGGTCAGGTCAGGTCAGGTCAGACTGCAACATGACCTAGGTTGATATTCTTTGTTGTTTTCAACTAAACTCAACTAAACGGCATTTATCAGCATCAGATCAAACCACATTTGCAAAACATTCAATTTCTTGGCTACAAGCAACTTTAAAACTACAAAGCAGCGCTAAAAAACAGACACGGTGCCTCAACTTACATCGAATAATTTGCTTGAGAGCCAGATCAGGTCTGATTGCCAGGGTTTGCAACCTATCTTAATCAGTACTTTTAAGGAGATGAAATTGTACTCTGTTTCATTTTATCATTTCATTTTGGACCAATTTTTAGTCATTTTGGGTTTTAGGTAGCCTCCACACTCACTTTAAATTGCACTGCTCCTAATGTCAATATAGAATTAGCAAAATGGGTCTGAATGCAGATAGAAGCAAATTTCATGCTGATCAGCTGTGGACAAAAATGAACAGGATGATTGAAAGTTAACCAGAATTTCTTTTAAAACAATAAAAATATAAAAGGGATTCAATAAATAAAATATTTGGAATCAAAATAGGTGAGAACCTTGACTGGGAGGAGCAGTGCAAGCAAACAAAAAATATCCTGAAGGGAGGGTTATTATCAGTGCAAATATTGAAAAACATTCCTAAAAGAAACTTGACAGAGTTCATAGAGCTCTTTTTAGTAAGCCATCTCCACTGCAGCAGTTTAGTTTGGGATGGTCTCTCTGGTACAAAGCTAACCCAGTCACACTGTTTGCACGAAGGACAACAAAACTTGTCAAGAAGGCAGGAAAAAGTTTGTTAGGTCTGTACATTTGTTTCTGTTAGGTCTCTATAAATATTCTTGTTTGGTAAGGGATCGTGACATACAGAATTTTGCCTGGCCTTTGTCTTGCTAGCTTTTGTGCTAAATTCACCAAAATGTCCCAATTTTTCTAAGCATAACATTAGAAATCATAATGATTTGCATATTCCGAAAAGTAAATTAGAATATGCAAACGAAACTTCTACTTCTTCTCTGCTGTACAAAGCTGGAATAATTACTCAGAAAATATGAGAGAAACATATTTTTTTCTTCAGTTCAAGAGAGATGTCAGAACTCACCTTTTGAACCTGAGGAGCGCAAAAACAACTTCTTGGTCTAGCAGCTGTGCAAATTGTTTCTATCTTTAGTTATAACATTTACTTCAGTGTACTTCTTAATATCTTTATTTAACTCGAAGGACTACTACAGGTATAAAGATTGAGGAAATGAAGATGAAATGAATGAATAATAGAAAGTTGTTAATGTAATGTCTTATTTTAGAGTAAAAGGAAGCAAGTGAAAATTTCAGTTCATTAAACTGAAACATTTTAAAAATATGATTTAGCTATTGACAAGTGGATTTTCTAGAGCATCTGCCTTACCTATGGCTTGTTTAAAAGCTTTTTGATAGGCTTATATGATTCAGTGTTTGGTCTTCCATTTAATTAATTGTCACATTATTTGGGTACTTGGCTAATTGTAAGATGTAATCAATTTTTTGAATAATATTTAAAGGTTGTGAAAATGGATGCAAAAGTCAGTCAGATCCTGTACTGAATGAAATAATTAGTTTTTGAAAAACCAGATATTAAGATTTCTGCAGGAATTAACTATTTATTAAGCAACAATTGATTGACTTTTTTTTATTAAATTCGTTTATTAAAGTTGTCTCTTAAATTCGTTTTTGTTTGTATGATATCTCAATTTAAAACATACTGAAGTATTATAGCTTAATTTAATGCTCATTTCATAAATATTGTTCAATATTTAGCCAAAACTTGCCTTGACTTGTAGCCATACTTTTTATTATTCTCCAAAAAATATAATTATTTTTGCTGTCATAAAACTATGATTAGTCACTAGGAAAATATTATTGGAGAGTTCATTCTGATTTTAACTAATGTGTTGAGTGTATCACAATATTTACTTTTTTTCTTAGTAATGAGATTGACAAGGCCAACAATCAAGCCATTGCTGCAGGTGACATGTGAAGAACAAGATCTACCAGGTAAATTATGCACGCTTACATATAGGCAGCTGCATTCTTTCAAGCATACGTAGAGCTCCATACTGTGCTTAATGAATTTTTTAACAGAGGGCTTTTTGACGTGGATGATCGTCAAAGTCCTTGCCTGGGCCTCTCCTAAGCCCTTGCCAAGCCCTTGCCAAAGCCCTCGGCAATGTCCCATTGCTTAATATTTTTGTTGAAATGCATGTTTGTTATTGTCAAGGTAGCAAATAGAATCCTCTGTAATTTACTCTCACATTTGCATTTGGGCAAGTCACTTGCTACGACGAAATCCTCGTCGTTTTGTTATCCAGCCTAATTGTCTTTGATATAAAAATACTTCATCTTGTATTGTTCATTGATTGAATAACTAGGCGACTAATTGAATAGCTTCTATAGCAGTCTTACTGTAGTATGAGCATCGACCGACTCAATATAATTGTAAACAGTTTGCGTTCATGGAAAAAGATGAACCACCTAAGACTCTCCCACACTAGCAAAAATTTATCAAGGTGATTCTTCGAGGATTGCCGTTTGGAAAGCTATTATCAACCTGCGGTGTACATCAAGGCTCTTACATTTGGCCTTGTCTGTATTGACGTCTGGATCCCACATATATGTGGTAAATGAATGAAAGCTTTGCGATTTCTGAAACTATTGAAAAGCAGATATTCTTTCAGCTGTCTTCAACACTGATGTATTATTGAAAAAAATCTGTACGAAACTATTACTGAATTGAAAGAGAACAAAATTATGTCCTGGAACGTTTAGACAGCACTATTTCTATTCCATTGAAATTAAAACATTTTTAATGAGCGTCATTCTACAAAACTAAAATGCTACCCAAACTTGCCTAGATAAAACTACGAATTTTGACTGAATGATGGCTGTTTTAAGTAACTGTTTTATATTTATACGTAGATTAATGCAATAGCCATTTTGATGACTGAGTTTGAACTCAATTGCGAGTTCCTGAAAAACTATATTTTACGGTTTTAGTTATGTTACCATAATGTTGTGTTAGGATTTTTCTAATCTTTTTTGTCAGATAACGTTATGTCATAATTGAAATATTACGATATGCGTTTTTTCTTAGGTGAATGTTTTGAAAACGATTTTAAGTCAGATGCCGCTGCCATTAAAGGAATTGAACTTTTCTCTTCTGGAGAACTCTTGTCCTTGCCGCAATCGTTTGGGTGAGATGCAATTAAAGTTTATTATCCTTTTATGTTATTGGATCTTGGTTTTCGCTATATAATTATATTTGGGCTTCATGTCGCAAACTACTTCCCGCAGGTGTACACAGCCTGCTAGCCAGATGTTAACATGTGAATCTTTTTTATATCGATTGCGAATAATTGTCTCCAATGTTCCCGATATTTCAGCTTAAATTTCCACACTTATGATGGCAAAAAATTCAGGGTTAGACTTAGCAGTGTTACTGTAGGTAAATGCTCTTATCAACTGATAGTCCTTCTATCAGATGAAAATGTATAATAATCAATTTATAAGGCAAACAGTCAACCTTGCCATCATTTTGATAAAATATTATTTGAGGAGTGTTGGACAAAAACATTTGACTATGATTGCGTTGTTTTTTTTAATCTGATCTTATACTACTGCCTGTGAAACTACAGAAACTATTTTGCAACTTCCATTTTCTTTAATGATTTCAAACACTGACGTTGTGCTGAAAATTTCTAGAAATAGATAAAAAAGGTTTAAAAGAAGACTTTTTACCGTTTACATCCAACAGTCAGCTCCGAAAGAATTGCTGCTAGATATGAAATTAATTAATTACAGTTACATCCACACAAACTATTTTTCAAAATAATTAAATGGAATTTTTTTTATCCGAAGAAGCCACAAAGTCGACTATTCATAATCTTTGTTGAAAGATTTCAAACTGCAAAATACATTGTCACGAAGCAGATAACAAATTTTCTAACACTTCCTTTTTTTTATCAAATTGAGGTACCCCATGGAGTATTCAGTGAAAGTTTCATTTCAGTCTAATGTAAAGTTTTGGAGAGGAATGCATTCTTAGAGAGGATCATTGGATTAACACCTTATTCTCTCATGGGCAAAAATTGGCTTTTCCTCAGTATGGTTGATAATTCACAAAAAACTTTGAAAAATCACAAAAGCTGAATATGAAATTTATCAATTACAATGACATCAACACAATTAAAACTCATTGTCTTAACGTTTGCAAACATCTGCCCCAACCCTTTTTTCTTCGTCGATCAGGAGCATCTACTTGGGAGAAACCTTCTCTTGTTATTTGAGTGTTCTAAACGACAGCAATCAACATGTTCAAGACGTCGTTGCAAAGGTTTGCATTTTTGCAAGTTTTTGATATTTAACTACGTTATCTTCATGTTAATCAGTGGTTGTTCACTGACTGCAGATCCCAGTGTCCGTGGTTCGAGCCCCTGACCTGACCAAACTTTCTCTCTGAGTGAGGTCAGTTGCTAGTTATCTATAATTCAGGGATAGGAATTGTGAGTTGTGGTGACATCGAGAGAAAGGACCAATACACTGCTCGATAAGCGTAGCTTTTCAATGTCGTAAAACCGCCTTCGAAAGCTAGGTAGCAACCAATAAAATACAATACAATGCAACATAATACAATACAATGCAACATAATACAATAAAATGCAATACAATACAATACAATACAATACAATACAATACAATACAATACAATAACTATTGTCATCGTTGTCATCATAAATAACCATTGTAACTGTCATCATAACCAGTCATCACCGACAGTCAGCTTATTGTCATCATTGTAAGTCATCATCAGTCTTTCTAACCATTATTGTCATCATCATCATCATCATCGCATAATGGTTCGTAAAAGCAAAACTCCCGAATGACGTCCTATGTTCAGTTCATGTTTGTTTTAAATTGCACATCATACACAAACATTTTAAATTTCAACTAAACATAAAGCAGAAAAGTATATCATAACAACAATTAAGGGTATCATAATTAACATTACTCTGATACAACTGAAAATTAATACGGTATATATAAGAATCGCAGAGACAAAATTGAGTGTATGAGGTGAGTTGTTTAAAGAAAGGGCTACCGCAGTAAGTTATCTAATGGAAATTTCATGAACTTGATGAATTTAGATAGTTCAAAAAAATTTAAAAAGTGATTTGCATACAAGATAGGAACAGGATAGATAGATAGATAAACTTGCTTTACGTAATTTGTTTTTCTTAAAAAGTTTTTTTTTCTGAAAACTTTATACTTAAAAACTGAAAACTTAAAAACTTTATATGCTGCTCTTCTCAGGTTGATTTGCAAACCTCCTCGCAGAGATTTCAACTCTCAGCAAGCTCTCCATACCCGAAGTTAGGCCCAGATGAGAGTATTGATGAAGTCATAGGCTACGAAGTAAAAGAACTTGGAACTCACATGTATGTATGCATTCACGATTCTGCGTAGTTGATTGCAGGTTCAGCACCAATTCGAAGGCTTTCGAAGGGTAGGACTGGGTACCTGGCTGTATACTCAGCTTGTTAAAGTTTTCAATTTAGTATCAACTTACGTGAAGTTAAATGAAATTTCAGATCTATGAAAAGCTGTGCTTAGAGAAAAAATCCTCAGATCGTAGGACCTAAAAGTGTCTGAATCTTGTGACATAAGGTATTCAAACTAGTTTTATGCTGTAATTTGATACTACATACAAGAAACATAGCTTCCACTTATATTGTGAAAAGTAGCAAAAGTCTAATAACTGTGACGATAGCATTTATAATCTGACCATAGATTGGTATTGTTTGTTTATTGACAATAACGATTCAAATTTCAGAGCGTCTTTGATTCGTAAGTAGATGATTATAAAACGAACTGGAGTCAGGATTTGTTAATTAAGATCAGAAAGTTTTTGCATTCACGCAATTCTAGAAATTACGATATCTATCAGAGGATACTTGTTGGTGTATAGGACAAGACGGCTGTTAGTCGCAACACTAAGTTTCATGCCTAATTTGATCATTAGGCAACTCTTGTTTAGTTCTACCCATACAGCATCAAGAACGCTATGAAGACTGGTAAAACAGTAATTTCTAGACGATAGAATGATTAAAACAGTAAAACATCATTTGAGTCATTATCTAGAAGGTACTATGAGTTATGTAGTGACCTTTATTATTGTTTGTAGGAACAATTCTACAAAAACCTTTTTTTGTCAAACACTGCTTGCCATTACTCTTCTATCTTCTCCGTGTTTTATTGTATACGAGCAATTGACAGTACTCCAACTTGAGATGTAGGTAAGTTTTTGGTAAGCGCATAATCCTTTCTTTGTCACTTTAATAAGAAGAAATGGCAAATGTCCTACAAAGTCTTACATTTGTTTGTATGTTATCTTGGTAGTTTAGTTTGTGCTGTTACTTACTCAACAACCCACGAAGAGAATCTTGGCATGAGGAAATTCTTCAAGTTTCAGGTAAACTTTTTTACATGATTGACTTTCAGAAGATTAGAGGGAAAGCTACAGTGAAGTCTAGATTCAAATTTTAGATAAGGCAAATTTAAATAAGGCTTAGTCTATCAAAATTATAATAGAGTTATAGACCATATATTTGGATTCAACAAAGTTGAGTATATAATGTTAGGAATGTTGGGTGCAAGATAAGTAGGATTACGAATTAAAATTCCTATAGCGAATTACAGCATCTGTTTTATGACACTTCTCTAAAGACTCACTTAACCATTGTCCATATTCTCTTAAGCGTAGAACAATAGCCTAGAAGCTCAGGATTTTTCTATTGATAGATCTACTCTTCTAGGTTTTGAAACCTTTGGAAGTTAAAACAAAATTTCATAATGTTTCGGTAAGTATCCAAGAGTGTTTTATCCTTTTACTTCAAATTTTAATATCAAGAGACACACTTTTCACTGATAAGACACAAAGAGACACTTTTCACTAAAATTTTGATGAACATCAAGACCTCGTTTCATTTTGGAAGTTTACCTCGTTTCATTTTGGAAGTTTTCACTACAATAGTCAATAATCTGAATTTTGTAGAATATTTAAGCTCTTAATCGTTTCATAGTTTTGAATAAATGAAGTACAAATTATTTTCTACAAAATATTAAGTCAAAGAATTCGAAGTAAAATTATTTTCCCGGCAAATGATTTTATGACATCATACTTCTGTGTGATATCTTCTTTGATCCAATTGGAAAGTTTCAGTCCAATTTTTTCGATAATTTTTTGAAATTTTGAACACAAATCTTTATTGTTTGCAGTGGACTTGGGGTGGGTGCTAAAAGTTCTTGCAATATATTGGTAAAATATGTTTTATTAGTGATTTTTATTCCCATTCACCTTAACCGGAGACCAATTTTAGGCTGAAAATAAAACAATTCACTACCAATTATCAGGAAAATTTTTATTCTAAGCCCCGGCCAAACTGGAGCAGCATTTCATCAAACAAATCCCAACAATGTTGGGTATAAATGTAGGGCTGTTTTGGCCACCCATGTTGGACGATGTTAGAGATATTGCACAATGTTGGGAGAGCTAGTCCAGCAAAATCACGTTCGCGCATATCCAGAGACAAAAAGCCGGCCACATTTTGCTGTCATCCAGAAATTCAAATAGACCTGAAAACACAGCTGCTCCTTGTCATTTTTTGTAATCTTGTCGCCATATTCAGTTTCCAACAGCGTCCAACCATACCCAAAAAGTCGCCAACAATGTTAGGATTAATAACCAGTACGACGACAAACAAAAGACATAATATATTCGTCAACTTCTTGGTACATCGTAGACAATTCCAATTAAGACAGATCTGTTAAGACAAAAGCTGAAATTTCCGGAATTTCAATGTTAGGATTGGTTGGACGAAATGTTGCACTGGTTTGGCCGGGGAATTAAAGGCAGAACGATGATATTTGGTGTTTCCGTTTATGCAATACCGTAAATCCTCGAATAAGCCCCCACGCTCATCAGGCCCCTCTCTCGAATAAATCTCTCTCTCAAATAAGCCCTCACCTAAAAAGTCATTTTTGCAAAAAGGCCCCCCCCCCTCGAGGGAAGCATAATTGCAGAATAATATCTTATTTCAAAAAAGCCCCCACAGGACAATAGCTATACAATATTACTTCCTTTGACTGGAGACCAAACAGCAAAAAAGCGACTTTTGTGATGATAAAAAATTAGAATATTTGTTAGATCTTCACACAGCACTTTGTTACTTTTTTAATGATACCAGTTGTTGTAATTAGAAGCTCAAAATGCTAATGTTTATCTTTTTTTCCATTCAATTGGTCAACAAGAATTTCCGCCATTTTCTTGCTCTTTGTCATGGCTCTTGCACTTTGAAACAAGCCCCCCCCCTCAAATAAGCCCCTTCTCATTTTTGCAAATAAGCCCCCGAGGGCTTATTCGAGGATTTACGGTAGGCTATTGTTATATTACCAGTTGGCAATGCGGTTCCAATTCTAGAAAATATTTCTCGTGTTTGTATAGGACACAGTGTACCTGGAAGCCCAAGTGCAGAATATCACAACTTCATTGATGTCAATTGTAGGCGTAACATTGGAGCCTTCTAGCTATTATGACGTTGTTGATTTAAATGAATGTAAAACTGACACAGACATGGAAGGTGATGACGAAAACGATGATATCGAGCTTACGTTTGGAAATTCGTATCTAAACCCAATGGATACTCGGCAGTATTTATATCAACTTGCACCAAAAAATGAGTACGCCGTCGAACTCATTAACAAGGTTGGTTCATATTAAATATCTTTATGATCGCATAAAATTAGCGAATCTCGATACCTTTTTATATATTCAGATCTAAGTGCACCTCAGAATGACAGGTTTAGTCAGAATTATAAAGAATTTGTAATACATGATAGAATTCGGAGGTAATTTTATGTCAAGTTTAGAGACAGAGAAACAGTAACTCCTTAACAAAATGGCCAGGTGACCGCCCTACCTTTAATGTTCTTGGCTCAAGACAAGTGCCCTCTCTAGCAGGCTCCTCCTCTTTGTGCATACAGATCGTATACCTTTACCAACCTTTAATTACATTATGTATATTGTAATGTCCATAGACATACAGTATATTGTAGGGACCAAGAAAAAAGCTCGTAAAAACGTAAGTGCGTAATAGCTTTGTTCGTTAAACAGGGAGTTTTCCAAAGGACAACACTTTCAAGTTATTACTAGTGAGGAGCTCCTAATGAACTGGGTTCCTTATAGCGGGATTCGACTGTATATTTTTTGTCTAGGAGAAGTTGCACCTCTTAGTTATAAACTTAAGTCTCTTTTGTCTCACTCCATCATTCCCTTTCATATCTCAAAGATATAAGATAATTTTGATCAATTTTATTTTTCAAGTTTTTTTCAGGTAATATACACAAATAATACTGTTTTTATCCGAGAGTTAGCATTATTATTCACTGGTTGGTCTATACTATCAAATATCTTATTGTTCAAATTTTATTTCAGAATGTCACACCCATTGGTAAATTAGATATAGTATGGCGAACAAATTTTGGAGAAGTTGGGCGACTGCAGACTAGTCAGTTACAAAAAGCAGTATGTAATTCTTCTTAAATTAATTCAGAACTTCACTTCTTTACAGTCTATACCTCATTTGGAATTGCCAGAGACGAGTGCGCATTACCCTTAACCATGTTTCATTAGGATAGTAGTTGGCATAAAGGTTGTCTACGATGGTGCTGTATCATATCACTCTCCAATATCAAACATATTGTTTCCACATGACTGCGGCAGATCACAGTTGCTTGCAGTCCATCAAGTCCCATATGACCTGCGCTGTTGGCGTTAGAAGAATCTAAAATTCGGATCGGGCAGTTCTGTCTGACTCAGCCGGCTAGAAGCTGTTAGAATCATGCGATTTTGTTGAAGATTTCTAGGCGGTGGACGCCTTAGCAACGACGAAGGCTGAATTACTTCCACAATCTTTCTTTTTTATTCAGCCATAATCAGGCACTCACTTAAGAAGCGAGCCTTTTTTGTTAAAGATGTTCAGGTCAACAATCTTTAAACAAGCGGGAAATTTGATCAGGTTTTCTGTCACTGTAAACCTATTTACTCGGTCTGTTGCAGTTATTCACCTAACGACGCTTCTCAGTTGAAAGCCGCTCTTAACACCAGAAATATATAATTAAATCCTTAAAAAGGTTTGAAAATCTTACTAGGCTGACCGCATGCTACCAGGAAATTTTAAAGAACAAAATATTTTTGAAAATATAGCATGCTATCGGAATATAAACTCACTCAGCTGTATTATTGAAAATATATTTTGATTTGTTTGCTGCAATATAAAATATTTAGAAAGTCATATTATAGAAATTTCTGTATGAGATGCTTCAGGCCTAACAAAAAAATCCAGCATTCCAGAAAGAGGCTTGTACAATAAAGCATTTGGATTGATAATCATATGATTGTTTGAATTAGTATAATACAAGAATACCTATTAAAACAATATCCTCAATTTTGGTAGAAAACGTTCTCGCTGATTACGCTTAAAATTCTTACTGTCTCTATTACATAATGTTTGTGATCATTAAACTCTTGATAATGTTCTTTTCCTTTTGTAAGTGAATATATTTTTTGCTTGGTTCATTGTATTTACCGTTTGTACAATTGTGCTGCCCGTTGGATTTAAGTATTATTCGTTTTGATTTGTACTGACTTTTGCTCGCATTTTTTGCGGTTGTCGTCCATTAATTATAAATCAAGGAAAAGGTTACCGAACTTTTTTGTTTTTCATTTAATAGGCCTCTCTCGGGTTTTTCATTGTTTAAGAAAAAATTGTTTCGGAGCATTTTGAAGGACACCATTACACATAAATCTGAATTTTTGAGACTCTCTGGTTTTTTTCTAATTTTGAATAAATTTTTAAACATGTCGTTCGCAAAGAGTGTATCCAATATTGGTAGGCTTTTGTAAATTGAACATTTTCAAGTCACAAATTTCTTAAATGGCTGAATTGATGTTACAATGTTATTCCTACAAGCACAAGCTGTTGTGAAGCAGCTGTGATCTAAGATTGATAGATTTGCTTGAAAACAGATAAACTGCTTTTTGTATAAGTGCTCTTCGTCCAAGTCCTATTGTGCTGTTATATGGAGACCTGAGTGTGTTCTAGCTGAATATACATAATCAATTAACTATATTAATTAAGGATCTGGTATTGCATGCAGCCCATTTATGCGCCATTTTGATTTTTTGTTCTGAAATTATACTTAGGACCAAAATTTCGACTCAAAGAACAACATAAAAGCTCATAAAATAAAGTTTATTTGCATGATTTCGTATTGCCCCTTTTCCATTTACTATAGCAAAAATCAGCTAGACTAAGAGTCACCACAGATTCATTTCGTGTGAAATAGTCATTATTAGCTTGTTTCAGTTTTTTTATCATTAGCATCAGCAACTGTGATATGAAGATCTTATGTAGACTTTAAAGATCCAAGCCCTAACCTTACGAATTTGCTTCTTTTCTTTTGCTATTTTGCCAGTTTTAAACTGCATGGGAATGTATGAGGGTGTCATTTCTAGCTTAACCATTTGCCATCAGTACTTATCAGGCATAGCTGTCTTTGTTCATCCGCGTCTAATGTTTTTGTTTTGCAGTCAATTTAGTAATATACTGAGGCTTTGTAAATTGGTAACCTTTTTTGATGACATGTTAAGTTTTGTACATAGTCAAGACTTCACTTGTGAAAAACCCAGCGCTTAAAGAAACATTTGTGGATTCTCTGTTTTCTGAATTTAGTAATTCTTCAAATATTGATAAAAAAATCAGCACTTTTAAATTTGTCTTTGCCAAAGTTTCTTGTGATTAAAACTTTAAATTGTACTCAATTTCTTGATTTTAATTTTTGAGTATATTTTGATAGCTGAAGTGAGGTATCCTTTGAATTTTTATTAAAATACATTCAGTTATTTGTCCGTTCTTTTTCTGTTTTCAGAAACCAGTGCCCCAAGAAGTTGAATTGAAGGTTGAATCGTGTCCAATATCAGTAAAGTTAGAGGAAGAATTTACATTAAAATGCTCGTTGCGTAACTCAGGGTGAGCTTTTTTGATTGATGAAAATTTGAATAAATTTGTTCGTCAGTACCTCGAAAAATGCTGTAGCTCTAAATTATCAGAAGACTATGAAAGGAAGTAGTTACTTTAACCCCCCCCCCCCCTGGTCAGATTGGCCTAATTTCGACATTTGATAGTTATGAGTAAAAATCAATGAAAGCTATTTGAAGGTGTCGAGAAAAGAAGTCCGCATTGCAGTATTAGAGGTAGCGGGAGAGAATAACAAAAGTTAGAAGCAACATTGAAAGTTGAGAACATAATGTAGCCTTGCCTTGTAAATTTGCATTCTGTAAGTTGAGGTTTCCCAGCTATTTTTGACAATCACTCTAATTCTTGAAGGTTTTTATGAACGTGTTTTTATGGCTGTGTTTTTATGAAGTTGAAACGGAAAATATCATCAATGTGTTGTAGAAATATTTGTTATAACAAAATCTATAACATTAGTGCTGAATTGACCTGCTTATGACTTGAATGCTAAAACTTCGTGTGTTTCCAACAGGGAGTCAAAAATGGAGGTTAAATTGTTTTTAACTGATCCTAAGAGCGGAGGATTACTTTGGAGTGGTGTCTCTGGAAAGGTGAGATAAATTTGATTAATTTCTTGAATTGGACCTACTTTGGACCGGGTAATATTTGAACCAGAATTATTGTCTTGTTTATAGACACAGGTCTCAAAATATTACCTGTTGTCTGATTGCTTTTATTGCAGTGAAGACAAATAATTCATCAGTACTTAGAGGTGTCCGGTGTTTTTATGTCATTAAAGATCGGTTTTTGAAAGCCTTGGATTTTTATTAAGCTATATTTTGCTTTCTTTGCAATGAACTTGACAAATACTTATGTTTAACGAATAACATCATTTAGTTGGGTCGAATCTCCCTAGAAGATGATGCTTTTTTGGTTCGTTTTTTCTATTTAATCAGAGAATTACATGGCTCGTGTCAATACCACTTTTTCATGAATAATTTATCGTAAACATCACCAGATGTTGACCTAGTAGCCATGCTTCAGAGTTCGTTTCCAAGGCATTCTTCATCGATTCTAAGGTTCAGTCGTCATTAATTAAGTTCCCTAACAAGTGTAAATGCTTTTTCTTTTCAACACTTTTCAAATCCCGTTGTTTTAACGGACTAAAGTAAACTAACTCTGATTCCATTTCTATGATCCTGGCTTTTGTTATTTAACGCTAACGCTCATCTCAGCTTTCTCATAAACGATATTTGAGATTGCGGTTTCCAGAAGCCAACGTTAGGATTCATAAACAGAATATTTCCAGCATCAACATATTCTCGTTTAATTCTGGATTAACAATAGGGACATGCTTGCGAGGATACCTGAGAGTGATTTCGTTTAATAATTAGCTTTCCGATTTCAGCTTCACTTAAATCTGATGAAAATTAGTTAAGAGTTAAGAAGGAGGAAAAATCTTTGTTTTCCTTAGCTTCATGAAGAAATCCTTTACTACTTTATTACAGTGCCAACATCTAACGCGATCATTTATACCCTACAATGTAGAATAGCTTATTAGCCTAAGTAAAATTGTCCTTCTTTTTATGACATCTTAAAAAGAAAGCTGCATTTTCAACGAAAACTCAGTAAGCGTTTGACTATTGCAATTTATCAAAAGGATTTATGTCGCTTTGGGCTCAAGTTGTTTATCAGTTTTTCAAAACGAAGATGACTATCTTTTATAGGTTTCTAAAGGCTGTCATTGCGCAATATTTATTTCATTTCATATGGTTCTGTCGAACGTCACTGCCAGTATAAATTAAAGATCAATCTTAATGATGCCCTCATAACTGCTTTGGACTTTTATCTCTCCTGGTGTTTCCTTTTAGCATAATTTTAGATTTGAATTCTGCTAAGGCTTAATTAATTGTGGTCCATTCAGGGTATCTTAGATAAGTTTTCTAACTCGTCGTTTTAAACAGATATCTCGTTTCTGAGTTTAAAATGATGATAAAATTCCATCTGCACTCGCTTTTTCTTCAATATCATCTTTAATGAAACTGCATTCAGTTCAAGCCCCGAAACATGTAATGATTTTTCTGAATGTCACCTGAAGCGTGCTGTAACTCTTTTGGTATATCGAAATGTCCATTAAAAATTAACAAACCTCAATTAAAGTTCTATTCGTATAAATTGTTAACTCTCACAAATGGAGAGAGTATATTTACAACATAGTGGTATTATGTTTGATTGACTGAATTGCTATCATTTTTAATTTATGCACATACGCCTTTTTTGATTTATGCAAAAAGTGTGCTGGAAGTCAATGAAAAGGTTGCGGCTGAGAGCTGCAGGGCTTTTGGTCTTCCCGGCTATTGCGAGGTGAACCCGCCAGTATATTAGCAGGTGGAACAAAGTTAGAAAAAATCTACAAACCCTGTACGTTACAAATGATATAAATAGTTGATAGCTCTTTGGATAACACATTTCTAGTCAGTCTCCAAAATGCAGCGTAGAACCTTTCATATTAGCCGTCATAGAAGTCCATCATTCTCTCGATGAATGTTAGAGGATATCAGATTTACCTTTGGTGCCTAATGTTAAAATGGCCTTTCCCAAAAATTGTTTTTGCAATGCAGCCACCGATGTTATATAGATGTCTAGAAGTATAACGCAAATAAGATTTCATTTCTTTCGTTTCATTACAGTTTTTCAATTAAGAAGAAATTTTTAAGGACATTTTTAAGTATTACCAAATAAGTACCCATCCGACCATTTACACTTCGATTTTCACTCTAATATCGGAAAACATTTCTTGCTTTGTAGGTTCTAGGCCCACTACCCCCTGGTTCATCTATAGATCTAGACCTTAGTATTGTGCCAACTTGCACTGGCTTACAGGTACGACAGGTTCTGTAGAAAGTCATTTGCTAATGTGATTTACATCTTTGCCAGAATGTTTGTTCTTTCACAGTTATTTGTCGTGAATATTCTTGGTTTATCTTATTCCTGGCTTTGATTAGTTTTTTGTAGCCTGTAACCCCCCCAAAGCATCTCTCTTACTTTTAGCGTTGTGTTTAGCTGGGTTTTAAGGCTTAACTGATATCAGGAGGTAAATGCATTATGAAGTCTGTAGAAATAAGCTGTAAAAATATTTCTGAACATTAGAGAAAACAACGAAAAATGACGACGAATGATACGAAATGAGTAATATATGATTTAGATTTGCAAACTGTAGCAGTGAACAGTAGGCAGGAGCGATGCAAAGCGACGATGCATATAAATGAAAAATTATTACGAAGGTGTTCAAATTGACGGAAATGTCAATCGATCAACTCTTCGTTTTCAGCATATTTCTTCTACCTGACTTTTGTTCTCATGTTATCAACTACATTTATGCAGATTATTCTCAACCCAAATGTGCAAGTTTATTATTTTGTTTCCTATTCCTAGAATATCAGCGGAATCAGAATCTTGGATATGAACAGCACGAAAGTGAACGAATTTGATAATGTTGGGCAAGTTATAGTTTATGGGACGGGCGAATCGCCTTTTCGGTGACGAGAATTTGGTTCTGAATTTATTGAGGGCGTTATGATTAATTGATATATTTTGAATGATAAATATGGATTACATAGTAGTTAATTTGAACCTAAACAAGTAAAAGAGAATAAACAAACCCGTTAGTCCGGTAATGGAAGGGTTTGGATAACGGGATGACTGATGCAGAAGACACAAAGCCTTGTTCGTGTGGGGATTTTCCCTTTGTCTTAGATAATTTTCCAAAAGTTGATAGGCGCTTTCACTAAATTTGATAAGCCGTCATTTCAATGGTTCCCTAAGTTTGAATTAACCGCAATAGCATGTCATTATATTGAGTTTGTCACAGTGACACAGTTTAAGAATAACTAGTAGAGAATAGCAGCTTTTTTGTTGGTTTCTCAATGGTATCCAGCTATTTTCCAACTGGTGCCCTTATCATATAAAGCGTTCACATAACTAGTGATGTATGCATTATTCATTTTGGAAAGATTGGTCTTTCAAAGCAAATTACAGTTTTGGTAGACGTTTTGTTTAAAAAGCTTTGCCATATGTTCAATTCCGCTCTGCTTTTTGATGTCATTTAAGATCTGTAGCCATCCGGCTAATAATTAACCTGTCGGTATTTTGGTACAATTCTTTCAGGAATTTGAAGAACACCGTAAGATTGGTGTGTCGTTCAGGGGCAAAGCCCAAACACTTTTTCAGAGAAGTGCGAAAGCTATTTTTCCCGAAAAAAAGACGTGTCTCATTCTTTAAGGGTGTGGTCATAAGATAAATAATCTTATATGCTCCTTTCATGCGTTTCTTCTTCAAAATTCACACTTAAGTGCCATCCTTTGAAAGTTGAACTACTACAGAAATGTTAATAGGTTACAATTGTTGCAAAAATGTTACAGGGTGAGAGCAAAATTTCTTCTTTTGCCCGGCAAAAATTCTTTATGTGCCAACAGACAAAGTGTTGCGGGAGAAGTTCCCGCCCAGTACCCCCCTTTGGCGACGCCCCTGGTTTCGATATTTGAACAGCTTCATTCGCCAGCAGGCTACACCCTTTTTACTGTACTTTAACTGTAAGCCCTTGGTTTTTTAACTGTAGTGGGTGTTTGACACATTTGAAAATTTGTCAGTTATAATTTGCCCAAAGTTATAACTGCCCAAAGTATACTGTACAACTACTTTCCAAATTGAATCATATTAGATGCTTGAAATCAAAGTCTTTATTGCTTTAAAACACAAAGAGCCATGTAGTTTTAATCCAATAAAAACAGCACCTTATCTTGAAATAGCATGTATTCGCTTTAATATTAAGGAAGAGAAAAACAAAACTTGTTTAATTTTGTAAGAAGAATTGATTATTCATTCTGCTTTGAATTTTCGTATGTCCCTGGTCCTTCGACAATGGGGTACGATACTTGATTAAATGAATCTTTAGACTATAGACGAACCATCATTATTTCCATTGAGTCTTAAGAGCCTCAGTTAATCGAGAACTGAGAAAACCTGTATTATTTATGTTTTTGATATTAATGATTTCTGAGTTATATTGATTTAGAGAGCTTTCTTTTTCTTAAAATCTTTACCAATTCACAGGTATATTCACGTTCCTATCTAGTGAGCTCTCGGGCCTCTCTTGCTGATAGTGAAAATATTCCCCGGTATCACCTTTCAGGTGACGCTGCAATATATGTTTTGTTTATATCTTATCCATTCCTTTTTACTCTATTTGTCACTGGCAATTTTTGGAGATGTTGTTTTCTCATTTTAGATTTGACTTTACCTCAGATGTAGCGATTTTTATTTTGTTATTTCCGGCAGTTATAAGGGGGTCTTTGTCGTAAGCATGGGCTCTGACGCAGGTTGGAAAGTGGGGGGGGGGGGGGGGCAAGGGAGACTTTAACAATCATTACGAAATAATTATTCAAAAGTTTTATTGTTTTGCAAAAAAGTTCCTCCCCGGTCCCCCTTTCGTCGGAGGCCCTTGTAAGAGACGCAGACACATAATTTTAGGCTTTAATCTTCAGAGGACGTTTCTGGATCAATTTGATTTTCCTTTTTCAAGGCCCTTCGGTAAATTTCGGGAAACCTTCCAAGATTATTACCTGTTTGCATGAAACAAACTGGATTAGTAGCATGATTCGACGATTCGATTAAATTACGTAACTGCAATAGCAGGGGATGCACACAGCCTACAAATATCCCCACCCGTGTTGTCAATTCCAGCCCTCATCAATACCTGCCTTTTACAACTTTATTGTAGCGATTAATTATTCTCAATAGAGCCACCGGAAGTAGAACGTTTTTGGTTTTGACTAACAAATATTCAAAAGCGCATTTTGGGCTAGAAGTATATGCGTCTGTTGACATGCTGTTTTAAAAAACATATGCATAATTTAATGGTTTGTTAGCATTCAAATATTAACAGGATGAAATTTAAACATCTTGTTTTTATGATTTCCAATTCAAACCAGGCAGGAAAATCAAGCTGCTTCATCGGTATGAAGTTCTTGGTGGGTTGTATGACTATCTTTTATTAAGGCAGCGTTGAAATTAAAGACTCTACCTTCTCAAAAGAAGATTGAATATGGAAGTTATCGATTCATTGTGCCCTTTTTTCAACCACTTTATCTGTTCTGTAATTAAGTTCACCAATGAGGCTGTCTGGTGAGCATGATGAAAAGCTGAAGAAAGACCAAAGTCAATCTCTGTTCAAACCGTGCGAATCAAACCTTGCGAGCGCCTAAAGAGAGCTGCTACAAAAAATCACAAATTGACGATGAAATCTATGATATTTTCATAGCGATTAAATATGTTAAAATCTAGAATTTCCAGAGCTCGATATCCAAGTTTACTGTTACAGCAATGAACTTCCTAGAAAGACTGTTAAAACCCCTTTAAGTTAAAAATGCGCCATAAATACTTGGCAGGTGTCAGCAATTCGACGCAAAGTTCCTTCACGAAGTTTTCCCTCTTAATCTTCAACGACAATAGGCGAGCTTGTGATATCCATCAAGTTTAAATAAGTTCTTTAGATTGCTGAACAGTTTGTGCATCTACTGGGTAATGAAGCCAAAGAGAGCCATGACCGCGAAAAGACCGATTACTGTTGTCATGCTACAGTTGAATCCTGATGCTGAGCTTGGATCTCCAGAACCTGTGCCATTTTTAGTTCCATTACCATGTGTTGTGTTAGTAGTGTGGTTTGTGCAGTTGGCAGTTTGCAGCAATGTCTCCAAGAGAACAAGCGTAAGCAAGCAGCAAATTAAGATTCTAGCCATGTTTAACTAATCCAGAATCTTTCGATGCTCCGGGTTGATAATTCCCTCTCTAACCTTCACCTGCTGTTGATAATTGTAGCTTCAAGTCATTGTCATTAATGTTTAAAAGCAGCTTCGATAGCGTACACTAGCCAATCAAAGAATGATGCTTGACCAGAGCAGCCAATCAGCAACGCTTTCTTAAGCAGCTTGCAACCTTAAAAGCTTTTGATGATTGACCGGGGGTACGAATAATGTGTGGAAAAATCGGTCGTAATCTTGCATTCACGTTTCTCAACACGTTGATATCTGCAAATTGTCACTAATTTGGGCTCTCAGTAAATATAAAAACTTTAAGAGTCATCCAGGTTCCTTGTCCTGCAAGTTTATATTGTCTTTGTTCTTGGGTTTTCTCTTGACAACGCCCATCTTGCTATAACCTTGTTGGAACAGGACACCCGCGTAACCATCAATGCCCTACCTTGTAGCAGCCCTTAGCCACATGGTATGCACATATCTAATTGGTTGCAGCACTGAATGGTATGATAGAACGTTGACTCCTTATATGGATGTATGATAAATCTGTCTTTATAATAGTACTTATCACTAGTTTTTGGAAAATTTCCCTTTGGTTTTCACAAAAGGTTCTTGTTGAATGGAAGTAAGGCGTTGTAAGACTTAAACAGCGATTTCACTATACAGCAATGAGTTTTCGTACGACCTTGTTTCGTCCATATTCAAGATTGAAACAAGGGTAATATTGAAAAAAACCTTTTCCAGCTTATACTAAATAATTATTAAACGAAGCGAAGAAAGGCGTCAACTCGGTTGAATAAAGAAGCCATTCTTTGTGTGATATTGCAAATTTATTTCAAATATGTCAGAATTATCTCAAGTTTAGAATATATGCCAAAAGCAAATTTTAATTTTAAAGCAAATTTATGCTAAAAATGCAAAATTTGATATAAACTATGCAATTATGTCAACCCTGGCTAAATTCTTCAAGGTGCTTTGTACCCAATTTCTGCTCCCCAATTCGCTTCTTAAGATGCCTACTGTAGAAATCTACTGTTATGTTACGTATAGATGCTAATGAAAGACTTTAATTTAAAGGTTTTGATAAGCTTTGGCCCAAAAAGAAGCGTTGGCCTAAGCAAAACGTTGGCTGTTGAATCATACGATACCAATTGGCCGGATTCATTGAAAATAGACGCTCTTTAAAAGCATCGAACAATGTGCTTATTCATATGAATATTCCAACATATCAACAAAGTAGCTTTCCTTAGCTGTGTCATGACAGGTGGCTCTTTGAAAGATTCACAAAAACAAAATAATTCCAATGAAAGAGACTAAGCCGATAAAAGACATTTCATCATGTAGGTTATTGTCTAGTTGTGTTTTCATCGAGTTTTTTAAAGTATAGTACACAGTTATCTCCAAAATAGACAGCAAGTAAGACTTATCTCGCCAACAAACATTCCAATATAGACTGTTTTCTTAGCTTGTGATAAAGTACTCATGCTTCCTTAAGCAGATGCTATTTCGTGGTCATTTACTTCAGGAATCTAAGGACATAACAAAGTATGAAAGCGTTTTGGCTGGACCGAGTATTGAATATTAATTAAAGATGAAAGAGCCCCAAACAGAAAACAGTGTGTCAAGTTTTACCTTTTTAAATAACTCTTTCCCTTGAAAATATAGAAACAGGTATCGGAAGCACGTCATATGGTCCGGTAATTCCTTAAAGTTGTGAATGTTAGAGAAAAACAAAAAGGTCCTGCAAGTTTTCTAGAAATCAAGATTTGTTGGATAGGGTAGCTTATAATTGGCCCTCCCTGACCTCTACTTCTTCTTCATGGCAGGCTCGAAGGCTTGAACACCAAAGTTGCTAAACTTAAGCCTCCAACCCCCCCCCCCCCCCCTTTCTTCCACGGTTCCTTTGTTTAGGACCAGTGCTAGAACTTAGAGATAATAGCTACAGCTCTTCCAGAATAAAAGAAGCGGATATTTGAAAACAGTGGTGGCGCCAGGGGAGGGCTAGGGGGGCTACAGCCCCTCCGTCGGAAGCATCTAGCCTCCCATCGGAGGAAATTTTAGGTTTTTGTCGGAGCAAATTTGACAAATTACGTACGAAAACTGCTTATTTTAGTCATTTTAGCCCCCCTGTCGGAAGCTCCAGCCCCTCTGTCGGAAGATTTCTGGCGCCATCCCTGTTTGAAAAGGAAACGATCCTATGACATCTAAGCAAACCTTCAAGACAACCACGAAAATGAGATTTCAAAAATTGCCATGCACTCTCACTTTTACGGTGCTTCCTACGTCTCACCATAGACCTACTTGCGAAAGACTTTCCGTGTCAGAATTGATAATTGTTGCCCTCCTAACGAGTCAAGGCAGGGGCTGTGCATCAAGGCCCAGTCCTCTGTCCATTGGTTTTCATTTGATGTGAAGACGATCTGATTTCAATATATCAATTTATCTCAGTTTCAAATTTTCATCTCAAAGATTCAAAAAAGTTTTGCCCACCCAAACTTATTGACAAGATAAGGAATTACATGGAAGATTAATAATGTGCATAGACCTTCTAACACCATGCCGTTAGTAGGTAGCACTGTGACCACTTTGGTGCAAAATGCCAATAAAATTTAAGAAACTTACTTAAAGCATACCTTGCTACGTCATTATGCCATAGAATATGAAGGTGAAGAATGCCAGATTAGCTAAAAGAGAAAGAAATGTACTCTAAGAAATTCATTTAGGACAGTCGTTAATTCTATGTTTGCTAATGTGATTGATGTACTTTAGAAGCCAAGAGTTGTGAGTTGCTCTGAAAATGCAACAGTGAAGCCTAAACTTTGGATTTCTGACTATCAATTAAAAAAGGTTATGTTTTGTCTTAAAAATCATTGCAAGGCACCCGGTTAGTAAAATAAAATGATTTTCGAGCAATTTCCAAATGATTTCAGTCATGACGTAACAGCGAGTTTTCAAGAAAGTATAGCCTCGTAATCGGGAGATAATGACGAATATGTTCCATTGAACGGCCTAGTCAACTGTTGAACCTCTTGTAGTCGCTTAAAAAGAATTATCTGTCTTAAAAAGTTTGTAAAGATGCTGATTACATTCAAAACTCTTCAGCAGAAATCTTTCAAGATAGAAGTCAGCGATGAAGATCTGGTATTTTTTATAATTTATTTTTAATTTATTTGGAATTTATTGTTAATTGCAATATTCGATATTGCATGCACGTGATGATGAAAGCAATAATTCGTTAATATTCGAACTGAGAGAAAAAACCGAGTCGAATTTTTTAAAGCGTGTGGAATTTTTTATACTTGATAACTAGATCACATTTCTTATGGATTTTTGAAGCCGATATGTGAACAAAATTGAAAGCAAAACAGAGGAGGGTAGAGAAACTTAAGAGTGTTCGAGCTTTTGACAAAAACTTAGCAAAAGTGAATCTTCTTTCACCAGTGTGTTCTAAAAAATCCCACAATCATGAATAAGCAAAGTTTATTTAATAAAGCAAAAGCAAAGTGGTATGGGTACATAGATAATTGGGGTAGTTTTTTCATATATCAATACAATGTAGAAGTATGAAATGATTTCTTCCCTGTATCATTGCATCTCTAAATCGTTGTTTTACTGTAACTTGGCCTTGTGACTTGATGGCACATGAATGCTTTCTTGGTGGAAAACCAGCCTTTAAAGAACTTTAATGATAATTCACTTCATTTTCACTGACATTAACCCCCATTTAACAGAAAATTTGCATACAGTAGTCTTTGCGTTAGATTTTGAATGTAAACATGAGTGAAATTCGAGGCTGAATGTGCTTGTTTTTGCATTTTTTGGTGTTATTTTTTATCAAAATAATATATTTTTACAGGGCTTTCACGTTCAGAAATCAACGTGCGGCCAAAAAACTTGCGTGATAAGAGTGGGACGTGCGATAAAAATTTTTTCTATTGAGTCATTAAACTTGGCAAAACTTTTAATAAATGAATTGAATGCTGCACATTGTATAGTTATGTTCATGTTTCCCTCACGAGTTATCGTGAAGGGCACTGTGTGACATAGAGAGGTTCCAGTGACTTTAGAAACATGGCAAAGTTTCAATTGTGTTCAGCAAAGTTAAAGGAAAAAACAAACAGAAATAGCTTTAGCAAATAGAACGAAAAGAAGGCCCTGTACCCATCAAATGGCAGAGGGGCAATTAATAATGTGTAAGTCCGTTGGAAATCAGGCCCTGTTCCTATTACTCCGCTTTCATAGGAAAAAGGAAATAAATGAATTGTTTTTGATTTTGGGTTCCCATTGATGCGCTCAAGAACGGAGACATCTGATAATGATGTTCATAGTTATCAACCAAATAACAGAGTTGTTTGAAAATGAATCCTTTTAATGGGAACAGCGAATACGAAGTCATTGGAGGACAGAGTTATTTAAAAACTAATTGTTTTAATGAGAGAATCAAAAACAGACTCAATTAGCTCTTTCAAGATGGGCACAAACAAAATGACAAAACAGAGTAATGGGAAAACCTTCGTTTTCGTTTTTGCCAAAGCGATGTGGGCCAGAGTAATTCTTTATTATTGTTATTATTATTAACTCTTTATTTACAATGTTGGCATAAAAGAGGTATAAAATAGCTATACATGTATAAGATAAAATATTTACAAGCATAGCTAATAAAAGCCAACTATCTATAAAAGCCAGCAATGGGAATGGCTCAAGAATAAGGAAAGCTTGAAACAAGGATTCAATGTCAAACTTCCGTTTCTATAAATAGAAGAGTAATCGTGCTCTTCAAGATAAATATTTATCACTACACTGGGTGCACAACTAATCGATCTAAAAAATAACCTTGGGCGCGTGCCTGCACGCTCACACGCTATCGCACGCCCCCCATTGAAAAGCCCTGTTTTTAAACATTTCTCATTTACATAAATATATTCAGTGCAACAATCTCATATGTATCCTCTAGGCAACTCAAATTAAATGGCATATATCATAAAATTTTGAAATAAATATTGAATGAGTTGTTTAGCCTTTCAAAAAAGCCCCAAATGCTTGGACAAAATATTTTATGTAAGAATTAAAGATTTTATGTAGTTGTCCTTAGTGTGATGTTTGTTTGCATATATCTTTCTGTTGAAAATACTGGTATGCATCATTAGCATTCTTATAATCAGTCACAATTTTTGTTGCTGGTTCTTTCTTACACCAATTTCAGTTACCTTGGACTTTAAAGGAGAACTTTAAACTGTTCTTCTTCAATAAGTTATCAACAATGGAATTTTCTCCTTCAATAAGTAAATATCAAAGATAAGGTCTACAGATCTTAAGCAAAGATCTACATATGCTTGATAAGTTTCAGAATGGCTCCCTTTTTAACTGCCTGGAGCCATCAATGAATTATACAGTGTTTTCTGTGGAAACCCTTTGGAATCCTTTTGATACTGCACAACAATGGGGACTGCAGAGGTCCACAATACACAGTCCTGATTTGTATTTTTTAACCTTTAATCATTTTACAAAGAGAATTCAGTAGGAACATGTAGATATTGCCTACAGTGTCATTTGTGTCCTGTGTCCAAAGGCTTAAGTTGAGAAAGTATATTAAAAACCAATTAAATGTAGCAATATGTAAGCCCAGCTTATTCATGAGAATCTCACAGTTGCATCAATGAAGTCTGTAAGATTCCACTTTTGCAAAAGGAACATTTGTTTATTTTAATATTTTTTTCAGTTGAAAATAACTTCTAGTAGAAAATGACAAAGAATGATAAAGGAAAGGAATACTGTGCTAAATCTGTTTTCAATTATCACTTTGTGAAAAGGTTCACACAGAAAATATGTATAAAGAAGTTTTTTTTCTGCAAATTATCATTTATGAAAATTAAACTTCATAAAAGGATCATTTGTCAATGGGGCCAACTGTCACTTATTTTTTATCACTTATGAAATAATTATTTATCAATTTCACTTATTTTTTTCAAATACCCTTATTTCTAAAATTGAAGGTACTGCTTCATCAAGATTTCAATTTGTTGATAATTGCAGGTGAAGGATGTGAAAGGAAAAATAGAAAAAGAAAAAGGGAGCGATTTTCCTGTGGATGGACAAAAACTAATATATGCAGGTATGTGAAGCACAATTTAAGAGAAACAATTCATGGTTTTATTCGAGTAGTGCATTCACTTTGTTTTCTCTTAAAATTATGTGGCAATTTGCAAATATTTCAAATATGAACAGGTTGAATTTCACAGGAAATTGCAAGTACTGTCAACATTTGATAATTTAGTTTCCTGGTGAAATGCTTTTGTTTAATATTTAAATGATTCCAGTTTAAATTAATGTGTATTTATAATTCCATTCATCCTACAGCATGCCTCCTACAGCATTTAACCTTTGCTATTTCCATGCAATTTTTCAAAAATTATGATTTTTGTATTTCCAATAGGCAAGATTCTCGAAGATGGAAAACTTATGATTAAAGAGTATGAAATAGATCCTGTGAAAAATTTTGTGGTTGTTATGGTTACAAAGGTAAGTTGTTAATAAAGCTTGTTGTGTTCTTCAAGGAGATGTAGAACAAGTCAGATTTGTAGAGATTCATAATTACGCTTTGCTTATAGGCAAGCCTATCAAGAGGAGGGCAGGGGGTAATTGCAGTGCCATTTTTGTCTGCATTTACCACCTCAATATTTTATGACCTTTTAAATCGGGTGAACTACGCTTCCAGAGGACATGCAATGTAACAGTGTCTAATAAATGAGGACCTGTGATTTTTGAACTTTGGAAGAACCCATCCTGCTCTTTGCTTGTCAATTTTAAGTTGTCATTCAGAAATGATAATTTCAAAGGCACAATAGAACCATGCATGCATATCATTGTCAATATGGTAGGCTGGAATACTCCAGAACATATATTTTTATTGATTCAATTTTTTCTACTAATTATAATTTTAAGACTCATGCTATTTTTATAAATACTCAACAACTAAGGGGATTTAAATACTAGGGGATTTAAATGTAAAAGTAGGAGATAACATAAAAGGGAACCATCCTAAAATAACTACAGGAGGAAAAAGTCTAATGAAAATAGTAAAGAAAAGAAAATTAAACATATTGAACAACAGTGATAAATGCCAAGGGCTTTGGACAAGGGTATCAACTACTGACAAGTGTAATGTTAAAAAGAAGACGATACTTGATTATGCATTGGTTAATCAAAAAGGCTTTGATAAATTTGATAGAATGATTATTGATGAAGAAAGGAGATATGTTCTAGAAAGAGTGGGGAAATATAGTGTGAAAGAATCCGATCATAATACAATGGTGCTTGACTTTAACTTCAGGAAAAAGGATGTCTATAGCCAAAATCCTCAAAAGGAACAAGGGCACTGGGTCTTATCAAGTGACTCACTTAAGGAATTTGATAGACAAGTGAAAATTAACAAAATAGAAAATGTTTGGGATCAAAACAAACCAGTAAATGTCCTATATAAAGAGTGGAAAAGGAAAATATATGAAATTATGGCAAAATGCTTTAAGAAAAGGTACAACAGAAATAAGCACCATGCTGCAATGAGGGCATGTAGGGAACTGATAAAGAAGAAAAGAGAGTTAAAACAGAAACTAAGTGAAGCTATCAAAAAAGAGGACAATTTGAGGGAAAGTGTTTTGAAGATAAGAATCAAACACTTGAACAACCAACTAGTGAGGACAGAGAATGAGAGTAAAGATATTAGGATGAAAGCAAACATTGAAAAGTTAAGTAGGGCTGCTGTGCAAAGCTCAGAATTTTATAAGATAAGGGCCAAAATCTTAGGAAGAAAAGCAGACTGCCCAACTGCTGTAATCAATGAGCAAGGAAAGGAATTAGTTGAACAAAATGAAATCCTTGAGGAGCATGAAACCTACTTTGAGAAATTACTCACCAATAGAGAGCCAGATGAAAAATATAAAAATCATGTAAGATCAGTTGATAGGCTATTTGCCAAAGTAATACAATCCCAGAAGGGACAAAAGAAGAGATATGATGCCCCTTTTGAAATATGGGAACTGGAAAAAGTACTTAAAAGCCTGAAAATAAAGAAATCCCCAGGGGTTGACTCCATAAGTAATGAAATTTATACAAGTTCAGGCTATGAGTTTAAAAACTCTGTGTTGAAAGCAATTAACAAGGTTTTCACCACTGGTCAGCCCCCAAAGGATTGGAAGAAAATAATTGTTAGAACAATTTATAAAAAAAAAGGGAATAGAAAGGCAATAAAAAACTGGAAAGGTATATTTCTAACAGTAAGCATAAGTAAGATCTACGAAAAATTAATGCTTAATAGACAGATCAATGTTATTGAGAAAGGGTTTTCAGAGGCAGCCGCAGGAGGAAGAAAGGGTAGGTCAACATTAGATCATTTGTTTATTTGGCAAGCAATAAACGATTATTACAAATATCTAAAATGCTCAGTGAAGTTTGTGTACCTGGACCTAGAGAAGGCTTTTGATAAGCTGTGGCTAAAGTCTTGCATCATAGATATGTATAGAAGTGGGGTGAAAGGAAACTTTCTTAAAAATGTCTACGAATTAAACAATGAAGGATACATTCAAATCCACACACCTAGTGGAATTACAAGACAGGTTAGAATTAAAGAAAATTTAAAGCAAGGAACTATCTTGGCAGCCCCCATCTGTGCCAATCATATTGATAAAGGTATGCAAATAGTAAAAAGAGAAAACCTAGGAATTAACTTTGGGAACATTTTGATACCTCCACTACTTTACCAGGATGATATATTAATTGCTTCCATATCTCACAAGAAAATGCAGGAAATGGTTGCTATTGCTGAAGAGTTTCAAAAGAGAAACCTTCTGAATTTCAACTTGGATAAAAGTGAACAAATGATCATGCAATATAGCAAAAGTAAAAAATTCCAAAAAGAAACTTTAATTTTAAATGGCCAAGTTATTAAAGAAGTAGAGTCATATAAATATCTAGGGGACTTGAAAAATAACAAAGGAACCTTGGATTTGTGCATCAGTAAACGAATCAACACTGCCTTGGGAGTTATTAAAGAAATAAAATTCCTTATTAAACAGGAGGCACTCAAGAAACAAAGTTTTGCAACCAGTATCAAACTGATTGAAGCAATTTTGATGCCAAAAGTTCTGTACGCATGTGAAACATGGACTAACGTAACTAATAAGCAATTTAAAAACTTAGAAAAATTGCAAAAAGATGCAGTAACAATAATTAACTCTCTACCCCAATCAATGTCATATGATGGAATAGTCCTTGAATATGGCCTGATGCCTATGGAATTTAGAATAAAAGAGAAAAGATTAATATACTTCCATAAGGTATTAAACATGAACGAAAGTAGATTGACCAAGATAGTTTATGAAGAGCAAAAACGTTTAAATTTCCCAAACTGTTGGTATAAAGAAGTGATTAGTGACATAAAACTGATTGATATTAACCTCAAAGAAAATCAGATCAAAAATTTAACCAAAGAACAGTGGAAAAAAATTGTTAGAGAAAAAATGATCATAATCATAGAGAATAACATTAGAAATAATAGTAAGACTAAACTTAGATTTATCAAGGGTAGTAAATTTGAAATGAAAGAGTATCTGGGGTGTGAAGACGCGTCATCCCTGCTGAAATTAAAACTAAACATGGTTGACTTAAGAGCGAACTACAAAGGAAAGTACTCTGATTCTCTTTGCAGAAGATGTGGGGCCCATGAGGAATATATTGAACACTTATGGGATTGCCCAAGTTTTTATCAAAAACCCAAGATGGAAAAAACATGTTTAGCTACAAATAATTCAAAAATTCTTAAAAGTATCAACAACACCCTTCAAAAATTTCTTACCAATGGATGAAATAGAAATAAAAAGATTGGCTGAAATTATAGCACCAGCTTGTGATACCCAGTAGTTGGGTAACTGCTCCGAAATGGAGATTTAGCTTCAATTATTATTA